AAGAACTAAATGAAATGACCTCCAGTCTCCCTTCCAGTTTCAAAGCTCTGACACAGGATCTGTAGGCAGCAGGACATGGCATGTTTTTAATCAGGCCTGGCTTGTACCCTAACTGCACCCTTGCCACCTCTGGCCTTGGTCTGAGCCTCAGCCTCCTTGTCTGCTGTGTTGAATAAGGACACCCATGCCTACATTTCAGAGCTCCTGTGAGGCTCTGGTGCAGCACTTGGCCTGGTGCCTGGCAAGTAGTAAATGCTCAGCAGAGTATCCAGTGCTGATAATCTTGGAGTGAAGTGGTGGAGCCTGGGTCCAGGGCCAGGCATAGCACTGCACACCCTTGGAGCCAGCCACTGCCCACTCCCATGAGTCCTGGTTAACAGAATTGGAGGTGGGGAGGCCAGGGAAGCAGGCAGCTGGGTCAGACCAAGCTCGATCGAAGGGCAGGATCTGCCTGGGTGGCAACCGGGTGTGCCACTTCCAAACGGGGAGGGAAGGGGACTTTGTCACCAGCATCCGGGGCAGCAGCTGCTGAGCCCTCCCTGGCAAGAACTATTCAGAGGGAGGCAGGCAGGAATGTGGGCCCAGTGCCAGGCCCAGTGCTGGAGAAAAGTGCTGAACTCCCAGCTCACCCAATTGCATTGGCTGTCCTAAGCCAGCCCCAAGCAGGGCACTCCACCCAGCCCCATTAGCTGCAGGCTCCAGAATGCAGGACCCTCAGACCAGGAAAGAGAGGGAGGCAGGGAAAAGGCAAGGCTCCTGCTGGTGGAATCCTGGGCTTGCCATTGCCCACTCTGGGCCCCAATATCTCTGCATAGTACGAAGCAGGTAGGCCACACTACGTGCATGGATCTTGCAGGCTACCTCTGTTTTCCTGGCTCCTCTGGACCTCCTGCAGCCTCCCTTCTAGCTCAGAGAGGGCTACTGGATTCTTGGGCTTCCCCAGCCAGGGATACGCCTGTGTCCAGCCATCCAAGGTCATCATTCTCTCCTGGGGCCACTTGTCCACCTTGTGGTGGCTCAGCAACAATACCCCTTTGTCATTTCCTTTGCTCAGAAGAAGGAATGCAGAGGGACAGGAGAACTGTCCAAGGTGAGGCCCCTCTCCCTCTACCTAGACAGAGAGGGACAGGTTCTGCCCAGTGACCCTCTGTCTTTCCACCCTCCAAATCTGACCCAGTAATGTGGAAGGACTGGGACTAAGGAGGAGGGGAATGCTGAAGGGACACCTGGGTTATCTTGTCCACTCCCTGCCCCCAGGCCCCTACCATAAGTGCCACGCCTGGGAGAAGCCGGGGTTTTTGTTTTGGGGTTTCTTTTTAATTCTAGGGTTTGAACTCAGGCTCTACACCTTGAGCCACTCCACCAGCTCTTTTTTGTGATAGATTTTTTTGAGATAGGGTCTCGTGAACTATTTGTCCAGGCTGGCTTTGAACTGCGATCCTCCTGATCTCTGCCTCCTGAGTAGCTAGGATTACAGGTGTGAGCCACCAGTACCCGGTTCAAAGCCAGAGTTTTTATTGTACCTAATATCATTGCCATTTTCTTATGTGTGATGTACTCCGTGTGGCATCTTTCACACAAATAGTTCTCAGTAAAACAGACACCATTATTATACTGAAATGGACAGGTTTTTTAGGGGAGTTTTTTGGCAGCACTGAGATTTGAACTCAGGGCTTCATGCTTGCTAGGCAAGTGTTCTACCATGTAAGCCACTCCACCAGCCTAATGGACAGGTTTGAGGCACCTACCATGGGCTGGCCATAGGGCCCTTTTCCCTTCAGTAATCCTAACGGTAGGGTATCAACCATCTCTTTTAATCCTCGCCTGGGTCCAAAATTGAGTCCTTTCACCTTGGTGATGTACAGGGGGAAATCAAGGTTTGTGGGATCAGGTGACTTGACCAGGGTCACCCAGCCAGCAGGTGACAGAGATTTGAATCTGACCCCAGCCTCTGACCACATCAGGGCCTGAGGCACATGGCAGATTTCTGTTCCCAAGGAGTTCCCTGGGAACAGCCACCTCTGACATCACTACCTCCAGGGGACCCACCTCCCTGTGTCACCTGGCCTTGGTGGTTGACTTGTTGGCACTGGGGTTGGCCCTGCACTGTCCCTGTGGGGCTGGAGCCTGTCCAGATGGAGCCCTGGTAATTGATTGGCCTTTGATTGATATGGCAGCGGTTTGAGCTGCAGCCCTGCCAGGTCCGAGAGCTGCCAGAGATGGAGGATTCCAGAGCCCGGGGTTCTGTCCAAGTTTGGATATGATCTGACCTTCTGAGGCTGAGTTTCCCCTGACTTCAGGAGACACTCACACTTACGCAGTAGACGTGGCTGGGGTTCAGGGTGAGCAGGGCATGGGTCTCCCAGAGCTGTGGTCTGACTCTCTGGCCTGCACCATCCTGGGTCAGGGCCCCCTCCATGTAGTCTCCTCCTCTTATCCTGACCTGGCCAGATGGCTGAGCCCAGGGGCCTTAGAGAGAATGGGCCCGGCACAGAGCAGAGCTTAGCAAAGGTAATTAAATCTCACTAGAGTGGGAGTAGCTTCCAAGTAGAGCGAGTTCCATATGTGGGGCTCTTGGCTGAGTGCTTGAGCTCTGTGGCCTCAGTCAGTCTTCACAGTGACCCCGTGAGAGGCACCATGGCATCAGGGTTTTATCGGCTGCCCTGGCCTCAGCCCACCAGATACCAGTAGCACCCCTCCCCTGCTGAGACACCAGAAAAGTCTCCAGATAATGCCACATGTCCCCTGGGAGACACGCCCCCACTAGAAACCACGGCTCTATGCTAATGGGGAGCCAGGCAGTCTGGCTGCAGAACCCCAACAGGTCCTTCACGGGAGACCATGTTTAGAAGTGTGGGGGGAGCCTGTGTTCCTGAGGGACACAAGGGACATCCATGGGATGGCTGCAACAAAGACTGTCCCACACTGGGCTCTCTGCTGTCTTCCACTCCTCCCCCCACTGGCCACAGAGTCCCCGGCAGCCCCTCTTCCCAGTAGAGGCTTCCTCATGCTTCCTGACCCTTGCCTCCACCCCTGCTCACTCCTGCTTCCACCCCATGGAGCCCTCCTGCCTGTCTGCCACACCCAGCCCTCTCACCCCTGGGTGGGAAGAAGGCCTTGTGTTCCCTCCAGGGTTCTAAGTCCCATCTTTCCTTTGCTGCATCTCTTCCAACCACTGACTCAGTTGCGTGTGAACTATTTATACCCCTCGCACAAATGCTCCCCTCTCTGTACCAGGCAGACACTGTGTTCTGCAGGCGGACCCAGGACACAGACAGATTTCAGTAAGCACGTTTGCAGGGCAGGGCACAGAGCAAATGTGCAGGTTTATGTGCCCAGCTCCTTCCTTCTGTGTGACCTTGGGCAGGTCACTTAGCCTCTCTAAGCCTCTGTTGTAAAATAAAGCTCCCAGTACAAAGACAGATTTCAGTAGGCAGCTATCAGATGTCCAAAGTCAAGAGCTGATATAGATAAGTAGGGAAGTGCAAAGGAAGCCAGAGAGCCCAAAGATGGCGCAGGGATGAGATGTGTGTCCATGCAGGATCTCCAGGTCCCCGGGACATGTATCTGGAACTCAGCCCCTCTGTGTCACACTGCTGTCACTCAGACAGCTGGAGACCTTGGGGACCGCACAAGGCTTTGTTAGGCACATTTGCTACTCCTGAGGCCACTCTCCCCACCCCTACTTCCCTTCCATCTCTGTCCCCAGCTGTCCCAGGAGACAGGCAGAGCAGGTGTTTGCTCAGCCTGGTAATGCCCAGTCTGCCAAAGCAGTTGTTCCAGGCATGGGTGGCACCTCCCCCAGACAGGGCACCAGTCGTACCTCAAGGAGGCGGTGAGAGGGACATCGAGACCTGCCCCAGCCCATTCCTGTCTCTGCCAGGCAGTTGATGGAAGGAAGGGGGAAGGGTGGAGGGCAGAGGCTTCTTATCTGTGCCAGGCTGCCCAGTGACTGGCCCTCAGCCACATCCTGCAGGCCTGCAGCACAGCTTGCTCTCCTCCTCCCGATAAGGTCGTCGTCCTTCTGTGACCATGGCCTGCCTTTTGCCTCCCCCTGGACACTCAAGTGTCCCCTCATTCATTCACATGTTACTCATTCAACAGTTTGAACCCGTCTGCATTTTACCTTCCCTTCCAGGAGGTAGCATATGCTGTAGGGTCTGAAGTAGGAAGAGCCACTGATCCCATGGAAAGGGGCTGCCTGGGGCTGGGGTACAGCTCAGAGATAGAGCGCTTGCCTGGTGTGCATGACACCCTGGGTTCCAGCCCCAGAATTGCAAAAAAAAAAAAAAGGCCATGTGGTCTCCATGCCACATTCTGAATTATTGCCCCCTAGGGACAAAGTCTGGGAGGTATGTTTGACTGTTACAACTCAGGAGGGTTGCTGCTGTAAGCATCCCACAATGCACAGCGAGAGATTATTCTGTCAAGCATGCCAGTGGTCTGAGGTTGAGATGCCCACAAGGCTCTGCCAGCTAGAGTGGAGGCTGAGATGTCCCTTAAGGTCCAGTGGAAATGGCAGCAGGTGCCAGAAATGTCCAGAGAGCTCCATTCAGTCCAGTCCACACCCCGTGCTGTGTGAATTCTTTCTCACTGTGCACAACATACTCAGTGCTGGGAACTCTGGCTTCTGCTTCCGTGTGCTACAGGCTTATCTAAAAGTTAGCATTGTTTAGACCGGAGGTGTGGCTCAACTGGTAGAGGGCCTTCCTAGCGAGTAGTAGGCCCTGAGTTCAAACCCCAGTACTTGACAAAATAATAATACCAGAAGTTAGCATTGCCCAACATGCAGGAGGCTGCCTGGTCACAGGATGAATTCCCCATCATCGGAGGTAACCAAGCAAGCCCTGAGCCACCTCTGCCCAGGCTGAGGTCCTGTCTGGCCAAGATAGAATTATGTGATGGTGGGAAGTGCCCTCTGAGCCCCCAGAGTCCCTGCACTCAGGTTGTGGCCTCTGGGATGTACCAAGATGATCTTAGGCCACTCTCTGTGCCCACAGGTATGACGCTGGACGGGATGGCTTCATTGACCTGATGGAACTGAAGCTCATGATGGAGAAACTCGGGGCCCCCCAGACACACCTGGGCCTAAAAAACATGATCAAAGAGGTGGATGAGGACTTGGACAGCAAGCTCAGCTTCCGGGAGGTAAGCCCTGCCCTAAGCCACTGCCAGGCCACTCCCCACCTAGGACTTGGTGGCCTGTGTTGTTGACTGACTGATACTTGGCCACTGGAGACTTCAAGAGCACCCTACAGTGCAAGCCAGGGCAGCAGTCCTGAGATGCCTTAGATGAGGAGGGACATCCAGCCCTCTGTGTAGTGAGCATCTATCAAGTGATTTCTGTATACCGAACCTGCACAGTGTCTGAAAAGGGTCCTGGAGTATTGAGGGTTAGACAGCAGAGTGGGAGATGACATCGTGTCATGGTTTCTGGAAAAGAAAGGTCCCAGAAAAAGGGAGTGACATGACCATGAGTCCAAGGAGGCTGGGGACATTGCCTCACAGAGGAGCTACAGGCAAGCCTGTTCTGTGGGGGAGGGAATGGAGGTCCCAAGCCAGAGAGGGAGGCTATGGACCCCGGGCAGCACAGCATGCAGGGGGTGGCCTCCTGGAAGAGTCCTGGGCCAGAGTGAGCTAGCAGGAAGCCAAAGGAGGTAGGGGAGAGAGAAGTAACAAGGGCTGCGGGGAAGGACGAGAAGCCAGAAAGGAAGGAGGGCAGTCCAGAGAAACTGGAGTCAAGGACACAGGTCAAGTCCTTCTGGTACTGAGTCTTCAGGCAAGTGTTTGGCTGTCCCTGAGTCCCGTCATTCCACAAAATGGGCACACAGACCCTGTGCTCAGTGGGTAGGACCCGGCACATTTGTACGGGGGAACAGTGAAAGACAAAGATAAAAGGTATGTTGAAGCCAGGCGCCTGTAGTCCCAGCACTTGGGAAATAGAGGCAGGAGGATCTCAAGTTCAAGGCTAGCCCAGGCTACCTAGTGAGACTTTGTCTCAAAAAAAAGTAAGTAGAAGCCATGGATGAAAACTGGGTACGGCTGCAGCAGGTCCTGGGTGGACAGGACCTGGGTGGACAAGCCATGAATCACCTAACTTGGCATTACATGGGTGAGCAGACAGAGGCCCAGAGGAGGAGGGGCAATGAGGTACTAGAACCCAGCCCTCTGGCTTCTGTCCTGCCAGTGAGCCACGCCTCCCTTTCTCCCGGGGAGGCCTGAGGCTGGGGCTTGGGTGTGGCTGGGGACTCTGGTCCCTCTCATGACAATGTACCTCTCCCTGTCCCGCTGTAGTTCCTCCTGATCTTCCACAAAGCAGCTGCTGGGGAGCTGCAGGAGGACAGCGGGCTGCACGTGCTGGCCCGCCTCTCCGAGATTGACGTCTCCACCGAGGGCGTCAAGGGTGCCAAGAGCTTCTTCGAGGCCAAGGTGAGGAGACTGAGGACGGTGTGGAGTCTGGGAGGGGTGTGTGCAGACCCCATCTGAGGTTGAGGGTCAGCAGGTCCCTTCCTGACCCTGCAGAGACTGCAGACAAGAGATGGAGCTAAGGGCCGGCAGGGTGGGCAGGGCCCATGAGACTCTTAAAGAAGGAGACACTGCCCTGTCAGCTGCAGCCTGGAGGAAGCCAAGGGACTCGACCACCTGCATGCACAGCCCCTCCCCTCCCAGCATGGAGGGAAGGGACAAGGTTGATCTCATGGCTCCTGGGCCCTGCCCACCCAGGGCACCATCTTTCCTATTTCTCCCTTTCCATGTTAAGACCCTGCTTTCCCAAGGCCTCCTCCCACCTCCCTCTGGACTTCCAAGCATTTATGGGATATTCCAGGCCTCATTAATGGACAAGACAGGAAATTGAAGACAGCAGCAGTCACTCTCCCGTTTACAGTGTCCTGCTCAGCCTTAGCCACCAAATTCTATTTTAATCCTCTCCCACAAACCTGAGGTCAGACTTACTGAGTGCCAGGTTCTTATTGGAGAAACTGAGGCTCAGAGAAGTGAAGGTAGTGCTTGACCCAGGCCCCGACCTCGTGGGTGGCCAAGTGGGACACAGCAGAAGCCCGGGTCAAAAGGGACCCCAAAGAACGCAGCCGCAGGTGGCAGTGTGGAGGCCCCTGCAGACCTGACTCAGTCTCTCACCCCAGGTGCAGGCCATCAACGTATCCAGCCGCTTCGAGGAGGAGATCAAGGCAGAGCAGGAGGAAAGGAAGAAGCAGGCAGAAGAGATGAAGCAGCGGAAAGCGGCCTTCAAGGAGCTGCAGTCCACCTTCAAGTAGCCAGGGTCAAGGCCGATCACAGCCTGCCCCAGTGCGCGGTGGGCACATGGGAGGCCAAGCCTGGGTCCTGGCCTCTGTCTAACGAGACCACTACTAAAAATTTAAATTTTCTGTGAACAGAGCTCAGCGAGAGGTCTCACAAGTGGCCTGGCCACCCAGCGCTCTGTCCCACTGTTCCTGGGGCTGCGTCACCAGCCACCAGCGCAGGCCCCTGCCTGGCCAGCCCTCCCTTGGCAATCCCTGGTTCTCGCACCCTGGCTGCCCTTGCTCTAGCCCAACTCCTGGCTTTCTGTCCCTCCCTGTCCTGTATGCCAACCCCTCCTCACACAGCCCCCTGTCCCCATCACCTGCCCTTAACCAGCAGGCTGTCTCCCTTGGGGAGAATTGGAGCTGCCACTAGACAGTGGGACCCAAGGTGTCTCTGGGAGGCATGAGGCCTCCCCAGGACCTTTTCCTTGTGCTCCACCCCACCCCACCGCATCACCCTGTTGGGAGTGGCTTCTGCCTTGGTGAAGGGACCCAGGCTAGTGTGGAGACAGGGCCCCGCCAGGCAGGGCTGCTGTGCCAATCTACCTCACGGGCCCGCACTCTGCCAGGTGTGCCATGGAGCTGTGGGCGGGAAGACTGGGGAACAGAAACCCTAGCACCACCCAGAACCAGATGAGGGTCTCAGAGGGCTGTGGTCCCAGAGAAGGGCGGGGAGGAGGATTCTTGGGGAGGGAACCAGCATTCTGCCTTGATTCCCCAGGGGGCATTTGGGAAGAGGTCAAAGGTGAGTTTCCATGCACTGGCTGTGGGGTGCAGGGCCTGGCCCCAATCCCCCTTTCACACTGTCCTTCCCTGGATAATGTTCCTGCTTTGTCACCAGCGATGGTACCTGCCTGTCGTGCCCACCCCTTCCTAGGGAAGCATGGGAACCCCTGTGCCCATCACGAGGTGGGCCTTGGTGAAGCCTATGCCTCTAGCCGGTTTTTCCCCAGCTCCCACGTGCTTGCCCGTGTGTGTGTATGTGTGTGCCCGTTGCTGTGTCGTGAAACTGTGACTGTCACCCAGTCCAAACAAGTGAATGGCTATCAAGGCCACAGTTATGCAACTTTCAGTGTGTGTCGTGACAGTGTCACTGCTTTGTAAACTCAATAACTCTTTATTTTAGCACAGTGCTCCGGCAGCCCACGCTGCTCCCGTGGGGCTTGCAGAGGCAGAGGGTTTATTTTTTTGACCTTAGAACCTGGGAAGTAGAAGGCGCCCAGCCCCATGCAGCAGCCTTGGTCCTGGATTGCATTTGCCTTAGTGGATATGTTTATACAGATAAATATAAAATGTTCTTTTTCTTTTGGCTTTTTGCATTTTCTTTCCTACCTTCTCACCCTGCCCCACCCCACGCCCCAAAAAAAGCTACTTCTTCATTTGGTAGTACGATTATTTTTTTTAACTAAAATAAGATAAAATTCTATATTCTTATGTGTGTGTGGTTCCTGATGGTTAGTGCAGGAGGGGTGGACTGGGGAAGGAGAGGACAGGAACCAGGTCACCTGGTCCTGGGACAGTTGTGCCAGAAGCCTGGACACTTCCTAACAGAGACATTGGTGTTTGATACCCACATGTCACCAGGTAGTCTAAACACTGGGTAGATTAACTAACTTGATAAGCCAACCATTGGGGGAGTGCCGTTTTTTATTTCTCATTTGCAGGTAAGAACAAGGAAAGTCTCCAGAGACACGCAGTCCCATGAGGTAGCCGGACGTAGCCAGGCTGCCCAGTCCACAGCTTTCGCCCTGCCCCGAGGCCACACCCTGCCTTGAGGTCTCAGAAGAAAAGCTGCACCTCCTGACACCAAGACAGTGGCCAGAGCTGGGCATGGTGGTGCATTCCTGTGACCGTAGGCAGGTTCAAGACCACGCAGGGCTACATAGTGAAACACTTCTCCAAAAAGAAAACTAACAATGGCCAGGAGTGATAGTAAAGCTACAGGGATTCTGTATTGGTTTTCTCCTCCTGAGGAGACTGGACCCAGCACCTCCTGTGTGGCTCTAGGCAGATCAGGTGCCCACTGTGTCCTCACCTGCTCAAGGTGAAGGTGGACCAGTGTATCCATCTTCCCAACCCTGTGGTTGCTATGGGGTCCAACCCCTGTGCCAGGTGCTATCAGAGGTGAGCCGGACTATTTCCTCCTGGGCACTCCTGCCCCCGGGTGGTCATGGGTGATAATGCAGAAGCTAGATTATCCCTTGCTTCTCTGACTTCCTCAGACCTGCCATTGGGGGGCAGCGTCCCGAAGGTGTATTTCCTGGGGGGGTGCACCACCCCCACTTGCTACCCAATGGCTGAGAGGCCACCACCATCAACACAAGATTTTAGTTTACCACCCTTCAGTACCCTTGCCAGAGGGAAGAACACCAGACATCCTGAACTGCTCGTGGAATAAGGAATGAAGGAGCCCATCTGGCCTGGTGACCCCATAATCCAAGAAAGGGGGTCGCTGTCCTAGGCTAGGGCCCTTCACCAGCAGAGCTCAGCCTCTTCGGGCCTCAACCTCAGGCTGCACAAGACCCCCACTTGCCAGCCCCAGCAGAGAATGAAGAGGCCTAAAGTGACCCAGGAGCCAAGAGAGAAAGGGCTCCTTAAAACCATTCCCAGCCCCCATCCTCCCATAAGCCTCCCCACATGGGGTCCCCAGCCCCATTACCAAACACAATGCCCTTGAACCCCAGCCCCCTCTCTGAACTCTAATTCCTAAGTGAGCCCCCAGGCCCTCTGGGAACCCCCAGTACCTCCATGTGGTCTGAGGGGAACCCTGCCAGCTCCTCAGCTGCCCCCTTAGTGGGCCTCATCTAAGAGGGAACAGCTGCCACCCAAGAATCCTGTCCCAGCAGCCAGACAGTTTGGCTCCGTCAGTGGCACCTGCCCGCTTCTCAGGCTCTCACCCCGTCCCCCTCCTTCCCAACCTTGGCATTGCTTTTCCCAGGGCCCCAGCACGACATCTGACCACTAGCCTTTGCCATGGCCATTCGTCGTTATTTTTCCACCTTGGCCTGGCCCTGGAAGGCTCCAGGGTAGGCCTCAGGAATCCTGGGGTTCAGCGGATGAAGGTGGAGATTCTAGCAACCTCACTCCACGTTCTCCAGTTCGTTCTGAACCCAGAATCTATAGAAAGGAACCTTATCCCACCACACTCCGGCCCAGAACTAATCTCACTTCAGACAAAGCCCTAGCCCTGGGTCATCTCTCCAAGGACCACGTCTCACCCTGGCTGGCAGGGAGCACCTTTGGTGCTGAACAGGGTCTCATCTCTGTGCATGGTCCCAGTACAGGGCCTGCACATGGCAGGTGCTCAGGGAATGTGGGAGACTGAGTTCATTACTGTCTTCCGTAGATATTGAATGTCAGCCCCCTGGGGCTGTTTTTGCAGCCAGAAAAGAAGTCGGCCAACCTGGTGTCACAGGGTGGGACACAGGAATGAGCAGCTGCTTCCTGCACCAGGGCTGGGGATGGGAGGGTTTGGCGCCGGCTGTGCACAGCCAGAGGCAGCAGCTGCTCCTGCCCGGCTGCCCTAGGGGAGAATGATCTTCACCTGGCTGCCCCTCCAGGGCCAGACTGACTCACAGAACACACCTGGACGCTGAGCCATTCAGCCACAGCCAACTTCACGCGGGAATGGCCACAGCCAGCCCCTCGTCTACTTGGGAGCGCCCGATGGTATCTTGAGGGACCTGTGAAAATGTTTCGATTTCTTTAAAATCAGCAGGAAAAATCCAAACTGAGTTATATTTGTCTTTATATTTCTGCAGTCATAAAACAAGGTTTTAATGCATTTTGATGAAGGACTGACAGAGGCAAAAGAGCCAAGTGACAATCCAGACCAAGCTTTAAGAACCAGATAATGATCTAGGCATGGAGGTGCACGCTTATAATCTCAGCACCTGGCAGGTGCAAGCAGGAGGATGGTGAGTTCAAAGCTAGCCTGAGCTACATAGCAAGACCCTGTTTCAAAAAAATAAAATAAGCTGGAGGCATGGCTCAAGCAAGCTGTCTAGCAATCATGAAGCCCTGAGTTCAAACCCCAGTACTGTCAAAAAATAAAATAAGAGCCAAATGATAGCAATAACAGCAAACACAGATCTAGTGCCTATCGCATGTCAGGTACTCCTTGAAACAATCCTAGAAGGCAGGTACCGTTTTTATCCCCACTTTATAGGTGAGGGAGTGGAAGCACAGAGATGTGGAGTCGTGAGCACAGGGTCACACAGCCAGGAAGGAATGGTGCCAAGTTTTCCTTCTGAAGCCCCCAAAGGTCAACTTGGGGTCTCTCTTAAGATAATTGGTTGTCATTGCCTTACATACAAGGTCCCTCCTGCTAGATGTCTCAAAAGAAGAAAGTTGCCCTAAAGTGACAGAACCTCCCTCTGAAAAGGTCAGCTTCTCTGCAAACTACCAGAAATAACTGCTCACCCAGCATCCACCGGTGTTTGTGACCCTTTCTATGTGGCACATGTGGTGTGCAGCCCACCCTCTATGTGTGGCTGTGAGCAGCCTGGGTACAGGTGTGACATTGGTGTGTACACGTGTGGTCACACCTGACCCTGTGTGCTTGTATCTGCAGACAAGTGCCCATGAGCGAGCCGATTGCTAAGGAATTGCTGTTCCTCTGAGTGTAACCTGACACAGAAGCCCAGCTGCTCATCATCCCAGATCATTCAACAAACATGGAGGACACTAAGGCCCACAGAGGAGGCCCAAGGTCTGGGTCATCCAGTCAGTCACTGGCCAAGACAGAGTCCAGGCATCCTCCTGCCTCCTGACAACGCTCACTCCCACACCTGTCACCTTGCTCAGTGTGCAACTCTGCTTACGGTGTTGGCCCCTAGGCTGGGGAGACCTTGGCAGGTTTGACAATCAACCGCTATCAGGACCAGAGAGCCCCCCTCAGCCCTGGGGTGAGTGTAGGATAGCACTAAGCCCAGACCACAGAAGTTGAGGGAGGGAGGAAGAAAAGGTCAGAGGTCAGCATGGTGCTGCAAAGAGAGGGAAGGAAGCAGTGAATCCCAGCGGTTGGGAGCCCCAGGTGAGCCAGAGTCTGACTTCAAAGCCAGAAGTGAGTTCAGGATTTGAACTCACTACATAGACCAGGTTGGCCTTGAACTCACGATCCTCCTGCAGTCGGGCGCTGGCATTACAGGCGTGTACCACCACACTTTGTCTTTAAGGAGTGGATAGCAGCACTTGCTGAAAGAATGAAGTGAAATAGTGCCGGAAGTATAGAACACAGCCTGTCACATAGTAGGTACCCCATAAAAGAATGAGTAGGGGCAGAATACGCCCCGTGTATAGCAGGAGAGCCCCCCAAAAACCCTGCCTCTCAGAACTCGCTCCATCTCAGGCATTTGCGAAGTCTATACATCCAGCAGATCCCTTTCCTGCCCAAATCAAACAGTAGCCAAGGTCAGGGAAAGGGCGTTGTTGGAACAGGTTTCTTCCCAGGGCTGGCTCCGCCTTGACCTGGGGGTCTCACCCCCCCATGCCTTTAAGTGCCCCTGCCTGGCCTCCACAGCCAGTCGGTCCCAAGCACCTGCACAATGCTGGGCGTCACAGTCCTTGCTGCGCTCCTGGCCTGCGGTAAGCTGGGGTGGGGACCAGCTGCAGCAGCAGGCGTGGACTGGGTTGGCCTCCTGCCTCTGCACTCCAGGAAAGGTGCTTTGGGGTTCGGTGTGGGTCCAGCTACTGAGTAGCCGCTTCCCACTGGGCACCTACTACATGGCGTGGGCCGGAGGATCAGAGACAAGGCGTGGAAAGCCCAGAGCGGCCCAGCAGGAAAAGCCTCACTCTGGATTCACTTTAGCACCAGCAGAGTCTGCCTCTTCCAGTCATATCTCTTCTTTGCGGATTCTTTGTGCCCCCATTTTGGTGGCATTCTCCCAGATTAGAAGCCAAGGGACCTGGCTTAAATGCTACTCACTCTGTCAGACCTAGGCAAGTTACTTCACCTTTGTAGATCCAAATGAGAGCACTTCTAGGACTCTTAAGAGTCCTTTCATCTGGAGGCAGAAATTGGGAGGATTGCAGTTCGAGGCCAGCCCAGACAAATAGTTCTCAAGACCCCATCTCTAAAATAACCAGAGCAGAATGGACTGGAGGTGTGGTTCAAGAGGTAGAGTGTCTGCTTTGCAAGCGTGAAGCCCTGAGTTCAAACCTCAGTCCCACCAAAAAACCCAAAATATTGAAAAAAAGACATGAGCCCATGTCTGTCCAGCTGCCAAGTCTGTGCTCAGCCCCTCTGCCCACCCCATCTGCCCTTTCCCCGGGAGGAGGCCAGCCCCACTCACCTGTGCTGCTCCTGTGTCCCCAGCCTCCAGCTGCGGAGTGCCCAGCTTCCTGCCCAGCTTGTCAGCCAGGGTGGTGGGAGGTGAGAATGCCAAGCCCCACAGCTGGCCCTGGCAGGTGAGCCCTCGGCGGGGTTGGAGGAAGGGATGCGGGGGCTGGGGTTGGGGCCCCCTGAGGGCTGACACAGCCTCATGTGTCTCTTGCAGATCTCGCTCCAGTACCTCAAGGATGACTCATGGAGGCACACGTGCGGTGGCACCTTGATCGCCAGCAGCTACGTCCTCACTGCTGCCCACTGCATCAGGTGAGCAGACAAATGCCCCTGGGGATGCCCATCACCCAGCAGTGACAACCGAGAAAGCTGCTCTTATCAGGACCTACTGCACACTCAGTAACTCCATTGTTCATTTATTCAGTCAACAAACTTTTCTTGTGTACTTACTTTGCACCGGGATACACAGCAGTGCTCTAGGGAGATTATATTCTAGCAGAAGGCAGAGCATCAGACAGTGTCCATAGTATGGCAAGTGGTAATGAAGAAAAATAAGGCTGGAAGAGTATGAAAAGCAGGAAGAGGTACGATTTCTTCTATTTTGAGCAGTATTTGGCATTGAACTCAGGGCCCCAAGCTCGCTAGGCTGGTGCTCTCCCACTTGAGCCCTGCCCCCAGTCCTTTTTGCTTTAGTTTGCTCTTTAGATATTCTCATGCTTTTGTTCAGGGCTCATCCTCAGACTGTGATCCTTCTACTTACACCTCCTAAGTAGCTAGGATTACAGCCGTGCACAACCATGCTCTGCTGAGGAGGTTCTATTCAAAATGAGAGAGCTGAGGAAGACTTCTCTGAAAAGATGTGAGGAAGGGAGGGAGAAACTCATGGGTCTGGGAAAAGATGATACAGGTGAGAAAGAATGATCCCATGCAAAGGAGGGATCCTACAAAGCACTGGGCTATGACAGGAGAAGAGTGGGTACGGGAGTGAGAGAAGAAACAGGTGGCTGGCTTTGCAGGTCTGTAAGAACCTGGCTCTGACCCTGAGTGAGGCAGAGCTGCCGATAGGCTTTGAACAGAGGATGGGCGTGATTGGCCTCTATTTTAGCAAACTCACACTGCTGAGTTAAGAACAGTCAGGAGGAAGCCGGGCATGGTGGTGCACCCCTGTAATCCCAGCACTCAGGAGGCAGAGGCAGGACAATTTTGAATTCAAGGCCAACCTGAACTACACAGCAAAACCCTGACTCAAAAAACAACAAAACAAAAAGCACAGACAGGAGGAAGGCCAGACAGAAGCAGGGACAGTCAGGTGGCTGATGCCACATGGAGGCAAGAAGCAACACAGCCTGAAATCGCTCATCCCACTGCAGCCCTGGGAGGGCAGTTCCAGTGCCACCCACCTTACAGGTGAGAGAGCCACAGCGCCAGGATGCCCAGGCTGCTACCACACGGACCCAAGTCCCTTGTCCTTTGCCCTCGTCCTGAAAAGGTCAGTGGAACAGACAGGCCCTTCCCCCCACTGAGGCCCACAGTGGTCACAGGGCTGGGTCAACATGGCCCTGAGCTCCTCTCTGCCCCTCAGCTGGTAGGGCAGAAGGCCACCTTGATCTGGTTTGCTTCCTTTGCCCAGCGACACCCGGACCTACCGTGTGGCCCTGGGGAAGAACGACCTGACGGTGGAGGACGAGCAGGGCTCCCTGTACGTGGACGTGGACACCATCTATGTCCACGAGAAATGGAATTCCCTCCTGCTGCAGTGAGTGCCACCTTCCCAGCACAGGGTCCCAGCCAGTGCCACAGGAGGGTCCCTGAGACGCCACCACAGAGCCTGGGCACCCCATGCCCACCCTGCACAGACCTGAGATGACTGTCTTGTGCAAAGCAGAGGCAGATGCCCCTCCTGTGCCCACCATTGGTTCACAAGGAACAGAGACTCAGGGCTCCCGTGGAGTCCTACTCGAAGCCTCCCAGCCAGGGAACTCACCCTTATTGAGTGCCACCTGTATGCCCACATGGCAATAGGCACTTTGCATGTCATCGCCTATTAATCCTCACAGAAGTCCTAGATTGGGAACTAAGACTCAGAGAGGTTAAGGAAAAAGTCTCAGGTCACACAGCACAGTGAACAACAAAACTAGGGATCAAACAGGTCTGTGCAAGTTGCCAGCTCACATTCTGGTAACAGAAAATATTAAAGATGTACCTGCACGCACCCCTCTGCTGTCATTGTCATTTCCAGCGTGTGATGGCTTCCTTCCTAATGGTGTGGAACCCACTCAACAGGCTTTCTCTCGGGTCCCTTTTGTTAAGCGTGTCACATGGTGACATGTGAAGGAGCAGCCAGGACTAACAGGATCATGGGTCATTTGTCCTCCTGTCCCCAGACGGCCGTCAGGATGTTTATGGAGGATCCCTGGTCACCTCGGCAGCATTGGTGGGAGGGGCCAGAACCCTTCTGCCCACTCAGCTCTCCACTTTGGATTTTCCAGCAATGACATCGCCCTCATCAAGCTGGCAGAGCCTGTGGAGCTGAGTGACACCATCCAGGTGGCCTGCCTGCCGGAAGAGGAGTCCTTGCTGCCTCAGGACTACCCATGCTATGTCACCGGCTGGGGACGCCTCTGGAGTGAGTATTCCCCCAGAAATCCCCGAAGCCTTCCTGGAGGAAGCACCACCAGCCCGCCACCCACGTTCACCCAGCACCTCCCCTTCCTGCCGAAACCATTTCAAATCTTTTTAAATTCTGTGATAATGACAGCTAATATTTACCACGCACATGTCAGGTGACAGACACGTGAGCCCAACAGACTCCAGCTGAAGTGAAAGGTTAAACACAAGAATTCAAAGGAAATGCAGGGGGCTCAAGTGGTAGAGCACCTGCCCCACAAGCCTAAGGTCCTGAGTTCAAACCCTAGTACCGCCAAAGAGAAAAAAAGGAAATGCAAACATCCTGGGGGACAAAGACCTTTTAATATGAGACCCCCAAAGGCAGAGATACACAATTAAACCCCTCAGAATCTGGCAGTCAGGGTGCAGCTCAGTGATAGAGTGCTTGCCTAACTTGTGCAAAGTCCAGGGTTTGAGCCCAGCTCTGCAAAAACAAATAAACCCAAAAAACACAGAATTCAAATCAAAGACAAGTCAACTGTGCAGGTGTCCTGGGGACGCTCTGTCTCCCCCCTTCTCCCCACGCTGGCCTTCTGATGAAAGGCACAGGCATGGCTCCCACAGGCAGCAGCACAGCTCATCCATCACCCGTGTCCTGTCCCCGGCCTCTGGCTCCTCGATCACTGCCCACTCTCTCTCCCCAGCCGATGGCCCCATTGCTGATGAGCTGCAGCAGGGCCTGCAGCCCGTGGTGGACCACGACACGTGCTCCAGGTGGGACTGGTGGAGCTTCAAGGTGAAGAAGACCATGGTGTGCGCCGGGGGTGACGGCGTCATCTCCGCCTGCAACGTGAGCGCCGAGCCCTGCTCTAGTGCCAAGTGGGCAAAAGAGATGGGGGGCACCCCGTTCCTGGGAGGAGAGCCAGCCTGGTGGGCTGCAGGCTTAGGGCAACACCGCCACCCCTACCCACCCCCTCCCTGACCCTTCCTCCACCAGTGCCTGGTGAGAGTGGAGCTTTGAGCGTGAGGAGCTGGGTTCAAGTCCTAGTGCTGGAACTCTATAGCCCTATAAACCTGGGCGGGCTGCTGAAACTCTCCGAACCTCTCAGCTTTCCCATCCATAAAATGGCACCATGATAACTACTTCACGGGATGAGTGTGAGGACTGAGTGAGTCTAATGACCATAGAAAGGCAGCATAGAAGTTTACCCACAGGCCACTAGCTGCACAGGAGACTCAGACCCTGACCAGAGCCACCAAACATCTAAGACAATCAGGAACCATCCAGTTTCCAAACCTCCTACCCTGTCCCAACTCCTGTCCTCCACACTTCTCTCACAGAGGCTTAGACTTGGTGACCTAGCAGTCAGGAAACTGAGGCACAGAGAGGGTTGTCATCAGCACACCACTGCACAGCAAACCAAGAGCTAGCCTGCCACTCCAGGGCCCCTGAGAACAAGGACAAAGCAGCCTCAGAACACATGTCCTCAGCCTCCCTTACCGTGACCAGGCTCAGGGCCTCCCAGTGGGCCTCTGGGGAGACCCGGGGCTGATGCCTGCCCGCCCTGATGCAGGGGGACTCAGGTGGCCCACTGAACTGCCAGGCTGAGAGTGGGTCCTGGGAGGTGCATGGCATCGTCAGCTTTGGGTCCTCCCTGGGCTGCAACACGCTCAAGAAGCCCACAGTCTTCACCCGCGTGTCCGCCTACATCGGCTGGATCAATGAGGTGCGTGCTCCCCGCCGCCACCCCAGGCCTCTCCCACTCACCCACTCCTTCGTTTGCCACCCTCGTTCACTCGACAGCTCTGGAGGGCTCCCTGGAGCAGAGCTTAAGAGGGTGGGGAACGGAGGTGCCCTGGACTGGGGCTTTCCCACTGGGCCCAGATGTGTTCTGATGCATGATCTGAAATGCTCGGAGGCCCAGACCCCGTGGCAGGGAGCAGGCTGGCCTGTCCTCAGTGCTTTGTGCTACCCCAGAAGGTGGCACATCCCAGAGGGCCTCACACTGTCCTCTGCTCCTCTAGAAAATGCAGCTGTGATGCGCATCTTGGAGCCTCAGCGTCCATCCCTGCAACACCAATAAACTTCCTGCCACCCCCCCCCGCCTGCACCTTGATTTGCAACTCCCCTGGGCTCCCAGCTCTCTGGGGTCCCCACTGAGGCTCTAGTGGGGGACTTGGAGGGAGGGACTAGACCATGTGGGCAGCCCAAGGGCACAGGCTGAAGGACACTGCAGACACTTGTCCCTCCATCCCCAATGAGATGATGGGGATCTCATCTCAACCCTAATGAGACCGCTCCTCTTCTGCCTATGCAGCAGAGTCTGGCGGGTTCTCCAGGCCCCCAGTTGCAGGTGGAAGGTCGGGGCTCCCCAGGTGCAGCCTCGCCAGCCCAGAGAGGCCCAAGCTCAGGGACAACCACTGGCCCCCTGGGGAAGGAGCGTCCCACCAAGCCCCCCACACCCCGACCTACCCCGGTGCCCTCTGACTGGAGAAGGGTTTGGTGAGCCTGACCCAGGGAGGAGCTAGCAGGAGACTCCCAGCTCTGCCCTCAAGGACACAGGCTTGAGAAAACAGTGGTTTCCACGCAGAATCACAAGCAAAGCTGGTCACTGCGTGAGACAGGTGGGGAAACTGAGGCCTAGGGAGAGGAAGAACTGGGCCAAGAGTCAGCAATTCATTAGCCATGAGAGGCTCAGGAAGACAGCACCCTTCGAAGGCTGATGGGAGGGCAAGTGACACCAAAAACATGAGTGTCCAGTGTCCAGAGAGGGACATTCCTAGCCATGTTGCTCCCGAGAATGTGCTGATCCACCAGGGGCCCCCACCCCAGCCTCCAACCCCCTCACTGGAGAGCCCTCAGCTATAGCTGTGATTGACACATGAATTGTCCCCTTCCCTGCCACACTGAGATCACAGAGGTGGGGACCCTGGCCTGGCTCCTACATCCCAGGGTGCCCAGCGGATTTCAGGAATGACTTTATTTACTCAACAAGCCATTGGGCCCACAAGGCAGGAATGGCTCAGAGCTGGGCATAGTGGTGCACACCTGCAATCCCAGCACATAGGAGGCTGAGGCAAGAGGATCCAGAGTTCAGAGTCAGACTGGGCTACACAGCAAGACCAAAAATCAAAACTCAAAAACCAAGTCTGTGGCTCATGCCTATAATCCTAGCTACTTGGGAGGCTGAGATTGGGAGGATTGTGGTTCAAGGCCAGCCTGGACAAATAGTTCTCCAGACTCCATCTCCAAAATAACCAGAGCAAAATGAACTGGAGGTGTGGCTCAAGATACAGTGCCTGCTTTGCAAGCATAAAGCCCCGAGTTCAAACCCCCATGCCACAAAAAAAAAAAAAAAAAAGAGATACAGAGACAGTCCATGAGCAGAGCGTTGACCAGGAGGACAGAAATGGGACACTTAATCAGTGTCCTTGGCAGCAGGAATCCAGGATGACTTCCTGGAGGTGGTGGTGTCCTAACTGCACCTTAAAGTTTCATAGAAGTACTGCTGGTTGCTTGACCCAAACTTCATCCCCAGCCACCTTCTTTCGTGCCTGTGTCTGTGCTGGAGGTTGTAAATGCTCACCACTCCTTGTCCCCAGGCCCTTCGTAGCTAGGGAGCTAGGGGACCTGGCCTATAGGGTATAATAATTAAGTAGCCTCTAACATTCGATGAGCACTTAGCATGTGCCAGGCTCTGTTGGGTAGGTTTGTCTCAGTTCCCAAAAACAACCCTGTGAGGCAGGTTGTTATCGTCAGGGGTAGTGACTTCCCCGGGGGCTGAACTAGAAAGTAGTGAGCTGGGATCCAAATGTTAGTAAGCTGGCTCCAGAGGCCATGCCCTTGACCACCGTGTCCTACTGCCCTACAACATAAGGAAAAGGTCTGCTGGAAAACCAACTCTTTCCTTGTAAGGGAGATCTGACACAGTTCACGCTGCATGCCTTCTCCTTCTTCCTGCCTTGAATGTGGATGGGATGGCAGGAGCCGAGGGAGCCATCTTGTGGCCAACAGAGAATTACGGGAATGTCAGCTCGGACCTTATCAAGCTACAGACCCAAGGCCAACCACCATCCTCCTCTGAATGTCTTGTTACATGAAAACAATAAATCTGTGTTTTTTTAGCCAGTGTCGTAGCTTTTCAGTTACTTGCGGTTCTGCCCAGTCCTATTGGGCACCAGAGGGATGACTGGCTGGGGGAACAGCGTGAGCAAAGTCGAGCACTGCCCAGAAGGGAGCTCCAGCAGCTGCTGTTGTCTGAGTGTAAGATGAGGGACAGGGTGGGCTGCCCAGCCTCCCTGGTTTGCCCTGGACTGGGGGTGGAGTTTTCCAAGACAAGGGAATGCCAGTGCTAAATCCAGAACACTCCCCACCAAACCAAGACAGCTGGTCACAGTAACAAGGGCAAGTGCCAGGAAGCCACCGCTACAGAGAGAACAAAGGCTATTCATGGGGACTTGGGCCCTGGCGGGGGCTGTGGGGCTTTATTAGAGGGCAATGGGGGGGCCACAGAGGGTCTTGAGAGAGAAGTGGTCACTGTGGGCACATGTTTGCACTAAAGAGTTCATATGGCTGGGCACTGGTGACTCACCCTATAACCCTAGCTACTCAGGAGCAGAGATCAGGAGGATCAAGGTTCAAAGCCAACCCAGGTGAACAGTTCTCAAAATCCCATCTCAAAAAAACCCATCACTGAAGTGTTGGTGAAGTGGCTCAAGTGGTAAAGCACCTGCCTGGCAAGTGTGAGGCCCTGAGTTCAAACCCCAGTACCCCCAAAAAAAAGAAGAAGAAGAAGAAAAAGAAAGAGACAGGAGAATAAGGGCAGGGGACAGAGGGAAGTGTGAACATGGAGGAAGGGGAGCTGGAACGGGTGCAGGAGAGGTCTTCCTCTCCAGGCTCCAGAAGGAGCCAGCTCCCACGACACCTTGACTTTGACTTAGTGAGATAAGCCATGAACTCCGGAACTGTGAGACGATAGATTGGTGTGCTTTGTGGTGACATGTGCCAGCAGTGACAGGAGCCTCAGACGACATGCCAGCAGCTGTGGTGGCTGGAGCCACCGGGTAAGGGACGGGCAGAAGATTGCCTGCAGGGATGTGCACTTGGTCCAGGAGGTCGCAGACCAGTGACTGGAAGTGAGGGAGGCCAGGAACTCGGGCACTGACCCTCCCACCTCTGCCTTCTCCCCGGGGGTGGGGCATGGAGCCTCCGTGCCAATGGAGTGTGGAATGACAGTGGCTGTACCTCCTGTGTGTTCCGGGCACCACCAAGGGCTTCACCTACCTTCAGAGAGCCTGGTTATTAACCCCTTTTCTAGATGAAGACACTGAGGCTCAGAGAGGTTTAACACCTCACCCAGCTCACACAGCTAGCGATGGGACACCAGGCTTTAAAGCCTACAGACCCCTCACGTGCTGATGCCATCCAGGGACCAGAGGAGGGTGTAGGCTGTGGGGTGCTAAAAGGCACCTGGGTAAAGCAGGCAACAAACCCAGAGGAACAGAAGCTGGGAGGAGAATCACTGCCCCACCCCCCGGCTGTCTACAAATGGCTTCCACCACTCCATGAGTTGGCCCAATACTGCTGCATATCAACCAAGCACAAGCTGACAGCATTTACTATGGTCAGTTGGGGTCACCTAGGGACCCCTGAAGATTGGAGCTGGCTGTGCCCCTCTGTCTAGGGCTCGGCTGGGGTTGGCTGAGCTAGTATGAGCTGAGCTCACCTCTCTCCTCCTTATCCCAGGGGACACTGTGAGAGCACAGGGAATGATACAGGGAGGAGTGAAGAAGCAGGGTCATCTTGGCAACCACACCACATGACCTGGATACAAACCAATAGCCTGAGCTCTTGAGAGCAGGGGCTCTCGGGCCAGAGCTCTGAACTCTGGAGCTCATGGATACTCTGGCAGTATCCATGGCTGAGGCACTGAAACTCTCTGAGCCTCAGTTTTCCTCATCTGTAAAATGGACACCTGTCTCCCATGGGAGCCACGGAAATAACAGGCTTGTGGCTAGGTGGCATCACTGCTGCTACTGCCTCACACCTGCCCTGGGAATAGCCAGTCCCCCTCTCTCTGCTGTCCCTTAGGGAAGGAGGCAGTTTCATTCCCAGCTGGCCTCACCTCCAGTATGTCTTTATGGGCCAGTTCCCAGAAATTCATTCCCATGTCAGCTTGAGACACGAGTCTACAAAGGTCCATGTCGAGTTAGAGCATGGCTCAAGTAGCAGAGCTCCTACCTAGCAAAGGCTAGGACCTGGGTTCAAATCCCAGTTCCGCTAAACAAAAAAAAAATTGAGATCATGTGATAGCTGGCCAGGAGCCATATAAAGGCAAGGAATAAATGTAGAGCGCCTTCTCAAAGCACCAATTTTCTGTAAAGATGGGGAAAGAAGAAGAAAACTTGATGTTAAAATAAACCCAGCTATAGTACAAAGTCTCAAAATTCAAATCAAGCTTTCCAGCTGAAGAATGAGACTTGCAGACATATTTCTGTCTCAATTCTGTGTGCTGGACCCCAGCTCATCACTTCATAGCAAACCAGATCTGTTTTGTAAATAAAGTTTTATTGGAACACAGCTATGACCATCTGGCTGCTTGGCACCACCACAGCAGAGCTGATGGTTGTGACAGAGACCGTATGGCCTAAAACATTTGCTGTCTGGTCCTTTCCGAGAAAAGCTGGCCTGCTCCTGATCTCCTGGGATACTTTGGTGGAAAAGCTTGAAAATTACCCTGCTCTTCTGCTATCTGAGGCTCACAGGACAGGACCAAGAGGGAAAACGTTGATGCACATTTACTGTGCTGAGGGCTGTTGAGTTCTAACCACCATCACCAGAGATGAATGGCATTGGGATCGTTGTATGATGAACAGTGAGATGACATGTGCTTTGGAACAAAATCACCCAGGGACCCTGCTAAGCCCCGATCCAGGCTGGCAGTTCTGCATTTCCGAACTATACTGCTCATCCTGATCACTCAGTATCAGGGATCTGAGCCAGAGTCACCACACAGGAGCACCGCTCTGAGCCCAGGCCGGGAGCCAGGGAGCTATGCCATATCACAGAAGAATCACTCAGCAGGAGTCGTGAACCCATGAGAATGTCACAGCTGCATCCGGCCCCACTGAGACCTCAAGGACGTAACTCAGTCAAGAACTTGACCTACTGCCACATTGTCAAACAATATAGCAGTGGGGAGCTCCACCCCAGAGAGGGAAGTTGGCCACTTGCTCTCCCCTCCCCAGCTGCCACCTTCTCCTCCAGGCACAGGTGCAGGCAATCTGCCTGGAGCCTCACTGCCCAGGGCCAAGGGCAAGCATGTGCTCTAGGCCTGGCCAATCACTGCACTGCATCCCCTCTCCCACCACAGTCATTGGTTGAAGGTGATCCTATGACCAGAGGTAGGTCCAATCAGAAAGCTTGTAGGACTTGCGGCAAGAACTACCCAAGGCTGGAGCTGGCAGAGTGGCTAAGTGGTAGAGCACCTGCCTAGCAAGTGTGAGGCCCTGAGTACAAGCCCCAGTACCAAGAAAAACAAATTTTTTTAAACTCCAGAGAGTGTGAGGCTACAACAGCAAAATGGGGAGGAAGGGAGAGAGGAGGTGATTTGCTCCCCAAGGTACATTTGGCAATGGGTGGCGATATTTTGGGGACCAGAGATGTTGTCAAGCGTCCTACAAAGTACAGGACGGTCCCCATAACAAAGAATCAGCCAGTGCACAGTGCCAGGAGTTCCAAAGTAGAGAAACCCTGAACCAGAGGCTGTAGTAAACTTGCCTGGGAAGAAAGCAGAACCTGCGGCTGCGCCAGGCTACTCAGTGGAGCCTGAGAGTGAACCTCAAGGTGGACAGCAGAGCCAGAAGACAGACGCCAAGTCCTGGAGAGGTCATCACAGCCCTGAAGCCAGCTGTACCTGAAGGCAGCTCTACTCCAAGACTCTGCCATTTTCTGACCCAATGCATGACTTTTTTGGCTTCCATCTTTTTTGGATGAAGTTTTGTGTCCCTTTGCAGTCCTCACACCAGTGTGGCCAGACAACCTGGCATATGTTCTTTTCCCTGTTTTGTAGTTAAGCAACTCCCAGCCAGAAAGCCCAAGTGACTTGCCCAAGGTCACACAGCAAGCCCATGGCATGTGCCAGTCTGGGTTTATTCCGAGGCCTCACACGGGCAAAACTATTTTATTTATTTATTTATTTCACTTTTTGTTGTTGTGCTGAGGGTCACTTTGGCATCTCAAAACTACTTTTATATGATACACGGGGCAGTCAGCCACACTCACGTTAACTTTGAGGATGCAATGTGAGACTTCAGAACGCGTCTTTGCTCTTGGGGCTGCTTCACACCACAAATGAGGGTCCAAAGTGTTTATAGGATGTTGGGACCAGAGCTCGGGTCGTCTGACATCCAATCCAATGGGATTCTGCACCCCAACCCCCCCCAGCTTTGCATGACTCAAGGGATTACAGAGTCCTCTAACCGTGTCTCACTCATACAACAGTCTTTCAGTCAAGTCTGAATTCTTATCTAAAGCCCAGGAGACTGGTGATTTGTTCAAACCATGACATTCAAAACTCAGTGGCAAGGACTCCAATCCATTTCTTCTTTTGTCTTTTTTGGTGTTGCTGGGGTTTGAACTCAAGGCTGTGTGCTTACAAGGCAGGTACTCTACTGCTTAAGCCACACCTCTGTCCCATTTCACTCTGATTATTTAAGAGCAAAAATAGGGTCTTGCTGTTTGCTCAGGCTCTCCAGGACCACAGTCTGCTTCCCCCTGTAGCTGGTATGACAGGCATACACCACCTCACCTAGCTTTTTTTCCATTGAGATGGGGGCCTCATGAAGTACTTTTTGCTTAGTCTGTCCTGAAACTACAATCCTCCCAATCTCAGCCTCCCATGTAGCTGGAATGACAGGAAGATGCCACCATACCCAGCTGTTGATTGAGATGGGGTTTTGCTTAATTTTTTGCCCAGGCTGGCCTCAACCCTTGATTCTCCAGATCTCAGCCTCCCAAGTACCTAGGATTACAGGCATGAGCCACTGGCACCAGGCTTTTGAATCTACTTCTTAAGAGTTGAAGTCCACTTTCCCCTCTGCTTTTCTGATGGGACAAAAAGTAGAGTCTGTGACCACAGAGCAAGGCTGCCTGGCACTGAGCTCTGTCCCCAACAAGAAGAATTAAGGACTAAGGAAGAGCAAAAACACCCATCAAGAAACCTCTCATTTTCCCCACCCTCTCCTGCCAGCAGGAGCTTATCATCACAGTACTAGGAAGTGATACAGAATATTGTCTCCAGAGATGAAAGTAATGGGCTTTCAAATCAGACCATCCTACATTTGACTCTTCATCCAGCCACTTAGAAGTTGTGTGAGCTTGGACAACTTACTATACCTCTCTGAACCTCAGCTTCCCATTCAGAAATAAAGGACTCTACTACAGGGTTTTCTGAGGCTTAGGTTAGATAAGAAATGGTGTATGGTGAGTGTTGGCTCACCTGCCTTTTCTAAGAAGTTCTTGCTTTGAACCCATTTCAAAGACGCAGTTACTGGAGAAGTACAAACCGCTGTTGTCCTGGGAGTGGACAAGGAAATGCATCTGATCCATCTTCACAAGACCCTGCTCCGCCAGCATTTTGCTTTGTCCCATTAGCAGGCTGCTAAGTCCCTGTCGTGGGCCCTGTCTTGCCTTCGTTCGGTTCCCCATGTTTTGCAAATCCTCACCAGAATGTTGTGAAAGACACTGGTATGTATTGCTCTTTTACAAAGAGCCAACCTGGGCCTAGAGACTCACAGGACTCACCCCAGGCCACGCTGACAGCCACGGCATGGCCTAGAACAGGGTTTTGCAATCACAACAACATCGACGTTTGGTGTAGGACAATCCTGTGTGTCCTGTGCATCGTAGGACATTCAGCAGCCTCTCTGTTCTTCACCCTCAGATGCCAATGGTACCCTACTCCCGAGTCATCGATTACCCCCTAGTGGTTAAACCAGCCCTGTCGCAGTTCCTTCAATGTGTCAGCCCTAATCTTTTCTTTTGAAAATGCAACTCCAAGGACCAACAACCTGTATTTTTCTTCTCCTAATACACAACATAATCTCTTTAAAGTAGATGGAGCCAGACAATTGTGGCTCACACCTGTAATCCTAGCTGCTCGGGAAGCAGAGATCAGGAGGATTGAGGTTCAAAGCCAGCCCGGGGAAATAGTTCACAAGACCCTATCTTGAAAAAAACCTTCACCAAAAAACAAGACAAAAAAAAGGAGCTGGTGGAGTGGCTCAAGGTATGAGGCCCTGAGTTCAAACTCCAGTACAGCAAAAAAAAAAAAACAGATAGACCCACATTTCAGTATCTAGCTTTGGCATCTTTCTCAATGTACATCCAGGGTGACAGGTGGAAGAAAATGGAAAAAAAATATTTGAACAACAGCCTTTTATTCCACTGGGCTTTGAGAAAATCCACATCTTGCACACTTCTAGTATATCTCCTGCTGATAAGCCTACTCATAAAACCAGGGCTCACCTAGCGCTCGGCCTACACAACCTCTCAGACACCATGATCAGGACCCTGCTGCTGTCTGCCTTGGTGGCTGGAGGTAAGCCCTGTCACCCAGAGACGCAGCTTCCCATCCCCTGTTGGGGCTGGGAATGGGGCCTCCTCCCTCCACCTTCCCTTCTCCTCCTGCATCTACGGTTAGAAGAAGGTTGGACTCTGTGACCTGTTGGGGTTAGGTATGAAGCAAGTATAATTTCCTTTCCTTGAGTCACTGCTTCTGGCATTCACTCTCTTTTCACAGTTCTCAGCTCTGGGCTCGCCGCTTCCCTGTCCCATCTGGGTAGAGTGGTTGGCGGTGAAGAAGCCACACCCAACAGCTGGCCCTGGCAGGTGAGTCAACCACACTGTCTGTCCTCCCTGGCAGTCCACTAATCAGTCATCACCCCTGTCCCCTTCCATCATCATGCTTGCAAAGATGAGGCTTGATGGACATTCAGGGCAGCACCAGCAACTTCACCAATAAAATACATTTCTGTGGCCTTGGCCAACCTTGGAGTTGTGGGAAGAGACGCCTTCTCCAGCTCCCACTTTCCTCACACACAAATTCACAACCTTCCTCTGCTAACCAATCAGATGCTAGCTTACAAATGTAGACATTCCTATGAGGCATTCATCATTCTTAGGCAAATTTTCCATGCTTTGAGGAGCCAATCAGCGCTGCTCATGCAAATTAATCCTGCTCTATTGGTAAATCAGTGTTATCAGTGAAATAAATGTTTTCTTACCTTGATATAATCATAGTGAGGTCAAGACTAAAATACTGGGTGGGGCACGAGGTTTGGGGCCTGAGTAGCTGGTAAAGTGGAGTTGCCATTGACAGCAATGGGGAAGCCTGAGGGGAAGTACCGGAGTTGGGGGGAAGCCAAGAGTTTGGTTTTAGATGTATTGAGTTGGAAGAATAATACAAAAATACAATGAATCAAGTTGCAAAGAGATGTTCACAAGTTACTTTTTAATAGTCTATTTAAGATGATGGCGGCTGTTTGCAGGGGTAGGCATTGTTTGGTTTGGTTTGGTTTCTTGAGACAGACTCTCCATATGTAGCCCAGGCTAGCCTGAAACTCGTGATTCTCTTGCCTCAGGCTCCCAAGCCATCACACCCAGCCTATTTAAATTTTTTGATATTTTGTTCATCTTGGATTTTTGTGTTAATCTTTTTTATATCCTATAAAGCATGAAAATGCTTTTATCTTGATTGTTGAAGTTTGGCTACACCCCCTTATGTTTTTCACCTGAAGCAAGTACTTCTCCCACTCACCCTGCCCCAGTACCGCTCTCAAGGACCCTGAGGCCTGGCTCTCTAGGCCATCAGAGCACCTGTGCTTCTCCTCAGGCCTCCCTGCAGTACCAGTCCGGCAGCCAGTGGTATCACACCTGTGGAGGCTTCCTGGTGGCCAAGAACTGGGTTGCGACTGCGGCTCACTGCGTCAGGTAACTGCCTTTGTCAAGCCCACCCTGTTGCTCACCTAGTGGTGGGCATGCATCTCCGAGAGCATGGCCTCAATGAGTGCCAGCCCAAGGGGGCCTTGCAAGCTGCCATTTGCCTGGCCAAGACACAGGCGTTAGTCAATCTATACAATTCAGTGTTGATCAATTCTATGTCAATATATGGTGTGGACTGAGTGCCCTGTGCCCTGAGGGGGGAAATGGAGGAGAGAAAGCCCAGTTCCTGCCCTCTTGGAATATCAGACGATGTCTCTGGCTTGGAATTGTTTTCCCTTGACAACTTAAATGCCTTCTCTAACACTTCAGTACCATCGCCCGAAAAAAGTAGGCTAACAGGGCTAGTGTTGTAGCTCAAGTGGTACCGTACCTGCCTCGCCAGCCCAGGCACTGAGTTCAAGCCCCAGTACACCACCACAAAAAAAGTGGGGTAACAGTTTAATATGGACTAAATGAGATGGTATGGGCCTGGCACTTTAGTAAGTGCCTGACAAAAGGTAATTAGAACATATGTACCCATCAAAAAGGCCCAGAAGGGAAAGAAAAGGTTCTGCAGCATTGCTCACTTACTCTGTGACCTCTGCTTATCTCACGTCAGCTGGAACTCACTGGCGTTCTTGGGTCCATTGGGTCTGTGTGACTCCTTGCTGGAAACGGTTCCATCTCCCGCCTGATCTATAGGCTGTATGAAGGTGTTGGGGGTTGGGGGAATGATAGAGACCAGGGAGTGAGCCCTCCTGGGTCTGGTTCTAGATTCTCACTGGACTCATTCCAACTCCTCTCTGGACCTTAGTTTCCCATTTGAAAATGAGAGGTGAAGGATTAAATTAGAAATAACCCAGAAGGTTATTATCCTCCATGATAATCCAGAGTTTCCATTAGTACAACTTTTCTTACATGATGTAGCTTATAATTAGTATAGGACAGTTATAATTATTACAGTTATGGTGTCATACTGTGTATGTTATATTATAACTAACTGGTTGCCCTGGGGAAGAAAATTCTTCAAGCCCCACATAGCAGTTACACATTGGGTTGTCCTTGCATGGAGGGAAAAGAGGGAGCTGACCTCTCCGTTTTGCCCTCCCAGCAATTCCAAGACCTACCGCGTGGTGCTGGGCCGGCACAGCCTCTCTACCCAGGAAAGCGGTTCCCTGACCGTCAAGGTCTCCAAATTTGTGGTGCACGAGAACTGGAACTCCAACCAGGTTGCCCAAGGGTGCGTCCTGTCACTGTGCACAGGGGTCACAGGGGGTGGGGTCGGCAGGGCCACCAAGGGCAGTCAGCCCCGTCCCTTCTCTGCAACTCCTGCAGGAGGCTCTGAGCCTCTAGAGATGAAGTCAACCTCAAAGCTGCCTGGGTGGGGTGACCCAGGGCAGGGAGAAGCAAAGACTGCGGGTGCACACGGGCCTCCTGCCAGTATGCCTACAGGCCTCTGGTACCCCAGGCTCCCACCGACCACGTGTCCAGGTCGTGCTAAGGGGACACAGGGATGGTGATGCAGACTCCACGGTTGGTCCGTGGAATAAGACTGTCTCTCCCCGTGTCCCCCTCCCTGAGCCCTCCAAAAAACGTTCTGTACATCTTCAAGGTGCCCTGGCCACACTTCCCACCAGGGTGGCCTGGAGTAATGCATCCTGAAAGATGACAAAGTAGGAAAAGGACAGGGACAGTCACCCCTCCTCATGCCCTGCCTCTTTCCTAACCCAGGAATGACATTGCCCTGCTCAAACTGGAGAGCTCCGTCACCCTGACCAACAAGATCCAGCTGGCCAACCTCCCAGCCTCCGGCACCATTCTATCCAACAACTACCCTTGTTATGTCACAGGCTGGGGCAGGCTGCAGAGTAAGTGTGGGCCAGAAGCCTAAGGCCTGGCCTGGAGGGGAAGTAGATCACCCTATTCTGGGGCATTGCCTGCCTTAAATAGGAAGGCAAGCAGATACGAATAAGTCTGCCTGGGTTCAAATCTCAGCTCTCCCACTGTTAGCTCTGTGACCTTGGACACATTACTGAGCCTCTTGTGCTAGTTTCTTCATCTGTAAAATGGGGGTGGTAACCGCGCCTACATCACAAGTTGTTAGAAGGACTGAGGGAGCTAGTCCATGGGCAGCACTTGATCAGGAACTAAGGCACAGGGTAGCTGCTGTGTGCTACTCCTTGCCCTCTGATGAGAATGAGGGCTACAGAGACCACATGGAATCTCCTGCGTGGCTTACAGTCACAGTTTTTGCTCTGTGACCTCCAGCTTCTGGAGCTCCACAGAGGTCCCTGGGTCCCTCATTGGATCCTTACTCCCCATGTCCAAAGCTGTCCCCTATGCCACCAAGCCTTGCTGAGACCCCAGCTGAGTAACATAGACCCCAAGGGTCAAAAATCTAATGACAGTAGGTCACCAAGAAGCAACAGAGCACCTGCCCTTCCCTTATAAAATCACCAGATCTGGGAAGATTTATGCAAATGAGTATTACTTCAGAACGACATAAACCTGTAAGTATAAGTGACATATGAGTACATCAGGGCACATGCACTCAAATAAGTCACTATGGCCTTCTTGACTGGCTTGGTGCAAAAACAAGGAAACCAGAAAAACTCAGTGGAAGCAGGGAGGGCAGAGGAGGCCTCTCATGCTCGCAGATACACACATGGCCACCTGTTTGTTCGCCCAGAAAACCCTGGGGTGCAGTGCATTTCTTCTGAGATGGCAAGGGCAAGGGAGGGTCCAAATGCTTGACTTTTCTGTCAGTCACTATGTAACCTTGATCGGGCCACTTTGGAACCTCAGTTTCCTCATCTGTAAAATGGAACTTCTGTTGGTGAAGATTAAAAGAGATGTGGATGAAAATGCTTCATGCATTGCAGAATGTTATCCAAGTGTTAATCATGCATTAATTAGAGCAGTCTTAGGCTCTTGTCTTGGCTTAGGTTTTAGGTCTCTTGGCTCCAACATCCCATTTATCGAAAGGCGTGACTATTACTGTGGGACTGGTGTGTTTGGAGGGTGGGTTAAAGTGCAGATGAAGGATGACAGGCTCCCTCTCCTTGCCATTAGTATTAGTGATAAGGGGTAGCAGTGTCATTGGGGCCATTAGGCTCTGCTTCACCACACTGAAGTATTTTTCCCAACTGGAGGGCTCCGAATGCCAGCAAGCTCAGTCATGTTCAAGAAAAGTGACAGAAACCCATAGAGCTAACTCAGCAAAAGGGGGAATTTGTTATAAGAATTTAAGAGTTTCAATCCAAGGAGGACTGCAACCGGTAAGAAACTCAATAAAAACTCCTCCAGAATCTCTTTTCTTTGTAGCTCTAGCTAATCCTTCTCTACATAGAAGGAAATGGTGGCCACTGCCATCTCTGGCTGGGCTCTTTTAGGCTCCAATCCAAATTCCCAGGAGAAATAGCTCATTGGCTTAGCTTGAGTCAGGTGCTCACCTCTGACCCAATCACTAGTGGCCAGAACACTAACCAATCAACTGTGAGGACACAGTGTTGACAAACATGGCTGTTCCACTGCAACCCTTTGAGTGGGAGAAAGCAGCAAGGACTGGAAAGAAAAGTGCAGGACAGAAAACTCAGTAGGTGTCACTTCTTCCTTTTTACTCAGGAGTCCCTTTGTCCCTCTAAAGCCTTCTCTCTCGTCTCTTTCAGCCAATGGGGCCACTCCTGACGTCCTGCAGCAGGGCCGGTTACTAGTTGTGGACTACGCCACATGCTCTAGCTCAAGCTGGTGGGGCAGCTCCGTGAAGACCACCATGGTCTGCGCTGGGGGTGACGGTGTGACTTCCAGCTGCAATGTAAGTACAAAATCAGGGCCCCATCTACACAAAATGTGGGGGGATGGGGGCGAGGGAGCCTCATGGGTCCTGACATCCATCCTTTCACCTCCTGGCAGAAGCTTTGGAAATGGCTGTGGACATTTCGGACCTGACCTTTGTCCTTGTAGTCCCTTGATCAAAAGGACACCCTGCTTCATTACTGGGAAGTGCTTTCCTGGGCCTCATTACTGCCATCTCTCTTTCCTCTGCAGTAGAGTGGGGACACAGTGGGAAGGGACTTCTCACGCCCTTCAGATCAACTATGCCCTGACTCTCTGCCACACATAGACCTCCAGGAAAGTCTCTTGTCATGGGAGGAAGCAGCCACTCTGGGGTGTGGGTCTCCTCTCCTTCACTCAGGGCCTGTCCCACCTCAGGCAAGTCACAGCCTCTGAGCACCCTAGCTTTTCTTTCTAGTGAACTTGGCTCCTCACAAAGCTTTCTTCAGAGGCTTTTGTGAAGATGAACTGAGATAAGGCCTAGAAAGTGCTCAGCTCAGCCAGGGCAATAAGAAATGGTAGCCATGATGGGCATGATGGTACCACCTAGAGCTATGACCACAGGACTGGCTTCAGGGGACACAGCCACCCACGTAGAACAGTGCAGATGCACTGAGAACCAGGGTCCCGTGGGCAGCTCCTTCGCCTCCCTTCACCCCTAACTCTGGCTCCCTCAGGGGGACTCTGGCGGACCACTGAATTGTCAGTTGAATGGCCAGTGGCAAGTGCATGGAATAGTCAGCTTCGGGTCTTCTCTTGGTTGCAACTACTACCGCAAGCCCTCCGTCTTCACCCGGGTCTCCTACTTCATCAGCTGGATTAATTCGGTAAGAATCCGACCAGCCCAGAGCCTGTGGGGCCTGCCCTGCCCCCTGAGCTCACAAAGGCTGTGCCGGCCTCGAGTATAGAACCCCCTTCCTTGAACTAGGCAGTCTCCCTGGAAGAAGGAGGCTGCACACCTGGACAACCCCTGCTAGGCCCTTCAGGAATCCCCGAATTGCCTCTGTGGGGAAAATTGAGTGATAAGGAACGTAGGTGAGTTTGTCCAAGAAGGAATACAAAGGAACCCTCAGGCATTGAGAGTGGGTTCCTTAGGATCGATGTGGAGGCCCAAACTCTACCTTCCAGTCCTATAAATGGTTGTATTTGTCTGCAAAGTCCAAACCTGATGGTTTGACACTCCCCACAGTCTTAATTACTAGAAATTAGTTTCCTCAAAGAGGAACGTCCATGTGTCCGTCCCTGTCTGTCTGTCCACCCACTCATCCCACCCCCCTCACCTGGCTATTATGCAGAGTGATCAACCATCCAACCATCCCCTTCTGCCTAGAGGATAAGGGATTCCTGGATTTCTGGGATGCAGGACCTTTCAGTTTTATGTTTGCCAGTCCCAGACACATGGGCTATGTTGGTCTTCCTGTGACTTTGTGTCCCCAGATAGCTGTCTCCATGAGCTCTACCACAGCAATCAACACATATTTGTTTATAATAATGATCATAAAAATTGTTTATTTAAAAAAATAACTTGCCACAAGCCAAGCCTGTAATCCTAACAGGATTGAGAGGCCGAGATCAAGAGGATTGTGGTTTGAACTCAGCCTGGGCAAAAAGTTAGCAAGACCCTATTGCAGAAAGCGCAAAATGGGAGGACCTCAGTCTGGCCAGCCTAGGCAGAAAGCAAGACCCTACCTCCAAAATACCCAGAGCAAAAGAGTTGACAGAGTGACTTAAGTGGTAGAGCACCTGCCTAGCAAGCATGAGGTCCTGAGTTCAAACTCCAGTATCACCACCACCCCCAAAAAAATCCTAGCAAATCCTAGTACTGGGAGGCTGAGGCAGAATGATCAGGCCAGTCTGGGATATTTAGGGTAAGCCTATCCCCCTCAAAATATAATAATCATAATTTTACTTTTTAATTTTTTGGAGGTACTGGGGTTTGAATTCAGGACCTCTCACTTGCTAAGTAGGTGCTCTACACCTTAAGCCATTCTGCCAGCCCTTTTTTGTGATGGGTATTTTCAAGCTAGGGTGTGGCCTGGGGCTGGCTTCGAACCACAATCCTCCTGATCTCTGCTTCCTGAGAAGGTAGGATTGCAGGTGTGAGCCTGTAATAATCATAATTTTAAAAACAATTTCTGGCACCAACATTAAAGACAAGCCACAGATACAAGCAGCAGGGGGTGGCCACAGCCAGAACAAGAGAAGTCATCCCAAGCAAGGGGCTCCTGGGTGAGGTTGAGTGATGGATGCTGGGAGGGAAGCAAGACACTCTAGACTGATGAGGGCATGTTTTAAACCACGCCCATCATTGCCACCACCTCTGTTTGCTCTTCTGTAAAATGGGACTTTAGGGCCGAGCCTCCTTGGTGCATTTAGGAGCCAGGGCAAAGAGATGGTGGTGTCTGAGGCAGAGCCCAAGAAAGGGAAGCTAGTATCTGATTTTGTCCTTTCAAGTTTAATTTGTAGGGAACACTAAATTGAATGAACCTGTCACTGTTACAAACAAAATATGAAACTGTAGCCACATGCATGTGATCACAGGAGGGAAACACTGTTGGTGTCAGCAGGTGGCTCCCTCCAAGTTTGCTCACAAAGACTTGCCAGCTCTGTGTTCATTTTCTGTCTGCTGGCTCTGCTTGGCTGACAAATGGTCACAGCCTGAGATTCCAAACAAGCTTGTTGGAGAAAAATGGGAAAGCAGAGAAAGAGAGAGAGGCCATACATTTGTGGGAATTGTTTTTGTGCTTTTGGAAACTAGGAATGCCATGATTAAATTTTGGCAGAGGGAAATCTGAGTCCAGCTTTGGAGGTTAGCACCTTCCAAAGGATCCAACTCTAATTGGATAGGATGCTTGGGGCTTCTTCCCAGCCAAATCCTGGGGTCCTCCTGCAGCCCCAGCTGCCGTGTGAGTCACCAAGCAGCTCAGGACCCAGAGCTGAAGCCCAGGCAACTGTCCTGACTTCTTGTCCCAGCATCAGCTGTTTCCAGCCATAGACAAGGACACCAAGCAGGCCAGATGGCCAGGAGATCAACAGGGAAGCAAACCTTGCACAGCAGCTGGCAGGAGGCCCTGTGCACATGGGAGGGCAGCCAGGGCAGTACAGATGCCCAGGAATGGGTTCCAGGAGTGGGAGAGCCAGGCAGCCCACTGTCCCCTGGTGGAGGCTTCCTAGCAGCTGCAGAAGGGCCAGTGGAACCTTACAGTGGTCCCAGCCAGGGCACACACATGCACGTGAGCCTTGGGTAGCAAACAGCTCCCTGGGGACACTTGGGGGCACCGCCTGGAGAGGCCTAGACAGGTGATGAGCCACGGCCATCAACAAAAGGCATAAGCAGGGAGGGGGACAGGGCATAAGTCCTTTCAACACACGTTCATCGAATGATAGCAACACATGAACCTTCAGCAAGCACTAGCTTTATTTTTTTGTTCAGAAGGTAATACTTCTTTATAAAAATACTAAAGGAATACAGCAGTGTATCGAGTACAGAAGTAGACCCCCCCCCCTTTCAGATACCTACCCAATTGCACTCTGCAGAGGTAATTGGTTAACAGCTTGGGGCGTGGCCTTCTGGGCGTCTATATGCATATAAAATACCTTTGTATGTACAAAGACAGTCTTCCAACCACCAAAAGGGTCTTCCTCCCCACCCACAATTTCATTTTTCACTTAATCCCAGATCATGTTTTACCTGTCAGCACCTTTTGCACAGCTACATAGTATTTCATAGTAAGCATATGGTGAGGGGTGTGTCTGTGTGTCCTGTTTTTCAGTCCCACACTGCTACAGTGAGGGACCTTGGACATACGTTCTTGTACCTGGCCCTTCGTATTTGTGCTATGGAGATCCAGAGCTTCACTGCTCATGGACTTGGCATATCGAAATGTTCATGAGCTGGACGTGTAGCCCAGTGGTGGAGTATGTGCTTAGCATGTGGGGAGGCCCTGGGTCCAATCCCCAGCACCCCTCCCCCAAGAGGCAGGAGGCATCTGAAAGCAAGTTATAGCTCCCCCCACTCTGGGCATGACAGTGCCTCAAAACAGCAGTTTTGATTTGAAAATACATGAACTCTAAAAGCACACCGAGGGCTGGTAGAGTGGCTCAAGCGGTAGAGCACTACCGCTCTAGTAGTGCTAGCAAGCATGCCTAGCAAGCATGAGGCCCTGAGTTCAAACCCCAGTGCCGCCAAAGAAATAAAAAACTAAAAAAAATAAATAAAAGCACACCGATGCATCCACACATTTGCCATATTGTTTGTAGGGGTTCAGAGGCCCCCCAGCCTGAAGCCCAAAAAGGACTCCAGTGCCCCTGGCAGCTCGGTGCAAGCTGTGATCACATCCTTTTCTCCCCAACGTCATCAGAACACCTCATGCAGGCTGCGTGTTACCTGGAAGGACCAAGGCAGCCCGGCTGTGAGGTTAACTTGTTTTCTTGTGTGTCTCCTGCAGGTGATTGCAAACAACTAACCAAAGAAGCCTCTGCATTGTCACCCTTGGAAAGGTTGCAGAAAAAAGACAATAATAAAGTGACAATTGCATGAATCCATCTTGGTGAGAGTCTTATTAACAAACCACCCTGACTTCCAGGGCCCTGAAAGCAAACAGGCCAAGGTCAGGGCAGCTTCAAAGACCTCAGGGACAGGGACTTCTCTGGGGAGATGTGGCATTTAACTATTGTACAGCACAGTTACCCTGCAGTCCAGGGACAGGTGGCCCTCAGCAAGCAAGGCACATGGGAAGGAGGGGCTGAGACTCAGAACTCCCCAGGCTCTGGCCAGGTGTCCCCACTGGAAAACTGTTTCCTTGGACAACAGACTTCACCTCTCTGAACTCATGGGTCCCATGTCCCACCTATGGGACTTCCCAGTCACTTCTTGGGATGGGAAGGGATCAAACAAAGTAAGATGTGGGGAAATGTTTGAGGAAAGCAAAGTCTCCTTTGTAAGGAAGAACAGAGAACTGGAGCAAAATGAGGGGAAATAGGAAGAAGAGTCCATATTTGCCTAAGGTTTATTTTTTAAAAATAAGTAATGCAAAAGGGAAAGTTAAGCCCTTCATTTATGATTCACAGGTCCCAACTGTCTAGACCTAAGTTTGTTGGTTTGTCAGCAGCAAAAGACCCTGGCAGATCCGTGGTTCTCGAGTGGGAGCAGTTTTGTCCCTCAGGGTCACATCTGGCAATGTCTGAAGACATTTTTGGTTGATGCAAATTGGGGGAGCTGCTACTGGCATCTGGTAGATGGGGGCCAGGAATGACAAAGCACCTTACAATGCACAGAACACCCCCATGACGAACGATGATCTAGCCCCACATGTCCACACTGCTGAGGGTGAGAAGCTGTAGAGAGGATGTGGGTGTCACGGGACACAGTCCCCAGCCACAGCTGAAGAGACCATGTGGTGTCAGAGGCTTTCTGCTCCTCTCCCTCCACCGCTCAGCTTCTGTCACTAGCCTGGAAGCTGCTGACAGCATCTGTGGCCAGTAAGGAAAGAGCAGACCCCCGACTGACTACAAAGCCCTTGACGATGTGCAGGAGAGTCTGGACCTCAGCCACCTCCAGGCCTGGAGCAGGAAGGTTTGGGGTGCATAAGGCAGGAAGAGCGGCCCTGTCCTCATGAAGTTTTAAAGAAAAGTTTTTTCCGGAGGAAATTAAAACAACCAGGAATCTGTTTGTAAATCCCTTTCTCCGAAACAGCATTAGCGACCTGCAAACACAATCACAGGAAGCTCTGTGAGCTTGGTTCTCTTGATTGAAGCAAGAATGGAAAAGGTGAACAGGTGGAAGGCCCGCCAAGCAGGTGTGACTCAATCTGTAGAGCACCTGCTTTGCAAACACAAAGCCCTGTGTTTAAACCAGTTCCACCCTCCCCCACCAAAAAATTGCAAAATTCACAATTTGGGCTAGGGGTGTAGTTTAAGTGGTAGAGCACTTGCCTAGCAAGTGCAAGGTTCAATCCTTAGTACAGCAAAAAAAAAAAAAAAAATTAATTTCAAAATTCAAAAATTCACAAAGTCCAAATCGAACTGAGAGGTTTATAGGAAGGAAAGTAGAGAGAAAAGGTCAGGACCAGGACCTTGTATGGCTTGGCCTTGGCTGTCCCATTCCTGGGGCCCTCGGTGGCCTAGAAGGGTTACTTTCCCAGTGCTATGGCACCTGGAGTCATGGGAGGTGACCACCCTGTGCTCGTTTGTCTCCTGAGGAGCAAGGGTGGCCCATCCCTCACAGCCCCTTCTTATGGTAGAATACCTGAACAGATCAGGAAGGACCCATGGGCACTCCCCAGAGGCAGCCACAGGCAGGAAGCGTCTCTGAGTGGCTGTCACTTCCCTGTCTGTGTTCTCACTGACGCCTTCAGAAAGGGGATGCACTCAGGAGAGTCACAATGCTTGAGGGTCAAGAGTAAAAGACCATGTCAAGAGGTGAAGGGTAGAGGCAGAGGCCCATGCCAGCCTTTAGGGGTGTCATGCTCTAGTCACTGGGCCATCCCACTGTAGCACTGAGAATGGCCCTGACAGCTGGGAACAGAGAAGTGCCAGCCTGGGGGCCTCTGAGGAGGCAGGGCAAATGTCACCAAAGGAAGTCATTAAGAAAAGCAAAAGGATCCACCAACCCTCACAGCAAGTTGGGTCTGCTCAGACACGGACAGGGCCCCGTGGTTATTTGTCTTACGTTTGGATCTGGTGTCCCAGCCACACCTCTCCCTGGGGAGGAAGGGGCACTCACCCTGAGCAGGAGGGACTGGAGATCTTCAGAGTGTGCCCACTGCTCAAGGACACCATCCAGGGTCTCGATGTACCAGGAGCCACTCTTGGTGTCCCTCCAGGAGACAAAACCTTCAGGAGGAAGAAGACTGTTGGAAAGCTGTCCCTGACCGAGGGTATGGGCTGGGGCCACCTCCAGATGGTGACCCACTTACATGTGGTAGAGCAGCCCCAACCCTCCACCCCACACTCTTATTATCTTACTCACAATCTCAACCACTTCCTGACTTTGACCATGGCTCCCCTTTTCCCAGGAAGAAAACCAAGGCTCCAAGAAGCCAGGTGATTTACCCGAGGGATGAAGAAGGACATATTTTATTCCTTCTCTCCTATTAAATGCCAGACACTAGGTTCAGTGACATGCCAGCCCCCTTGTTTGCTCCTCATGACAGCCCCTGAAGTACGGTGACTATCCCCATTTTAAAGATGGGGAAGCTGAGGCAGAGTTGGAGGAGGGTGAGGCAAGAGAGGCACACACACCAAAGGGTATGGCAGGACTCCCTACACTGTGCATCCCAGGTGCTTTGCCCTGAGCTGATACAACTTGCTCAGGGTCACAGGTGGCAAGGGGCAGGACCAGGACTTCAAATGGCTGCCTCGAGGGTGGCTGGGAGATGAGCTCACCTGGGAAGGTGGAGTAGGACACAAGGATGTCACTTGGGGTGGGCAAACTCGACACGGCATCCAGCTGGTCAAAGGTCCTCAGGCCTTCCTGGAATGGGATAGCATCTGGCTCAGAGTTACTGTCAGAGGCCCTGTCTTCAGGGGAAGCTTGGGACACCTCAAAGCCATGGTCTTTCTGCTCTGCAGGAGGTAGAAACAAACACCACATGTTGCTGCAATAGTGACAAAGAAAATACTTCACTTGTGAATGCTACCAATTGCTGAAAGGGAAATTAACACCAACCCTCAGACCTTCCGAAACAATTAAAGAAGAAGGAATACTTCCTAATTCATTCTCTATGGTCAGTATTATCCTGAGAGCAAAGCCATATACTAAGACACAAAGATACTACAATAAAATATAACTATAGACCAATATCCCTTATAAACATTGATGCAAAGATCTGAGCACAGCACCAGCAGACAGAATTCAGTGTCATATTAAAAGGATTATACACCATGACCAGGTGGAACCTACTCCTGGAATACAAGGATGGTTCAACATTTGAAAATTGACTGATGTAACCACCACATCAGCAGAACAAAGGGGGAAAAAAAGGCATGATCATCTCACTTGATGCAGAAAAAAGCATTTTATAAAATTCAACATTTCATGATAAAAACAAAAAGCCCTCAACAAACCAGAAATAGAAGGAAACAACCTCAAAATAATACAAGCCACATGTGAAAAAATCCACAGCAGACATCACACTCAATGGTAAAAGAATGCCTGCTTTTGGCTGAGTGTGGTGGCTGCGCTGGTAATCCTAGCTATTCAGGAGGAGGAGATCCAGAGGATAGCAATGCAAGGCCAACCCAGACTAAAGAGTTTGCAAGACCCCATCACAACCAATTGCTGGGCATGTTAGCACACACCTGTCATCCCTCTACTTGGGAAGTATAAATAGGAGGATAACAGTCTACATCAGCCCTGAACATAAAGCAATACCTATCTCAAAAATAACCAAAGCAAAGGGAGCTGGAGGAGTGGCTCAAGTGGTAGACTGCCTGCTCTGGAAGCATGAAGGCCTGAGTTCCAACCCCAGCACCAATTAAAAAAAAAACAAAAAAGTATCTGCTTTTGTCAGTTCTACTCAACATGGTATTTGAAGTTCTAAACACAGCAATTAGGCAAGAAAAAGAAATAAAATGTATCTAAATAAAAGTCATCCCTTCACCAAGTACTGGTGGCTCATGCCTGAAGTCTAGTTACTCAGGTGGCAGAGATCAGGAGGATCACAGTTCAAAGCCAGCCTGGGTAAATAGTTCAGAAACCCTATCTTGAAGAAATCCAGCATAGAACAGGGCTGGCTGAGTGGCTCAAGGTGTAGACCCCAAGTTCAAACATCAGTACAGAAAAGAAAGAAAGGGAAAGAAGGGAGGGAAGGAAGGGAGGGAGGGAGGAAGTAAGGAAGGAAGAAAGGATGGAAGGAAGGAAGGAAGGGAGAAATCAAAGGAAATTCCAAAAACAAAATTTTTAATTGCCCTTGTGTGCATTCCACAGTTCGGTACGTGAAGAGAAGCTCTCAGTCAGTCTTGAGTTATCACCAGTGCTCCTTAAATTGTTTCCCTGCCATTCATTTTGTGAAAATACAGTATGCTTCCCAAAAAGCAAATGGTGCCCAAAAAGCAAGGTAAAAGTTAAGGTGCTTAACTAAAGAGGTAAAGAGAAAGTCAGCTCTGTTGGAAGGCAGCCTGTCTTTAGCGGAAGTTGGGTGGCATCATGGGAAAATGAACCCAGCATCCGTGGTGCAGTGCTGAGCTCTGCATCCTGAGCGTGCACTTTTCCTCCACAGCGGCCTCCTGGGAACCACAGACCCACGGGTACCAAGGGTCTGCTGTACTGGTGACTTCTGTTCTTCCCTCAAAGGTGCAGGGAACCAGCACCCTGTGCCCTGCTTTCTCCCACTCTACTACCCGGAGGGACCCCAGGCCTGCAGGGCCAGACTTCCCAGCTTCTCAAAGAGTCACTGTCCTCAGCACTTCTGCTTGCTTCCTCGCTAGAAATTCTGGAATGACTTGACGTGGTTCAGTGAATGGGGATGTGAGTGTGGGGCTGTGGCCAGGTCACTTAGGTGGGGTGTGTCCCCAAAGGTCCCCAAGGGCTCACGTGTTGGGAGCCGGGTCCTCAGTGGCAACGTGTAGGTAGTGATAGGACCTTTAAGAGGCAGGGCCTCATGAGAAGTTGCAAAACTGAGCTCCTGCTTCCTGTCTCACATGTGCTTCATGAGGCCAGGTGCCATGAGCCAGCCCATGCCCTCGATGGCCAGAAGAGTGGGCCAAATAAACCTCTTTTCTTTATAAAGCCCCCAGCCCCAGGTATTTCATTATAGGGACAGAAAACTAAGTACTGCATGGGTGATGCCATATGGATGGCTGAAGGAGAGGAGAGATGAGCAGAGAGAAGGCCTACGTAAAACAACGAGACCGCAGGATCAGTCAGAGGGGGATGCGGCTCAGCCACAACTCTCCCTGTGCCATCCTCACTCTGCAGGTCTGAGGTGAAGGCCTAGCTGCCAGGGTTATACCCTATACCCACGGCTTGGTTCCTAGAGAGCCTCAAATTCAAAACTCCCAGTGAGGCAAGACTTATTCCCCTAAGAATAAACATTCAGTGGGAGGCAGAGCGTTCCCACAGCATGTAAAATCCAAAATCGCCATGGTATACTGTGGTGGCTTTCTGCCTTCTCAGCACCATCTCTAAAATTCTGAAGAGGGGTCATCACAAAATTGACCACTTGGTCTAACCAAGCAGCCGCTTGGCTTTGGCCAAGAGTGTCAGACTGTGTCACGCTGACAAGTACAGGGCACGCTTTTTCAGCCCTGGTGCCTTGCTGCTTTATAACAAAGGGGTAGATGACATGTTGTGTTTTAAATTATAATAGTAAGTTTTAAAAATAGTGACATAACAGTCACCAGAATTCAGGGCAGGCATTCTGGGGCCAGTACACAGAACACCCTGCCAGATGCAGTCAGGGAACAGGAACATTTCTGTTTCTGCTCTTGGCACCACCATGTGGCACCAGCATTAAACACTGTGTCACAAACTCTAAAGTTGATACAGGAAGGAATAGGAAATACTCTGGAATTAATAGGTATAGGTAAGAACTTTCTCAAGGGAACCCCAGCAGCACAGCAAATAAGAGATAGCATAGATAAATGGGACTTCATAAAACTAAAAAGCTTCTGCTCAACAAAAGAAATGGTCTCTAAACTGAAGAGAACACCCACAGAGTGGGAGAAAATATTTGCCAGCTACACATCAGACAAAGGACTGATAACCAGAATATATAAGGAGCTTAAAAAACTAAATTCTCCCAAAACTAATGAACCAATAAAGAAATGGGCAAGTGAACTAAACAGAACTTTCTCAAAAGAGAAATTCAAGTGGCCAAAAAACACATGAAAAAATGCTCACCATCTCTAGCAATAAAGGAAATGCAAATTAAAACCACACTAAGATTCCACCTCACCCCTGTTAGAATAGCCATCATCAGCAACACCACCAACAACAGGTGTTGGCGAGGATGCGGGGAAAAAGGAACCCTCTTACACTGTTGGTGGGAATGTAAACTAGTACAACCACTCTGGAAAAAAAATTGGAGGCTTCTTAAAAAGCTAAACATTGATCTACCATTTGATCCAGCAATACCACTCTTGGGGATATACCCAAAAGACTGTGACACAGGTTACTCCAGAGGCACCTGCACACCCATGTTTATTGCGGCACTGTTCACAATAGCCAAGTTATGGAAACAGCCAAGATGCCCCACTACTGAAGAATGGATCAAGAAAATGTGGTGTCTATACACAATGGAATTTTATGCAGCCATGAAGAAGAACGAAATGTTATCATTCGCTGGTAAATGGATGGAATTGGAGAACATCATTCTGAGTGAGGTTAGCCTGGCCCAAAAGACCAAAAATCGTATGTTCTCCCTCATATGCGGACATTAGATCAAGGGTAAACACAACAAGGGGATTGGACTTTGAGCACATGATAAAAGCGAGAGCACATAAGGGAGGTATGCGGATAGGTAAGACACCTAAAAAATTAGCTAGCATTTGTTGCCCTTAACACAGAGAAATTAAAGCAGATACCTTAAAAGCAACTGAGGCCAATAGGAGAAGGGGACCAGGAACTACAGAAAAGGTTAGATCAAGAAGAATTAACCTAGAAGGTAACACCCACGCACAGGAAATCAATGTGAGTCAATGCCCTGTATAGCTATCCTTATCTCAACTAGCAAAAACGCTTGTTCCTTCCTATTATTGCTTATACTCTCTCTTCAACAAAATTAGAAATAAGGGCAAAATAGTTTCTGCCAGGTATTGAGGGGGTGGGGGGGAGCGGGAGGGGGCAGAGTGGGTGGTAAGGGAGGGGGTGGGGGCAGGGGGGAGAAATGACCCAAGCATTGTATGCACATATGAGTAATAAAAAAGTAAAAATTAAAAAAAAAATACAAAAAAAATAATAAACACTGTGTCACATAGCCTGAGGGGACAAAAGGGGAAACTGAAAACTCCAAAGGGGACATCTTACCACATTCCAGCCTTGAAATCTTGCTGCTCCCAGGGAGTTTTGATTTGTTTTGTTTTCATGGCAGGAGTGAGCATTATTTCAAGATTTTGCTCTTAGATATTTTATAAGGTTCTATTTCAAATTCAAATAACTAGAATCCATGTCGGATGCAGCCAGACTGTGAGTGCATCAGGCTGGGGCCTCAGCTATAGGACCAAAGGGCCTAGCTCTACCCTCAGAGAGCTGACAGGGGCGAGGCCTGTCAGTGCAAACACAGTGCTGTGGCAGGGAAAGGACAGGGCCACAGGAGCACAAGGGTCAGCTGGTCCTGACCTTATGCAAGGAAGGAGTGTTTAGGGAAGACTTCCTGGAGGCGGTGACTATAAGTTACTATAAGTAACCAGAAGGACAGTTAATTAAGAGGTAGCCAGCAACAGGACAAAGGAGCAAGCAAGAGCTCAGGCCATCCTGGTAAGGTTGGACTGTGCTAGGGGGTGGGAGGCAGGGGAACAACAGGATGCTGGATGCCAGGCTAGTAGGGAAAGCAAAGTAGTAGAGGCCAGATCACCCTGCTCAGAAGTTCAAAGAGTGACATCACTGATATGTACACGACAAAGTCTTACTTGCTGTTGAGAATGGACAAGAGGTGGGGGGGGCACAAGATAGGCAAACTGCAACTGTCCTAGAAAGCTGGCCTCCCTCCCTGGCCTCCCTCCTGATAGCCTGTGCATCTGTCATGTGATTCACAGGAGAAAGAAAAGCCAGGACCTGGGTCACCGACAATGCTCTTGGTAGGAAGGAGGAGTGTGACAGCCCAGGGCAGCAGCCTCTCTGCTATCTGTATTCTGAAGCGACAGTGCTGGCTACAGGAGGGACCCCGGCCCTCTGGGGATGTTCACTTACTACAGTGAGCCAAGCCCTCTACACACACCAGTAGTGCATTACGTATGATCACAGTAACCCCAAGAGGTAGGATCTGTTAGGATCCCCATTTGCAGAGACTTCTAGAAATTAACTGGCCTGGAGCCATGCAACGAGTAAGCAGCCAATCCAGGATTTCAGGGAGTGTTCTCCATCCCTAGCAAAATGGTTACAGGCATGATAAACTCCAAGGGACGGAGCACCTAGTGCACAGGCTGGCATACACGGCAGGTGCTCAATAAACACTTACTAGATGAATCATGTGACCAGGTATGTTCCCCTAGGGAGCTTCCACCCCACCCTGCCGCTGTGGACCAGTGTGAGGCAGTTGAAACACACCACGGTTCTGGATGTTTGCAGTCCCCCTCGCGCAAACTGGACCCGCTTCATGGGGAACTCAGATTAGGGGACAGGAACTGACGAGCCTTTCAGATGTCCAGCCCTGGAAAGCCCAGGACAGAAGGGACACTATTGTTCCTTGCTATCATGACCCATAGGCCAGGGAGCCAGTATTTCTTTCTTTTCTATTTATTTTTGTTTATTTTTAGAGATGGGGTTTTGATACCTTCCCCAAGTTGATCTTGAACCCATGAGAGCAAGTGATCCTCTTGCCTCAAAACCCAAATAGCTGGGACTACAGGTATGCACCGCCATGCCCATTTCTTTTTTTTTCTTGGTTTGAACTCAGGGCCTCACACTTGCTAGGCAGGTGCTCTACCACTTGAGCCAATTCACCAGCCCTCCTTTTGTTTTATAGAAAAAACCAGGGCAGGGTTCAGTTACTTACACCTATAATCACAGCTTCTCAGCAAGAAGTGATCAGGAGGATCGTAGTTAGAGGCCAGCTTGGGCAAAAAGTTAGCAAAGACCCCAACAGCTTGGAATTGTGGCACATGCCTGTCATACCAGCTATGTGGGAAGCATAAATAGAAGGATCACCACAAAATGTGAGACCCTACTCCAAAAAAATAATTAAAACAAAAAAATGCTAGGGCATGGTTCAAGTGGTAGAACACCTGCCTATTAGACATGAGGCCCTGAATTCAAACCTCAGTACCACCAAGAAAAAAAAAAGGTGCTAGGCACCAGTGGCTCATGCCTGTAATCCCAGCTACTCAGGAGGCAGAGATCAGGAGGATAGCAGTTAAAAGCTAGCCCAGTTGGCAGAGTGGCTCAAGTGGTAGAGCGCCTGCCTAGCAAGCATGAGGTCCTGAGTTCAAATCCCAGTTTTGCAAAAAAAGAAGCTAGCCCAGGCAAATAGTTCCCAAGACCCTATCTCAAAAAAACCATCACAAAAAAGGGCTGATGGAGTGGCTCAAGGTGTAGGCCCTGAGTTCAAACCCCACTACTGCAAAAAAATAATAAATAAATAAATGGTAATAGAGCCAGGCGTACTAGTACATGCCTATAATTTCAGCATCTCAGCCCCTGGGAGATGGAGTAGGAGGATTGTGAGTTTAAGGCCAGCCTGGACTACAAAGTGAGACCCTATCTCAAAAACCAAAGGCTGGGGGTGTTGATCAGTCATAGGGCCCTTAACTGCATGCTCAAAGCCCTGGGTTCAATACCCAGCGCTGCAAAAAATAAATTAATTTTAAAAATAAAACAAAATTGGGATGCCAGCCAGGCATGGTGGTGCTGTAGTCCTTGCTACTGTAGAGGTGGAAGCAGAAGAATCACTTGAACGCACAAGTTCAAGGCTAGTCTATCAAGATGCAGACTTAAAAAAAAAAAGAAGAAGAAAAGAGAGAGACCTGAGTAGCACATTTACCCTGTCTCACCACGTGATGTCCTCACCAGATACCAGCACGAGGCTCTGGACCTCCCAGGCTCCTGAACCATGGGCTCAATAACCTCTATCCTTTATAAACTACCCATTCTGTGGTGTTCAGCTATAGCAACAGAAAATGGATAAGACTCAGGGCAGAAAGCAAAACTTCAAATAACCCCAATAATCCTTAAAAAGCCCTCAAGTCACAAAAGACCTGGGCTCTTGGGAATTCCCATAATTGAATTCTTCAGTTTTTCCTTGCTGTTCAGCTCCCTTTCTCTGGAACAGTGGAAATGGGACAGTGGAGGTCAGGGGAATGATGAAAACCAAAAATGGCTTTCCGCTCTCTCCTCTGCTTTGTGTCTACCAAAACTCTGAAGTTCGAGTTGCCAAAGTCACATGAACCCACAATGCTATGCACCATGCAAATGAAGGCAAACCTCTGCAGAGATGACATGTTTGGAATGACCTGTTTGACTGCCTGGAATGACCCCGTGGAAATGGGGAGGGGCTCCTTCCCCACCAGCTGCACCCATGAGGAATGAGGAACCACCTACCCCCACCACAGGCTTGGATGAAAAAGAGCTTGGGCTTCCCGCCCAGGCTAGGGCAGCCAGTCCCATTGAAGATGTTCACAATCCTCTCCACGGACAGGGCATATCCATCTGTGCCATACACAGCTCCTGGGAACTGGAGGTGGCTGGCCTAGAAGACCAAGAACACAGGTTATGAAACAGACCCAGGGTAGGAATCCAGTGGCCTGTCCAGAGGTATTGTGGGGGTCAAGGATTCAGAAAGCCTCAGGTGTGGCACCAGATTGACAGAGATGAAGCAAATTGGTTCTGGGAGGACTCTGGTCTATATCTGTTCCAGAGACCTCAAATTCATGTACCTGTAGGGATCAGATAGTCTAACAGAGTGCCAGCCAGCTGCCTCTAAACAAGAGGTTCCCAAAGAGTGTTCCTGGACCAGTAGTGTAAGTATCACTGGGGCACTGATAAGAAATGCAGGCTCCTGGGCCCCACCTTGACCACCAAAATGAGCAATTTGGACCTCTGAGCCCCTTTGAGGCATCTAAACACTGTGAACTATGGCTCTCAGTCAATTCTGCTCAAACTTCAGTGCACAGGAACCACATGAGGACCTGCAGATTCAGAACACAGAGGTCTGACATGGGGCCTGAGAGCTGGATTCCTCAAGTGGCCCCAGTGTACCGAATCCCACCAAGCAGCGAAGGGCCTGGAACATGCCTGGCAGGGCAGAGGCAGGAGCCAAGAACTCATGTTGCAAGCAAAATCTGGGAGTGGGAGTTTTGTAAGCAGACCTTCCTCTTCCCTCCCTGTTCTGATGGGGCTTCTCTCAAAACACGGCCCCACCTAGGAAGGCACATCTCTCTGCTCAAAGGACCAGATGGCCTGAGGAAACTGCGGGAGATGGACAGGGCTCCCCACTCTTTCCATAGAGCTAATGGACAAAGGAAGAGACAGGAAAGCCTTTGGGAGCACCCTTGCCCTGTGCCCACCAAGGAGCAGGGCAGGGAGAAGAGAGGCCTCCTACCTGACAGCCATGAGACAGGATGACCACCACGCAGCAGTCCAGAGCACGGTGGTCCCGCTGTGCCAGCTCCACCAAAGCCTGGACCATTTTCTAGGAAGAAAGACTTTAGGTGAGGCCAAGTACTCACAGATCAGGTCATGGTCCTAGGCCCAGGTGAAGGCCAGGCCAGGGCATTTTCTCTGCTCCCAATTGTCGTCACAATTGTCATATTAGCACCATTCTGGGGGAATGCCCACTGGTCATTTAATCCCCACAACGACCTTATCGGGGGGATTATTCCTACTTTCTACATAGGGAAACTGAGGCACAGGAGGTCACACAGCAGGTGGCCAAGAGATGGTCCTCAGACCTTCCCTGAGTCTGAACCTGTAACCACTGGACAATACTGCCTCCTGTACACACAAGGGCTCATCTGGGGAGTCATGCTTTTGAAGTCCCTTACAGAAAACTGCCTCCCTTGCCCACCATCTCCCTCCACAGTGACCATACCTTGGCAGTCAGGTCGCACTTGACCTCCACCTCAAAGTGCAGCCAGCGGAAGCGGTGCTGCAGCTTCTCACAGTCAACGTTGGAGCCAGTACGCATGCTGAGCCCCGAAGCATGGCAGAAGTTCACGTTGTTGATAATGAGGCAGTGGCCACAGGGGTCCGCATCCAGGAAGTATGCCTGCCCGAGCATGGGTGCCAGCGTAAACCAGTGGCTCACTGCACTCCTCAGGAAAGGAGGTGATCCCCTGGTTCAGGCTCGCGTGGCTGACAGTCTGGAGAGATGGAGCAGGACGTGGGGTCTGCCTCCCCCTGGGGAAGCAGGAGGGTCCCCACAGTATTTCAGGGAGAGAGAAGCCACCGGAGTGGCTGGGTGAGCGCCAGCTGCCTGCTGCACTCTGGAGAGGACTGGCACCCGTCTCAGTGTTTAGGGATGGGAGCCACTAGCCTAGAACCTACATTCACCCCAAAAGGACCTTATATGCCACACAGTACAGTGGCTGTGGCCCAGGGGCACATACATAGAGGACACAGTGGACTCTGTTGGTAGACTTGGACCATGGCCCACCTCAGATGCTCTGAGGTCCCCAAGCTCAGGTCCCTGTAACTTCCTTCCACAACAGCCTGTTCTTGTGTTTTTTGGTTTTGGGGGGTTTTTTGGTGGGACTGGGGCTTGAACTCAGGGCTTTGGTCTACTGCTTGAGTGGACCTCTAGTCTACTCTGCTCTGGTTATTTTGGAGAACTATTCATCCAGGCTGGCCTCAAACTGAAATCCTACAGATCTCAGCTTTCAAGTAGCTAGGATTCTGTTCTTGTTTATGGTACTTAGCAATCTTTATATTTACATATTCCTTTGCCTAACCTCTCTCCTCTTATACATGGTTCCACAAGGGTGTGTGGTCAAGTACCCCAGCACAGAGCTCAGACACAGCTGATCTGCTGCCCACCTCTTGTGAGGTCTGACTCCTGATTTTATAGGTAAGGAAGAGCAGGATGGAGGACCTGCTCCAGCTTGCCCTAGGCAGGGGCAAGTGCAGGGAGCTTGGAGAGTGGGGACTAGCCCCCCACTCCCCAGCTACCTCCCAATAGCCACAGAGAAGGGCCTAGGGAGAGGAGAGGGACAGGCCCAGAGCAAGTGGCCCCAAACCACGGGAATACTTACCAAATCTGCATTTCCCCTCAACTTCTCCTGAGGACCTGGCAAGACAAAGGGAAATCCAAATGTCAGGGTCCTCCAGGGAAAGCCCAAGGGACTATGAGAACAGCCCTTGAAAAACAAAGTCAGAACCTAGGGACCCCAGGCTCTGCTGAGGTGGCAACACAGCCACGAGGGAAAATTGTCTAGAAGTTTACAACAAAGTTAAACACACACTTATCCTGGGACCACTTCCAGGTATACATCAAGAGAAGTGAATACATCTGACCATGAGAGGACTTGGCCAAGAATGATCACTGAGACCTTATTCATGAAAGCCCCAAACTGGAATCAACCACTCCAACGACAAGTTCACACACACAAATTGCATGATTCAGCCACCCAAGAGAACGACTCCCGGCCTGAAGAGAATAAGCTACTGATACAGGCAATGCCTAGGATAACCAGGAAAACATGAAACACCAGACACTGTGCAGAATAGATAGTGTGATTCCATTTATATAAAATCCCAGAACATAAAGAAGTAAGGGACTAGGTGCCAGTGGCTCACACCTGTAATCCTAGTTACTCAAGAGGTGGAGAAGGAAGGGTCACTGTTTAAGACCAGCCTGGGCAAAAAGTTTGCAAGACCCCCATCTCAACCAACAGCTGGACACAGTGGCACCCCTGTCATTCCAGCTACTGTGGGAAGCATGAATAGGAGGCTGGCCCAGGCAAAAAGCAAGACCCTATTTCAAAAGTAGCCAGAGCAAAAAGGGCCGGAGGTATGGCGCAAGTGGTAGAACATTTGCCTAGCAGGAAGGAAGGAGAAATAAAGGGAGGGAGGAAAGAAGGGAGGGATGAAGGAAGGAAGGAAGGAAAGAAGGAAGTAAGAAAGGGAGCAAGAAATTAGAGAAAGAAGAGCAAATTAAACCCAAAGCAATAGTGAGGACCTGAGTTCAAATCCCAGTACTACCGAAGAGTTTCATTTCAATCAGCAAGAATTCAACTGGCCACCTCCTATCAAGTTGTGAGAATTTTTTATTATCGTTGTACTGGGAGTACAATATGACATTTATAAAAGTTCTTACAATATAACATACTTGAATTGACCCCTCCGTCATTCTCCTTTATCTCCCCTTCTCCCTAATGGTGAAGTCACAGAGGGCAGGAGCTGACATCCAACCCAGTGCTCACTCCACACAAACCCACAGGAAGTCCTTCCCTTGGGCACCTCACTGGGCTCTTCAGAGCTGCCCTAGCCATTTGCCAGAGGGGAATCAGAAAACCAGGGAGCTTGAGTAGTGATGGGAGAACACTGCTACCACCAGCCCTAGTGAGGGGCCAGGAGCCCAGCAGTGCTGAAAAGGCAACTTCCACTTTCAAGATCATTCCAACTAGAGAAGGCAGGGGCAGCCAAAAAAACCCACTTTGGTAGTTAATTTTATTTGTCTATTTGCCTGGGCCTCGAGGTGGTGCACATTCTTTCTGGTGGGTCTGTAAAGGAGATTAGCCTTTGAATAGATGGATGGGCCTCACCCAATCAGCTGAAGGCTTGAATGGAAAGAAAAAGTTGCTTTCTGCCTAACTACTGGGGCCTGGAGGTCAGTCTTCTCCTCCCTTCAGACTAGGACTAACACCATCAGCACCCAACTTCTCTGGTCCTTTCACTTGAACTTCACAACCAGCTTTCCTGGGTCTCCAGCTGGCTGAAGGCAGATCTCAGGATTTCTGAGATCTCACAACCACACAACTACATGAGCCAATCCCTCATAATAAACCTCTCTCTCGATACATAGCCACACACACACACTCCCTCTCTCTACTGGTTCCAGTTCTCCGGAGAACACTGCCTCTACAGCCACCAACAGCTCTCAGCCCTACCCCTGCAACAGGTCCTGGCCGGGACATGCAATTACACACAAAATGTCACATGTGAAACTAAGAAAGTTAATTCCACTCTGAAGGAAAAGGCATTTTCCCCAAAACATACGAGGATGAAGGGTCTCTCTGGCGGGCTGCTGTGTCTTGCATGTCCAAAGCACTAAGTTTAATTTCTTGTAGTACTAGCGACAGCTGTGACGAAAGACCTGAAGTTCATGCCTGTGTTCCCAGCACTCAGGCTGAGGAAGGAGGACTGTTTGTTCAAGGCCAGCCTGGGCTACACAGTGAGTTCACAGCAGGCATGAACCGCATGCCTGCCCCGCTTTGTGTGAAAGCAAAGACTGTGCATCTTTGTTCAATGTTGAAGCTCTGGCAGGGACTTGGTCAATACCTGAGTGAGCTACTGAGTAAGCTGCACAGATCTAGGGACAGGAAGAGAATGAACCATGCATCCTCTGAGCCTGAGTCACTGGGTGCAGATCCCTACTCTGTCACTTAGCTGCATGACACTAGGGAAGCTGCTCAGAGACTCTGGGCCTCTGTTCTCCCCATCTGTAGCACAGGATGATAGGAGCCACGACCAACCTCGTCAAGTGGTGATCTTATTCCTATTACTGCCATTACTAGTTGAGGCCTCAACTGGTGATCACAGGGGAGGCCCATGCAACAGTACCTGACCCGTTTGAGAATGCAGCAAATTGGAGCTTAGTCAGAGCAGGCTGTGTACTCAGCCCAGCACCCTGATGTTGTGGGCCAGGTTATTCTTCCACTCTCCACTGAGCTGTACCTCCAGCCCAGTGCTCTCCTGTGCACTGCAGAACGTTCAGCAGCATCCCTGGCCTCTACTCGTAGGTGGAAGCACCTTCAGCCAAATGTCCCTGGGGGGAGGGGAAGCAAAACTGACTCCAATTTTGAAACACTGACCTACCGCATCATTTCCCATACAAGTTCATCAAGGCCTGTTGGAGGTCCAGCTCCTGCTCGCCCAGGTTTTCCCACACTTGACAGCTGCAGAGCTCTTCTTGGAGGTCACCATGAAACTTACCTTGGGAAACATTCCTGGGCCTCACGCCCAGCACCAAAAAGGACACCTCTCATGGGTCAGTCATTGTTAAGCCAGAAGATGGAGGCCCCCATCCTAGCTCTGTACTTGAACTCCCTTTGTGACTGTTGCTCTCAGAGCCTGCTTTCTCCCCTGGTGAGTGGAGCTAATAACATAACAGGGGGGCTTTCCATGATTTTGATAACCTGAAAGAGCACTGTGGATGCTATAATACGATGTTCACATTAAAGTGATCATATTACTGCTATTTTTTTTTCAGTACTGGGATTGAACTCAGAGCCTTGAACACGCTAGGCAAGTAAGTGCTCTACCTCCATGCTACCTCCACCAGCACCTGAAATTACTATTCACCCTTAGATTTAGGCTCCCACTAGGACTAGATCATCACAGCAGGAAATAAAACAAGAAGGAAGCTTCAAGTCCAGGCTGCAGGTCCTGATGACCCAAACTGCTATTTCCCAGAGCAAGACAGCAACAATGGACTTCGCATTCTTCCTGCCTCCTTTCCAAACGATGATGCTGCATATGGACAATTTCAGAACCAGTCTTCTTCCTTCTACCTCAATCAAATGCAGCTTCATATCCTGATGTGTCTCTCTCCTTTAGTGGATAGTCCAAAGTCACAGTTACTCAGCATACAAAACAGACATTTTTTACCCGTCACATGGGAAAGTGTTAATACTCACTGTTGGCAGCAAGAATGTGGGGAAATGACAGCTAGTATTCACAGCTGGTAGAAATATAATACATTTGTTTCCTGGTTCGTTTATTGATTGGTACTGGACTTTGAACTCAGGGCTTTGTGCTTGTCATACTGCATGAGCCACACCTCCTTTTTTTTTTGTGGTACTGGTGTTTGAACTAAGAGCCTCACACTTGATAAGTACATGCTCTACCACTTGAGCCGCTCCGCCAGCCAATACAACACATTTTTTAATACAAGTGGGTAACATTTATCAGAAGGGAACTCATACAGGTGTAAAGCCCTGAGTTCAAACACCAATCCCACCAAAAAAAAAAAAGGAAGGAAACATGTGCCCAATAACCCACAAATCCATTTCCAGAAACCTGCCCCCAAGTCAGAGAGAGAGAGGTACATGCAAGGCCACAGCAGAAGTAACCCAGTGTCCATCAGTAGAGGTCAGACAGATGACACTCAGTGCGAGGCACAGGTGGGGCTATCCAGTGGCATACTCAGAACAGGGAAGCCTGGACTGCAGTCCTGTCCCCATTTCTCAGCAGATGTGTGATTTAGGGGAAGTCATTTCCCAGTATGCGAGTCCCTTTGCTCAACAGCAAAATGTGAAAAGTGTAGCATGTGCCTCACAAGAGAGTTGGGAAGATCAACTTTAAGATCACTGTGCACGCACTCTGAACAGTGCCTGGTACACAGTAAATACCCAATAACACTAACACTAGCTGGGCACCGGTGGCTCACATCTATAATCCTAGTGACTCAGGAGGCAGAGATCAAGAGGATCGTAGTCGAAGCCAGTCCTGGGCAAATAGTTCATGAGACCCTATCTCGAAAAAGCCAATCACACAAAAGGGCTGGTACACTGGTTCAAGGGGTAGGCCCTGAGTTTAAATCCCAGTACTGAAAAAAAAAAAAGAAAAAAACCTAACATTAACACTATTACTGACACTGATACCAGGCAATGGTCAACTTGGCAGTCATGAAATTAGAAGCACTACAGCTCCATGTGTTGCAATGGAAACAATCCCTAACTGAAAACAACCCACTTTCCCATCAACAGGAGAATGATTAAATAAACCTCCTCAGGATAGGAGCTCCTACCACCTAGCAATGAAAAAGAATGAATTACTGATATGCACATGAATGAATTCCACAAATGATGATGAGTGAAAGAAGCCAGCATCAACAGGTTATACCACAGGATTTCATTTACACTGAAGTTCCAAGTCAAGCAAAAGGGATCAATGGAGATGGAGAATAGAATAGTAATGATCTCTAGTGGGGGAATAGGTGTAGACCAAAAAGAGGAGAGTCTCCTAGGATACCAGAATATTCTGTAACTTGAAGGTGTGGGTGGCGGCTCGCTTTGTGTATACATAGGTAAAATCTTCCAGCTACCGGATATGGATTTATGAATCTTACTAGATGTAGCCTTGTGAGCTTTAGGCAAATTATTTCCCCTACCTGGGCCTCAGTTTCCTCAGTGACAAGGCTGATTCTAATGAGACCTGCTTTGCAGGGTTGCTATGAGAAGGAGGTTAGGCACACACCAAGCAGATCTATGTATGTACAAAGTGGAGGCTGCCCTCCTGTCACCAGGCATGTCCAACTACCCAAAGGCAAATCCTGAATAACAGCTCGTTCTGGAAACACTCATAGACACCAGGGACATCCAAAGCACTCTGTGGCACCATCAGAAAATGGACTGCCAAAATTACATCTCCCAAAGACCTACCAAAACAATCTGCTTATCCCCAACGACCACTCTATAAGGCAATGCTATAATGAATCTCAGCCCACCCAGCTATATCCACAGTCACTCCCGTGACCTGTGACTGCTCATCATGCTCACCCAACAACCACTCTCTCGGTACTCACAGGCATCACGGGATTCTCCAGAGCCAATGTCCACTGGCCTCGGTGTTTCTGGTCTGAGAACCTCTGGCCTGAGCTGAGCTGGCCAGAGCTCCTCAGGCCCCAGCACCACTGGAGTGAGGTTTCCTGGGGCTGGCGGGGATGGATCCAGCTTCATCCCTCTTGGTTCTTCTGGTTTGAGGCCTATGGGTCCCAGGTCCACAGGCACCAGGTCCAGGGGTCTGATGGCCTCTGGATCCTGCTTCCCTGCTTGCCGACTTGTTCGCAGGAATGAGGCCAGTGTGTCCTGGCCTGTGTCCTCTAAGCAGGAGATGAACAGGGGAAGGGCCTGTCTTCCTCGGGTCTCCAAATCTGTGACCAGTTGCCTGGCCTGATCCCGCCGAGACCCGGAACCAGCCCGCTGTTGGAACAGAAAGACAGGACACTCAATACCCAGGGACTTTCATGTGGTTCTCACACTGCCCCTCATTTCCCATGCAGTGTAAGTTTAGAGCCTGCAGGTGCACTGAGTGTGCGCCCCAGCACACACCTTGTTTTATCTACCCACATAGTATTTCAGAGGTATCTACTGTGTGCTAAGTGCTGAAAATGTAGCAGTGAACACAGTAGGTCCTCAAGGCACAAATGTCCAGTGGGGTGAAGATAGACAAATCAGCAATGAAGCAGCAAGGAGACATGTGCCAAGAGGGAGAACTCAGGGGGCTAGCAGAGTCACCCAACTCAGCCCTGAGGGTCAGGAAAGGTCCTAAGTGGGGATGCCTTAGCTGAGACCCAGGGAGGATGAGGAAATGAATAATGAATTCACAAAAACGTAAGGGGAATAGGTGGGTTGTGGCAAGGGACAGGCCTTTCTTTGCATGGGCAGAGAAGAAATTCATCCTAGCTGGGGATATAGTTCAATGGTAGAGAACTTGCCTGGCAAAAGAAAAGAAGAAAACAAAAGAGAAGAAAAGAAGAAATTCATCCTAAGAGCTCTGAGAAGACACCAAAGAGTTGTTTTTGTTTGTTTTGGGTTTTTCTTTTTTGTTTGGTTTTTTTGTTTTTTTGGGGTTTTTTGGCAGTACTGAAGTTTAAACTCAGGGCCTCATGCTTCCAAGGTAGGAACTCTACAACTTGAACCACTCCGCCAGCCCTATTTTGTGGTAGGTATTTTCAAGATAGGGTCTTTCAAACCATTTACCCAGGCTGGCCTCAAACAGAGATCCTCCTGATTGCTGCCTCCCAAGTAGTGAGGATTATAGATGTGAGCCATAAGTTCTGGGCTACCAGAGTTTTAAGAAGTGACAGAATGAGCCTTCAGGCAATGTGTAAAAGGTACATGAAATGAAACAAATTTCATGTTTAGACTTAGGCTCCATCCCCAAGATACTTCATTATCTACATTCAAGTATTTCAAAATCTGAAGAAAAATCTAAACTCTAGAACGCTTCTGGTCCCAAGCATTTTGGATAAGGGACACCTGACCTGCATGTAATAAAGTCAGGATTTGGGCCCAGATTAATCTGGCTCCAAAGTCTGTATGTTCATCAGCCATGCCAGGGGTGGCAAATGGTTCACACAAGGTACTTAAAACTTCTGAATTTGTTGCTAACATTTTAAATCTGGGAACTGGACACAGAAATCATTATTTCCAACCTCTCATTCCGAGTGTGAACTGTCTACCAGCACTGGGTCAGTATGCTGGTTTGACCACACTCAGCTGCAGAAGGTGACAGGGCAGAGGCTACAGTGTCCACCCATAAGGCCTCCTGGGCATCTGGGCTTGTGATCACTGTGAATGGGACCTGAAGGCAAGGATTCTGGCCTCAAACCACTTCCACTGCCACCGAGTGTACTCCTAAGACTTTTTAATTATTAATTGATAATAATTAACCTTGTGATGCTGAACCACTCTCCATTTCTCCTTCACTGGTCCAGGCCAAGCCTCTGGATGATGCAGAAGCTGGAGTCTGCCTGCAAGGCAGTCCCCAGGGCATGGGCCAGGGCCTCCAGCCTCCACTCCTACACCCTGCACCTCAGGAAGGAAATACTACTGTATGCTCATAGGACTGTGTGAGAGTTAAATAGGACAAAGTCGTGCAAGTGCTTTTTAAAACACCTCAAATGTTTAACTTCATTATTCTGTTATCTGGAACAGGTCCCTTCATCTCCAAAACCTCTACAAGGGCCTGGCCAAAGAGAACAGGGCACTGCCTGCCACTACATTGTTGTACATCCATTATCTGGCTTAGCCCTTAGGACAGTGGTACTGTTGCCCCATTTCACAGCCCAGGAAACTGAGGCCCAAAGATGGTAAGTGAGTGGCCCAAGGACCCAGTGCCAGGCAGTGTGAAGCCAAAGTGGGCGCCTAGTCTATCCGCGCTAGAGCAGGAAATACACACATGCCTCCTTCCTCGCAAGAAACACAAGTACTGTCAGTGCATGCTGATGGTTCAGGTAGTGGAGTCGCTTAAGCAAACACTCAACAAAGGTGTTTGGGATTCTTTGGTTCCGGTGAAGGAATGGAGTTCCCACAACATGGTTCCTCAGATTGCGGATGATGGTACAACGTGGGGAGAGGAAGCGGGAGCTTGGCCGTGAAGTCTTGCTGTGGCTTCAGCAGCCCTCTCCGCGCGGCCTCCCTGTCCCCACCATGGAAATCTGCGCGCCCAGCGAAAAGTGGGAGAAGCAGACTGACGGGGGCGGGGGCGCACCTGGATGTCCTCGATCATATCGGGCGTGAAGAGCTCGCGATTCAGCAGAGCGTCCCAGAGTGAGGCCACCTGCAGCTCGCCCACCAGGCGCATCCGGCACCGCCGCAGGAGGTGTCTGTCCGCGTCGTCCATGGCGAGCAGACCAAGGGACCCCGGATTCTGTCCGCTTCCGGGCCTCGGGGCCGTACCCCGCCCACTCCCCAGGTCCCGCCCCAGGATCAAGCCCCGCCCCCTCACTCACATCAGCTCTTGCCGGGGATCCAGCCCAGAGGCGGGGCCGCGTAGCCGCCTCTTGCCCACTCGGCTCCGCCCCACTCGCACTATCGCCCCGCCCAGTAGCAGAACCAGACTACACGTCACTGCTCCGCCCCCAAGCTCTGCCTCAGGACACGCCCCCACATCTTGGCCCCGCCTCCCTCGCGCTCTGGAAGCCGGCAGGACACGCCCCCACGGCACTGCTCCGCCCCGCCCCTCGCCCCGCCCCAGTAACCCCCGCCCCCGCGTTATCACTTCGCTCCTGGCCCCGCCTTCGCGTCTCGGCTTCCTCCCTTCTGAGTCTGTGTACAGCTTAGTGCTAATGGCACTTCTTCCTGGCTATTCGCCGCAGGCTCTTTTCCAGAATTTACGATGGCCCGGCTTTTATAGAGACTCTGGGATCACACTACAAAAGGGAAAGAAAACTATGCCTAGAGCCATGTTCTGTCCCCCCTAGTTCAACACCCCTCTGGGTTTATGGCTTCCCTCTAGCCCCGTCCCTGCCACCAATAAAATTTTTCAGGTCCCCCTCCCCGCCCAAATACTCAAATCTAGTAGCTTGCTGTCCCAGACTCACGCGTCTCATGGAACCAAGCCTACCCGTAGTCCTCCAGTTCCTACTACTTCCCACCCTAGCACCTTCCACAAAGAAAGGGGCAGAAATCTCGTCCTCTGAACTCTCACGGTTTTGTTCCGCACATTTCCACATTCCAAAAGTAATTGTTCCTATCTGTTGAGCCCTTGCTAAGTCCCAGCGATTGTGCTGACTGCTTTGCATGCTTTCTCTCGTTTGTCCCTGGTACGATCCTGCCAGGGAAGCAGGCTTTCCTCATTTCACAGATGTGGACACTGGCTCAGGGGTCACAGGTAGAAACCGACAAAGACAGGCAGAATTCAAACCAGAAACTGACTCTACTCATCCTTAGCCAAGAGTCCACCTTAGAGTATGTCAAAAGACAGAATCACCATAAAGATCTTAATTGGTTTCATGATTATAGAATCAGGCAACCTTCCATTCCATAAAGTTGATACCAGATTGTTGCTCCCTGGATTTGTGTCCTGGCCTAGTCAATGACTGAAGATGCCATACCAAGAGTTAAGAGTAAATCAAGCACCAAGTTTATTGAAAATACAGCAAAGCACCCTGACTGGTGGGACTTAGTGAAAGGGCTAAGCCAAAGAATAGCCGAAGTTCCCTACTCTACTTTGAGGCTGTAGCTATAATTGGCTGTGTAATTTAACTTCTTGCTGAACCTGACCATCTGGCTGCCCCCATCCTTATAGGACTGAACATTCCAAGAGGGTCTCGTTAGTCCATTCTGTCCTCGGAGCATGTCACCTACTGTTCATTATTCTAGTGACACCTCCTTTTTGTTTATCTTGGGAAAGTGCTGAGTTACTTTCTTTGGGGAGGTCTATATTTCATCTCCTTAGATGTCTGCCTCTAGGAATGCTTTTTTTTGCTTCCCTTATCTAGGAAAAAAGACTGTTGCGCTTTACCACTTGCATGAAAAGATCACTTCTCACATTCCTTAGATGTTTTACTTTTAAGGGTGTCCTCCTGTTTCCTTTACCCAAAACAAAGTTACTTCTGCCATCTGTTCCCTTTATGTTCCCAGGGTCATTTCTATAACCTGTTCCCAGAAATTTTTCTGTCATTTTATTGTTTTCTCACATGTGTCCCCTTACAAAGTAGACTGTGCGTTCTACATAAACTGAGCAGACAAGGTTGATTTTATAGACAGAAGGGTTGAGGAAAGCAGAAACAGGAAACAAAGAGCTGATTGGTTATTTCAAAGTTATATCACTTTCGTATAAAGGTTAAAGAAGAGACTTGTTTATCCCGTTGGCTAAAAGTGGTCTGCTGGGGACATGGCTGTTATCTCTCTCACCAGATTTCTCTAGAAAGAACCTCAGATAAATAACAGTTTCAATTCCATGACAGCTTTAGCATGAATGACTCCATTTTGGTCTGTTGACGCCCAGTACTGGAGTTCAGTCCAAAACAATGGACTCCTATAAGTTTTAACAAATGTCATCACTTTGAAACAGATGGTAGGGCCCCACTTCTCCCTGGGACACTGAGACAGAAGTTAGGCATTGTTAAAGCACTGGTATGTATTGTTTATGTACCGATAAGCCTTTGTTGTAAGCATCCTTTTCAAAGGTGCTTTGGCTCAACAGAAAACCAACTGCCATAACTGCAACTTCCACCCAGTCCAGTGGAGGAGGGTCACTTTGCCCCAATAAATACCTGTGATTGGTGCAAACATCTTTCATTTGCATACTGGACTGTACCATGATTGGTACTAACATGAGGGGACTGTTGTGATTGGTGCAGACACCCTTGTCCCCCTCCTCCCCCCCCACTATATAAATACACTGTTCAACTCAGTTTGTGAGCAATTAGGAGAGACCTTACTTGTTGTTCTGTTGTTATGACATTAGGTTCCAATAAAGGCTGTCTTTCAAGTAGTCTTGCCTACCTTTTCTGAGCTGATAATAGAAAAAGAGAAGCAGCAGCAGGTGAGTGGGAGGAAGCTCCCCTGACAGAAAGGGCAGCAGCAGTAAGGTTGGCAAGCTGAGTGGCCAGAGCAAAACTGACAGGAGTGATGGGGCAGGCAGCTGCTGGCAGGAGAAATATCTGTGGGGCAGAGGAGAGCTGTTTGGCCGAGAGACTCACTGCCACATGGCAGGAGCCATAACACCTAGGGCCAGAACAGGCTGCCAGATGCAGGAGTTACAAACCTGAAGCCTGACCCTTTGCCACTGCCTTAGCTGTCAGAGGTCTCGGACCTGAATCCCGGGCCTGAACCCCCTGCTGCCACTCTCACTGTCAAAGGCCCAGGGCTGATTGCCCTTGCTCACTGTCATCTACTCCACCATCCGCAAATACCCGAAAGGGCCAAGAGTAACTGGAGGAGCTGCTCCTGGCCCTATCCATGAGTTCTTTCTGGGTAGAGCAAAAGAACTCCAGTCAGCTGGTTTGTAACAATTTGAGCAGCAAAATCTTAATTTTGGGGGACTGGAGTATGGGTTAGTGGGAGAGCTTTTGCCAGTCATGCATGAGGTCCTCAGTTCAATACCCAGCACTGAAAAAACAAAAAACTCTTTTTGGCAGTACTGGGGTTTGAAGTCAGGGTCTACACCACAAGCTCCACCAGCTCTTTTTTGTGATGCGTTTTCTCCAGATAGGGTCTCTTGAACTCTTTGCCCTGGCTGGCTTTGAACCACGATCTGTCTGATCTCTGCCTCCTGAGTAGCTAGGATTACAGGCGTGAGCCACTGGTGCCCTGCTTTTTATTAAATATTTATTGGCAGCATGTACATGCCAAGGTCTGTGTAGACCCAAAGAATATAGAGGTGAAGAAAACAGATAGGAAACACCCGCCATCAGGAGCTTACATTCCAGGGGGGAAAAACAGGTAACAAACAATATGAAGAAACAAAAGATTACTGATGACATAAATTATTATTTTTTTTAAACTAAAAACAACAGGGAAATAGGAAATCTTTGTATGCCCAAAGGATTTCTCATTTACTCAAAAGAAAGCTTGTCATGGGGCTGAGGCGTGGCTCAAGTGGTAGAGGAGCTGCCCTGAGTTCAATCTATGATACCACAAAAAGAAAGGACAGAAAGAAAGAAAGAGAAAGCTTATCTCTGTGCCTCTTCCGGAGGGGGAGGTGGGAGAGGCACCACCATCTCGGGCAAGTTCCTAAGTCTCTCTGTGTGCCTCAGTAGTATTTGGAGGAGTTGGACTAGAAAGGATCCCTAAGGTCCCTTCCAACTCTGATGCTCCACGATTCTATGAATAGGGTTAAAGAGAACTGGGACCAGCGATCGCTTCCCCATCCTAGCAACTGTTGCTAGACGTGGGCCACCTCCTGGTAGGAGTGGAAACCCCTCCCTGGATCGGGGAGGTCTTTCCGGTATCCCATGATGCATAGCGACTTCGCCTCGCTAGGAGGCTCGTTTTGGCCTCTCTGGTCACCCATCAACCCTTTGGACCCGGCCAAAGAGCGCGCCTCGTTCCTATAGCAACCCCGCCTGGTCCACGCGCAGACGGTGAATGGAAAGGCTCAAAACAGATTTGCAGAGTAGATGCGCTCCACCCGGTCAGTGTGCGCCTTGGGTCCGCGGGAACCTTTAAGTGTCACGTGACTCCGCTCGGCCTGGTCCCCGCCTCTTTCCCCTCCCCAGGCCGGGCGAGTGCTGGTGTGGACGGGAAGCTCCCGGCCCGGCGGACTAACTGGAGCACGGACGCTGCAGCCGGTTGGGCCGGTGCCCTTTCCCGGTAACTCCTTCCCGGCGTGACGCGCGGAGCCGCGGACGTGGCGGGGACGAGCATGCTCGGACCTCCCGTCAGTTCCTTCTCGTTCCCAGTCCCCGCTGGGCCCGGGGGGAACCGGGAGCCGACAGGGCCCGGCGCAGGGTTCCCGGGGGCGGCGGGGGAGGGTTGTGACCTCCGGCGGCCGCTCGAGGCGGGGCTCACACGTAGCACTGTCCCCGGGAGCCGTCGCCTGACCCCGGGGACGCTGCTCCGGGGTGGGGGGAGGTGGGGGCGCAGCCTACCTGTTGGGCAGGTGTTCCCGCCGCCAGGCCGGCGCCGTGCAGCTGCGGGTCGTCCGCAGAATTTCACACCCCTCGCCCCTCTCTAGTGGAGGGGTCCGCACATTGAACATGGCAGTGATCGTGCTGCGAGGTGAAGCACCACCCCGACCACCTACCGACTGCTGAGTCTACTCAGTAAACCCTCTACATACTCGAGTCCCCACGCCGCAAGGCTGAGGACACTGAGGCTCAGTTGAAGTAGCCCGCCCAAGGTCACAGAGTAGTGGAAGCTGGATCCCAATCTTAGCCTGACTCCACAGCCCGTGGGTTTCACCAGTATAGCTGCATCACCCGCACGTCTTTTGCAGGACAGAACAGTTTGAAGGGAAAGACTGGTTTGCTTTAGGATTTTATTCTGCATGCAGAGTTCTAAACATTGATCATCAGATTCGTCAATTTTTTGAGGCCTCCCAGGCAGACTCCCGCGTCTTCCACTTGTCAAAATCCACCCCTGTCAGAGTTTTCCCCCTCCTGAGTAAGGTGTCATGTTGCACATTTGAACTTAACACTTCATTGGTGTATGAAAACTCAAGATAAATGTGACCCATGGTGGGAAGGAGCTGTAAGATGTAACAAAGATTCTAATCCCATCCCTGAGTGTAAATGTCTACAGTAACACAGTACCTTGTTTATTAACCAGCCACGATTATTCCAAAACCCATAATCAACTCAGTCCCTACCAGAGATAGAGCCTAAAGCATTTTCAGACCATGCCTGTTCTTCAAGCCTTTGTCATTAATTCTCTTCTACATGGAAAACTCAATTTTTCCTCACCACTTTTTCTCATCTGAGGTTCCCATTTGTATTGCTAATTGAATGAAAGAGCAGCGTGTCATTTCCATGTTTGAATGGATGTGGTGAATGGAATTAAGGCTTACCAAGTCTTAGCTGCGCACTATTTTAAGAGCATTTCACTGTCATCTTTCTGCTTATTTAGTGCCCAAGAACGCCACAATGATCCCATTCTGTAGGCTAGCACATGGTAAATCTTACCATGAATTCGTTTAATACATACTCAGTGAAGAATTCTTAAATCATCTATTTTAACTTTATTGTCAGGAGAGATGAAATCGTGTATTTGAGATGTAGTTGCCCTGATAACCCTATCTATACTTTCACACATTCACTTATTTCTTCATCATTCATTTTCAGTCATTTTGAAAGCTTTTCTAATCCCAGGATTCTGGAGAGTCGCTATTAATTCTTACTGCTCATCCTTTTCATCTGTAATAGTTCTTATTTGTAATATTCAAAAGTGGTAGTAAGATTGTTGATTTTAAAAGATACAGTCAAACACCTTGGCTATATCTTTTGTTTGATATTCATCTATATATCTTATACCTTCACCTAAAAAGCAGGACTGTCCCAAGTTTCTGCCACTGAAACGTATTGCCTCTTCAATCATTTCAGCTCTGGAAAGGAAGAAAAATGGAAGTGAAAAAGTTGAGCATTTCCTGGCAATTCTTGATAGTTCTGGTTGTGATCCTGCAAATTCTGTCTGCGTTGGATTTTGACCCATACAGAGTCCTAGGGGTCAGCCGAACAGCCAGTCAGGCTGACATTAAAAAGGCTTACAAGAAGCTCGCCCGGGAATGGTAGGTGAAACAAAGAAAACCAAGTTTAATGTAAACTAAGCAGTTTTAGTAGGGGGAATAGAGCCTAAATTATGATTGGCTTTTATCTGTCTCTGTTTCTGTGTTCAATTATCTAGATAGATAGATATCTGGATATAGCTATCTATCTATCTAGATAGATAGATAGATATCTGTCTAGAATATTTATGTAGAACCAATATTCATGTTCTATAATTTTTAGTAATAAGATCCAAAACCTGTGTTTACTATGAAACCCCCTTATAGGAATACTGTGGCTTAAATGATTGCTATACTGTTAGTGTATTTAGTATTAAAGTAAGAAGCAACTTTGCTTTTTTTAAAACAACAATATAATCAACAATGGGTAAGTTACCCTTCCCATGACTCATAAAGTAACTATAAGTACAAGAGAGAACACTAGACAACTCTATTCTCTAAATGATTTTTAAGTTTTAAAAAAGTTTAGAATAAGTGCTTTTTGTCCTCAGTTTAAAAAAGGAGCCAGTGGTGTGCACCTGTAATCCTAGCTACTCAGGAGGCAGAGATCAGGAGGATCATGGTTTGAAGTCAGCCTGGGCAAATAGTTTGCAAGACCCTATCTCAAAAAAACCCTCCACAATAAAAAAGGCTGGTGGAGTGGCTCAGGGTGTAGGCCCATAGTTCAAACCCCAGTACTGCAAAAAAAAAAAAAAAAAAGAGATATTCAAGTATATTACTTGAATATAAAGTATATTACTTTAAAAAGAACTTATAGAAATATAATTTTACATGTTATCAGGATTGTAATTAGCAGGATAGAGATAACTTATTTTGGACAAATGTCATTGGTTTCTTCTGTCAAAGAAGCAGAAGTGTTGGATTATAAAGCAGGAGAGGTGAGCAGCAGGAGGAGGGAAGGATGGGTAAAATACAGGTGACTGACAGCTGGCCGAGCCAACCAAAAGCAGTGAAAAATCAGATTTGTGATAGGTGCCATTATTAAGACCTCCTGCCTGCTAGCCTCCAGATTAACCCTGTTCTACAGATGAGAAAACCATGGCTCAGAGTTGCTAAATCTATATGACCTCTGGGTTCCATAGTTTGTTCTGCACCAACAATGAATTTATTGCTTTTGTTTTTCAATCATTTGCCCATTTGTGCATAGTGGGGTTGAGTGGGTTAGTGTTTGTGGGGGAAGGACCTGAATGGGAGCAGGAAGTTGGGCAGGAGCAAAGCTGCCATATGCAGATGACTCTGTAGCCTGTGCACCATTCTTCTTCTGTGAGCAGATGTAACTTGGTACTAAGCTGTTGCAATAAAGGTAGCAGGTTTATAATATAATGCTTTGAATGAATATTTTCGATCATATTATGAGGAGTCCAGAATTATTGGATGCTAAAACAATGATCTCTAAATATACATGGCCGCTTTCCAGGGACTCTTTATACCAAACTTGCTTTCACTAACATTTCAAATTCTTTTCCCTTTATGTTTAAAGCAAAAAATATAAATCTGCAGTTAATTCCTAAAGTAAGAGCATTCTTTTGGACAGGGGATGATAGCTGAAGGATGTGGGACCTATTAAAATGCACAGCTTTGACTTTTCTGTCTTCCAGAGCTGAAAAAGGTGTTATGATATTGATTAAATGAGTCATATGCTTTGCTTGCTTAATTAAATTCTCTCTAGGAGCCATTCATCACCATAGAAATATAGTGTCATCCAGAGAAAATCTAAAATTTTATTTTACCTGTGCATTTCCACTACTTTCTGTCACTGGGGCTCTGGTAGTTTCACCATTTGGAGTGGTTTCCATTTCACATCACAGTGGTCATGAGACACTAAAAACAGCAGTGTTTCCCAGGTTGACTTTTCAGGACAGGCCTAGCAGAGTAGTTAACTGCAGGTTGTGTTTTACTAAATGTTTCTCAGACTTCACAAGAGTTTTCCCTTGCTTGGTGAAACCATTTGAAATTTCTTTTTTCTTTCAGTATGTTTCTCTCCCAACAATTAACTTTTATTGTTGATACTTTTGGCTGCCATTCATGTTAGCAGAATAACAACCCTTCTCCACCCCCAAGAAAAATGCATTGATGTAACATGGTTCAGTCAACTGAAGAGAAAATTAATTTGCTTCTTTCTTTGCTGTATTTTTTCTATCTTTGTTTTTATTCCTTTAGGGGTCACTAGCGAGTACATACCATGAACAATATTTTCTTAACTTTGAAATTTAAAGGTTGCATATTGTATTGCAATTCATGAAATAATTTCATTTTCACTGAAAGTGGAGTTAGATGATACTTTCCTTGGGCAGAATTCACCCTTTTGTAAATGTTTTCAACTTTGGGCTGTCTTCCCCTCTTAGGAAAAGATTCCTTACGAGCTGACACTAGCTGTGCTTCCCCAGTTCTTGGGCTTTGGCCGCCTCTGTTGCAAGATCCATATTCCCTAACCCAGCTGCCAGCACAGCTCTCATCACTTCAGTCTGTGAAAGCCCCTTCCTCCCTTCCTCCCCTAGATTTCTTCATGTTAAACCTTCATTTGTATGATTACATCATTTTCTACTCAGCCTTCAGCCTAAGTTTGAATATTGAAAACACTATTTTTTTCTTTTTTGTCATCCAGAAACATGCTTTGGAATCACCATCTCATTTCCTTCGGCTATGCTATTTGCATTATGTTTAGCTGAGATTTTTTTTTTGAAAGCAAGGATTAAATAGTTAAGGATGGAATGATGTCTAAATTCAACAATCAACTATTTGAAATTTCCTTGTCTTTTAGAGAGATCAGAACATGTGCTCTAATTCATTCAAACATATTCCTGTTAGAATGAATTAGTTGAATTGTAGACTTTTTTTATTCCAACACACTTGGTGTGTTTTTAGTAGTTCTTCACTTCCCTATGAGTTGTTTATCTTTCCAGAACCTTTGCTAGAGGAAATTTAGAAGAGGTTAGCAGAAGTGATTACATAGAGAATAAATGTTAGGCTGATTACATTTCTGTAATCCCAGCACTTAGGAGGCTGAGGCAGGACAATCTTGAATTCTAGGCCAGCCTGGACTACCTAGCAAGATCCTGTCTCAAAAGGTAAACAAACTGTCATACAGAATCTCTTAATTAAGTGAATATTGGAAACTCAATCTATACAAAACACTAATTTAGATTTTAGGGAATGTCAAGAAGGCAGACATAACCCCTGATTTCCAGAATTTTAAAATCCTTAAAGCTGAAATTGGTATAAACTTAGGTTCCAGAACAGTGCATGAGCTCAACATGGAGGCGGCTGATCGCCAGCTATTGGTGACAGCAGATGTCAATTGTGTAGGTCTAAGATTAGTCAAAATAACTTTGCATGAACTGTAGCATTTTTTCACAACTTAAACATGTGGCCTTGAAATCATTATCCATTTGTAGGTAAAAGGCAGTCAAAAGAGAGCAGAGTAACCAAGATTATAAGGAAAACTTAGGTGTTGTAACTTGAAAGTCAGAGGAAGATACTATGTGAAACCTGGCCATTAAACAGTTTCACTGTGCATCCTAAAAGCTGTTTCTTCTGCTCACCTGACTGTTGTTCAAAAGCAGTGCCTGCCTCAGAATCACTCTAATGTATGGAGGAAGTGATTCTTGGTGCCCTCCTGGGACAAGTGGTCAGGTTCATGAATGAGTGAGTTAACCTTGAGCACCATGACCCAAGCGGTATTGGGGAGCAGTGTGAAGACATGCACATCTGCCACCTGTCCTGCAAAATGCTGCAGTGCTGTCTGCTGCTTTGGAAATGTGCCCCGTTGGACCACTTCAGGAGGGAATGCCTGCTTCACAGTTGCATGTATTATAATCACGTGAAGCAACTGAATGCTTCCTCCATATTTTAGGAAATGGTCTTAACAAAATGGCCCTTGTCTGCCTCTGATGTAGTGTATGAGCTTGTTAGATGACTGTGTGTGAAAAATTTAAGCCATTCTCACTGGCTGCTCATCTGTGTTTCAGGCATCCTGATAAAAACAAAGATCCTGGGGCAGAAGATAAGTTCATTCAAATCAGCAAGGCTTATGAGGTACTGTGTCAAACTCTGTCATACCTCATTAGTGCTTATAAAGTGTGCCTTAGAGCCAGGCGCCAGTGGCTCATGGCTATAATCCTAGCTACTCAGGAGGCAGAGATCAGGTGGATCGAGATTGAAAGCCAGCCTGGGGAAATAGTTCTGTGAGACCCTATCTCAAAAAAATCCATCACAAAAAAGGGCTGGTGGAATGGCTTGAGGTATAGGCCCTGAGTTCAAGTCCCAGTACCACAAAAAAAATAAAGTGTGCCTTAAGCAATCAGTTCTACAATGTCCTCTCTGAAGGGGCATATCCGCATGCCCTGCAACAGTTTCCACGTGATGGTGGAGAACATACGTGGCCACGTCCACTATGTTGACACAAGTACCTGAGCACTTTAGCTCTTGGAAAATCTGACCTATTTTAAAGGCTTTAATTAGAATTGTGAAATTCCCTGGAATATATGTCTGTTACATTTTTAGAAGCAAGTTAAAGAATCACACTCTAATTTGCTTATATTGATTAAGGCAGCGCAAAGTTACAAATAGATTTAAACACAGGATTTTTAGTAGGTTTCCAACATGTCAGCTTAAGTAGCTGGGTCCAGAATATGCACACCAGCTGAGTCCCTGGCTTCCTGATTTTTGTAGGGTAATACTCTTCAACAGACAATGCTTAACCTGTGGGTTAACTCATCATCCCAAAAAAATGCTCGCATTTTAACTAACACATAAGACACTAGAGTCAATTCTGTGGCTACTCTTTGTTGTTCATAGCTTGATGCAAATTGACCTGATGTGACCAGGACAATTTTCTTAAGATTGAGCACTGGTTATCAAAATTGTGCTGCATCTTTCTTGTTTTCCTGAAGCACTCACTGAGATAGCTCGAAATCTTTATTGCCGACATGAGCACAACTGTCTAAACAACTGAACTGTCTTGGTCTTGGCTTTTCCTTAATGTTTCCATTGAGAGAAGAGGTTCTCGGAACACTGAGCAGCTGCATTTACAACATCAAATCAGGTGGTCACTAGTGACTCACGTGTGCAACCTAGCTACTCAGGAGCGTTGAGGTTCATAGCCAGCCCAGGCAAATAGTTCAAGAGACCCTGTCTTGAAAATACCCGACACACTCACAAAAAGAAGGGGGGAGTGGCTCAAGTGGTAGAGCGCCTGCCTAGCAAGCATGAGGCCCTGAGTGCAAACCCCAGTACCACAAAAAAAAAAAAAAGATATCAGATCATATCATAATCTTTACATTTATTTTCTTTGTTGGCTTATAGAAAAAGGCTGGGGATGTAGCTTAATGTTAGAGTGTTTGCCTGGAATGCACAAGGCCCTGGGTTCAAAGCCCAGTACCACAGCTGGGGGGGTTCCTTTGAGTGAGTGAGCCTTTTTGTGGTTTTTAGATTCCTCATCTTTTTTCCTTTTTTATAGATTCTCTCCAATGAAGAAAAGAGGACAAACTATGACCACTATGGCGATGCTGGAGAGAACCAGGGCTACCAGAAGCAGCAGCAGCGCGAGTATCGCTTCCGCCATTTCCATGAAAACTTCTATTTTGATGAGTCTTTTTTCCACTTCCCCTTCAATGCTGAGCGGCGGGACTCCATTGATGAGAAGCATTTACTGCACTTCTCCTACTATGTGAATGAAGTGGTTCCCGATAGCTTCAGGAAACCCTACCTCATCAAGATCACCTCAGACTGGTGCTTCAGCTGCATCCACATCGAGCCTGTCTGGAAAGAAGCTGTTCAGGAACTGGAAGGATTGGGTAAGCTCATGTACTCACTGGGAGGCCCTGACAGGAGAAAGCGACATTTATCCTCCTTGAATTTTATGGGATGTGATTTCTCTTTACAAGTTCACAGTGATTGGTGTTCTCCGAGATGTGTTTTCAGAGGGAAAATGTATAAGCCATTTTCATTTTGCTTTCCTGATTTGAAGCTTTATCTACATATAGTATCAAGTCATTTAGTTGGAGGCATAATATGTCGAAAAACTTAAGAATTATTGGTTGAGTAAATCATCAATTTTGATGCCAGCAGAGATTGCAAATAATATGGTACTTGTGATTTCACTCTGTGGATTAGTTTACTAGGGCTACTGTGGGAAAAAAAATGCCACAGCTTCTCACTGTGCAGTCACATGACCATCTGTGTGTGTGCAAGTGTCTGGAATCTTTGTGTGTCCTTACCTCTTACTGGCTTGAGGCCCGTCCTAATGACCTGTTTTAACTTAATTTCTTTAAAGGCTCTTTTTTAGCTCAGGGTACCATAATAAAATGCCATACTCTAGGTGGCTTACACAACAGAAATTTCTTTTTTTTTTTTTGGTGGGACTAGAGTTTGAACTCAGAGCTTTCACACTTGCAAAACAGGTGCTCTACCACTTGAGGCACACCTCCAGTCTGTTTTGCTCTGGTTAGTTTGGAGATGGGGGCGGGTCTCAAGAACTATTTGCCTAGGCTGGCCTCAAACCAAGATCCTCCCAATCTGAACTTCCCCAGAAGCTAGGATTACCAGTGTGAGCCACCAGCACCTGCCAAAAATTTATTTCTTACATTTCTGGAGACTGGAGTCCAAGGTCAGAGTGTCAACATGGTCAGGTGTTTGTTTGTTTTTGGGGTTTTTTTGAAGTACTGAGGCTTGAGCTCAGGACCTCATGCTTGCTAGGCAGGCGTTTTACCACTTGAGCCACTCTACCAGGCCTGTTTTATATTGGGTATTTTTTGAGATGGGTCTTGTAAACTATTTGCCTGGGCTGGGTTTGAACATCGATCCTCCTGATCTCTGCCTCTTGAGTAGCTAGGATTATAGGCATGAGCCACTGCCACCCAGACTATGGTCAGGTTCTTGTGAACTTTTGCAATTTCTCTTCACAAGTTTATGATGTACCTTCCAAGTACCATGGATATCAGTGTGGACCACAGAGTGGCCTGTTCTTTGTCCAGATTTACCACTTAATACCAGAAAGATGCTCTCAGAAGAAGCTAAGGGAGTAAGTTCACTGATGTCAAACCTACAGTATTATTATGAAGATTAAATGAGAAAAATTTATGCTAAGTGCCTGATACCTAGGAAGTACTTACTAAATGAACTTTATGGAGTTTCTGATTAACTGGGTTTTCTGTCTTACCAAAGTGAATTTTTTTAAGGCCTTATTTTATATCCCCCTTTTGAAAATCTCTCTTAAATGTTTTAATCCACATTTATCATCTCACTGACAACAAAGCACCTCTTTTTGGGTTTTTGTGAGCGGAGCCTTAAAGAAGATGGGAAAGCGAGGGGTAACATTAACCCTCAGGAGCAGGATGGGCAGAGAAACAAAGATCACCACAGCCTGATGGTAGCAGCATAGCTGGGCGAGGCTGTGTGAAGTAGAGGAGGAGGCAGGACAAGCATGCCAGGAGCCAGAGAGAAAGGAGCCTGAAGTCCAGGCCAAGGGAGCTGGACTGTATGTTGTGGTTTGTAGCAATGTCAAGAGGGATTTGTGCACACAAGAGTGATCTAAACAGATCTCCACTTCAGGAAGCTGACTAGTAAAGGCATATGAGTGAGGGGCAGGGAGGTTACCAGCCCTGGCAAGAGAGCATCCATTGGCTTGAATGTGGGCAACAAGAACATAGAGAGATGGACAGGTGCAGGACATTTCGGGAATAACACTGTGGAGGCCTGGGGCCTGGCTCCTGGGAACACTCAACTGTGAGACGTGAGAGAAGAGCATAGGTTCTCATTGACTCTTCCCTTCAGCTGCGAGGTAGGCAGGGGATACAGGAGGGAGGAGTAGAATTAGGGAAAAACTACAACCAGGCACTGGTGCTCACACCTGTAATCCTCGATACTCATGAGGCAGTGATCAGGAGGATCATGGCTTGAGGTCAGCCCAGGCAAATAATCCATGAGACCCTATCTCAAAAAATACCTAGCACAAAAAAGGGCATGTAGAGTGGCTCAAGTGGTAGAGCACCTGCCTAACAAGCGTGAGGCCCTGAGTTCAAACCACAGTGCTACCAGTGAGTAGATAGATAGATAGACACAGACAACTACAATTTGGACATTCAGTGTGAAATGATATAAACATAATAATAGCTTATATTTACTGAGAGTTTACCATCTGGCAAATACCACAAATACAGCTCATTAAAAAACAGCCCTGTAAATCACGTACACTATTCCTTTTTTAGGTACTTAGCTCACTTTTGGTGCCTTGATCAAGGTCACAGCTGGTGTTTGGCAGGTGGTCTGGCTCTATAGTTCATGCATAGAACCATGGTGCTGTATTGCCTTTCAGTGTCCTTAAATCCTGGGTGATTCAGGAGCTTGCCATTCTCTCAGGGTTTTGTACCATAACACTAGTAAGTTGGGACCCCAAGTGGTTAATATGGAGGAAGAAGCAGTAATTAGCATGAATAGAGGAAATACTTCAGAAGACTAAATGCACTTAGGCCGTCTCTCCTTTTGGAACATCAAGTTTTCATTTTTGGTTTTTTTAAAGACAAGGTCTTGCTATGTTGCCAGGCTTTGAACTCCTGGATTTGCCTTAACTCTTGAGTAGTACTACTCAAGATCAGCTTAAGCTGACCTCAAATTCAAAGTCCTCCTGCCGCTGCATCCCAGCTGCTGTGTTTATAGGTGTGTACCATCATACCTGACTCCAGCAAAGATTGACAGCTGGGTTCTACTTGGTTGTACTTCGGTAACATTGAGATGAGATCAGAATAAACAGCGTCTTTGCCTGTTTCTTGTCTAGTTGAGGTATCACCAGGCTTTAAGACTGGACTGTAGAAAATATTTCTACAGCTCATCTTAAAGATGAGCTGAGTGGTCTGGGGAAGCTTGCACATTACCTCAGAATGATGTGAAGTCCCCAAGTTTCTGTAGTATATAAGAGAAGTCGACAGTTCTCCCTGGAGGAGGGATATGGCAGCCAGTCCGGTGGAATGGGCAGTCGTGGAGTGCAGAAGAATCCAGTATTGATAGATAGTGTGCCCTGGAGCAAGCTCAGAAATAGCCAGCCCTGACCCTCACATAGATGAGCTCACCATTTATTTTTATTGATTTTGTTTTCTTTTGTTTTGATTTTTTTTTTTAAGTTTTGAAGTTTTAGTAAAGATTTATTTTAGTATAGCAAGACAAAGTACAGAGAAGTGGGGAAAAGAAAGAGAAACATTTCCTGTTCCCCACATAGGAAATAGTAGTAAAAGACTCCTGTTTTGATTTTTTGAGACAAGATCTTGATATGTAGCCTAGGCTGGCCTCAAACTTACTTTTTTTCTTCTTTATTTGGCCTCTAACTTTGATCCTCCCACCTCAGCCTCCCAAGTTCCTGGATTATAGATGTGCACCACATCCAGCCAAGCTTACTGCTTATGCAAAGAATTAATGCCAACTCCACATTTGCATATGCAGAATATTATAGTGGTGAAGGAGATGCAGAGGGTAACCAGGAGTTCATCCTATGTTCTTGTTTAAAACTTTTTCCTTAGCTGGGCTCCAGTGACTCACGTGTGGCTCACCCCTGTAATCCTAGCTACTCAGTAGGCAGAAATAAGGAGATTCGCGGTTTGAACCAGCAAGTAGTTGGAGAGACCATATCTCGAAAATACCCAACACTAAAAGGCACCCTACAAGTGGTAGAGTGCCTGCCTAGCAAGCATCAGGTCTGAGTTCAAATGCCGAGTACTGAAAAAAAAAAAAAGCTTTTTTTTTTGATCAACTCTCATGTGCCCATTATTACATTAGGTGGTAAAGGATATATAATGCAGATTATCATTGAGCATTTCAGTTGCTGAGTGCTTTGTATGTGGGTTATCTTTATCCCCAAAGCAATTCAGTGAGGAAGAGACTATTACCCCTTTTTTATGAATGAGGAAGCAGAGGCATGTCAAGGCCACACTACTCATGCAGCAGTGTTGGAGTGTAGCCCCAGGAGTCTTATCTTCTTACCTACTGTGCTCCACTGCTTCAGAAGTAAGCAAGCCCAGGGCTTTGTACCAGGAAACTCAAGTAAGAAACACACCTGATCATCCCAGTAACTCGGTGCTGGCTGGGAGGTGCACACAGAAATGACATACATGACTTCAGGGTCAAGCATCATTTCAAGAAAACCTCATTTGGTGATCAGGCCGTGTTTATTCACCGTGACTTCTATTTCTGGGTACCAGTGGCTCATGCCTGTAATCCTAGCTACTCAGGAGGCAGAGATCAGAAAGATTGTGGTTTGAAGCCAGCCTAGCCAAATAGTTCAAGAGACCATATCTCAAAAAAAAAAAAAAACCACCACAAAAAAAGGGCTGGTGGAGTGGCTCAAGGTGTAGGCCCTGAGTTCAAGCCCCAGTACTGCAAAAAAAAATTTTTTTAAAAAAGGATTATTCCTCTGTTTCAGGTATTTGCTAAGTATGTAAAAATCTCATATAATCTAGAATAAGAGTCTGCTTGCATATTTCTGCTTCATCTCTGCATATGCGATTTTCTTTTATTTCACATCATTTTGCTTCTAAGTTTGTTTATACATGGGTATATTTAGCCAGATTTGACAGTGGCACTTCTTCTCCTTGGCTCTGTGCCGTTTCTTAAGGCATATTCTGAGGAGGAGAATAAATGTGTATATGAGTGTACTCAGGATGGGGGTCCAGAAGGAATTTCCCTGAGAGATGTGCTCTGTGTTTAGGATTACACAGTAACAACAAGTGTAATTTGGTACCCCAAAATGCAGGTACAACAGAGACTTTTGTACTCCATAGAAATAAAACTTTCCTTGAGCCTCAGAGGAGAAAATACAGCATTTTTAATTCACCAGGATATGTATTTTAGCCAGAAACATGGATCCACATGAAAATCAAGTAACGTGTCTTTAAAAAGTCACATGTGCTTACCTTTCTTTTAAATTTGCTATTCAAGAGCCAGGAGTGTATCTCAGTGGTAGAGCACTTGCCTAGTAGTCTTGCTTTCCTGGGTTAGATCCCCAGTACCCCCAAAAAAATGCTACTTAAGTGGATTTGAATTCTGTGCACATCCATCTTGTCACCAGTCAGATCCTGCTGTGTTGGGAAAAGGATATATGAATGAAGCCAAGCATAGTGGCAAAAGTGTAACCCCAGATCCTGGGAGGCTGAGGCAGGAGGATCACAAGTTCAAAGCCTACCTGGGCTACATTGAGTTCCTGGCCAGTCTGGCCTACATAAGGAGACCCTGTCTCAAAAAAAAAAAAAAAAAAAAAAAGAAGCTGGTTGATAGTGGTTCATGCCTGTAATACTAGCAACTTGGGAGGCTGAGATGGGGAGGATCACAGTTCAAGGCCAACTTGGGCAAATAGTTTTTAAGACCCCCATCTCCAAAATAACCAGAGCAAAATGGACTGGTGGATTCACTCAAGCGGTAGAGTACCTGCTTTGCAAGTGTGAAGTGCTGAGTTCAAACCCCAGTCCCTCAAAAAAACAAAAAAAAGCTCATAGGAATGCTTGTACCTGCTGTTGACCAGCAGAGCTTGCTTTATAAATCCCAAACTTTGGAGTCTGTCCTCCTCAGGGACCAGAAAGGTTAGAGATGGACCTAATATGTGGCCCAACTTTTACTTTTTTTTACAGTACTGGAGTTTGAACTTGGGGCTTCACTCTTGCTAGACAAGTCCTTTACCATTTGAACCACACCCCTAACCTTTTTTGCTTTAGTTATTTTTCATATGGGGTCTCTCACTTTTTACTCAGGCTAGCCTCAGACTGCAGTCCTCCTACCTCTGCCTCACATGTAGCTAGAATTACACACGTGCACCATTCTGCCTGGCTCAACTATTATCTTGTAAGGAATACGGCTGCAGAGCACTGGGCTGTGCTCCCTCCTCCTGCATCCTCTTCGCATCTCTGGAGCTCTTCTAGGGGAGTAGGTTGCTCAACATGGTGGGAGGAGGTGTAGCAGTTATGACCATTAAACAACAAGGAATTCTGCTTTGTCAGACTCCTTTTGTCTAATCTGAACATAAAGCTTCAGTACTGCAGGTCAGTGATGAGGGTGGGGTAGAGGGTGGGGTGAGAAACCACTTTATTCTCCATGAGTCTCAGTTGCCCCATCTGTGAAATGAGTAAGTTTGACCAGGTAATTTCTGCTTCACTGGAAGCTCTGCTTCTTGTTCCAGGGAAAGTGCTTGGACCTTGGCCAGTGAACCCTAAGTCCCCTCTCTTTTTTTTATAAAACAGGCAAGAATTATTCAGTTTCAGACTGAGGGTTATATGTACTCATACAATATTATCTTCTCCTCCTCCAATTAAAGTGCCCTTTAATTGGGCTGACTGAGTGGTTCAAGTGGTAGAAAGCCTGCCTAGCAAGTATGAGGCCCTGAGTTCAAACTCCAGTACTGCACACACACACACACACACACACACACACACACACACAAAAGACAAAAAAAAAATATCCACATTAGCCTCCTACCCTTTAATTATTTCTGACCTCATTATTTCCCCATTCCTAATAGAAGGTAGATAGAGGCAGCAGCATTTGTGCAGCTGTCATTAATTCATTATAACCAGAATCTAGGGCTGGGGGCCTGCCTCAAGTCATAGCAATGAGCCCCAGAGTCCAAACCCCAGTACCACAAAAAAAAAAAATCCTCAGAATCTAATACATAGCTGTTTCAGGCCATGGAGATTTAAGAGAGAGAGAGAGCAATTGATGGCCCAGTTTCAATCAGCTCCTACTGTGTGTCCAGTCCTGTCCTGATGCTGGAGATATATCTGTTTCAGTAAATGAAACAGATCCCTGCCTTCCCTTTCTGGGGACCTCCATTCTAGAAGGGGAGGACAGACTGAACAATCAAGGAGGAATACAGGCAGGGGGGATGCTCAAGTGATAGAGTGCCTGTTTTGCAAGCACAAGGCCCTGAGTTCAAATTCTAGCTCCCCACCAAAACAAAAGTATTAGATGACCCCACTTTATTTTATGTATGTATGCATGCATACATAAAGCAATAAACAGATAGATACCAAAATACTAACAGTAGTCATATAGGGGTTTTTGGGTGATTTTAACTTAATTTCTTTTACTTTTTTAAGAATCGGTATTTTGGAGCTGGTGGAGTGATTCAAGTGGTAAAGCACCTTCCTAGCAAGCATAAGGCCAAGTTCAAACCCTAGTAATGCCAAAAGAAAAATTAAGAGTATTTTGTAGCTGGCATCAGTGGTTCATGCCTGTAATCCTAGTTACTCAGGAGGCAGAGATCAGGAGGATCATGGTCAAAGCCGGCCCCACCAAATAGTTCATGAGACCCTATCACAAAAATACCCAATACCAAAAAGGTTTGGTGGAGTGGCTCAAGGTGTAGGCCCTGAGTTCAAACCCCAGAACTCACACACACACAAAAGAGTATTTTCTAGTATCTCAATAAAGTAGTTTATACAGAAGGGGGAGAGATGTTTTCAAGGGTGAAAAGAATATGACTTTCTTTTCTCCTATTGAAAAATCCAAGGCTTGTTTTCTGGTTTTTGTTTGTTTGTTTTGAGTTTCACAGGGGTTTTTTGTGGGGAGGGTTGTTTTAGTTTTTTGTTTTATGCAGTACTGTGGTTTGAACTCAGGGTCAAGAGTTTTGAGCTTGCTAGGCAGGTGCTCTACCACCTGAGCCACACCCCTAGCCTTTCTGCTTTAGGTATTTTCAAATAGGGTCTCATGTTTATACGTAGACTGGCCTGGACCTCAGTTCTCCTATTTACACTTCCCATGTAGCTAGGATGACAGACACACCACCATGCCTAGCTTTTTATTGGTTGAGATGGGGTCTTAGCGAACTTCTTGCCTGGACTGGCCTTTCACCACAGCCCTCTCAATCTCTGCCTCCCAAGTAGCTGGGATTATAGGTGCGAGCCACCTGCCCAGCCGAGGTCTATGTTTCTTTTTGAGTAGAAACACAGTATACAGGTTGTTTTTTCATGTAAACTCTTCCCTCATGATCTGGAAGTAACAGGCTAAAAGACATAAAGATTTGTGACTCTTCTTAAATACTACCAGACTACAAGCCAGATATGGTGGTAAATGCCTGTAACTCAGTTGAGGCGGGAGAATTGTGATTGTGAGGCCAGCGTGGGCTACAGAGCAAGATCCTGTCTCCAAAAAGAAAAAAGCCAGATTGCTGTGCAGAAAAACTGACCAATCTAGAATTCCAACAGAAGAAGAATGCTAGATAGTCTGTTAGCAGTATATTCTCTCCTACTATACTGGTTCTAGTTTCACCTGAAAAACTACTTCTCAGTGTTTCTTCCACCTACTGTGGAGGCACAGAAAGGCCTCACGTAGCTCCTCCATACTTTTCAGGTGTGGGGATTGGTGTCGTCCATGCTGGGTATGAGAGGCGCCTGGCCCATCACCTGGGGGCACACAGCACACCCTCCATCCTGGGAATCATTAATGGGAAGATCTCCTTCTTCCACAATGCGGTTGTCCGGGAGAACCTACGGCAGTTTGTGGAAAGTCTTCTTCCAGGGAACTTGGTGGAGAAAGTAAGAATCTGGTGGGGAGAGTGGACTGACTTCCCAGGGCTTTATCTGTGACCCTCTCAGACCTGGGTCTCATTTCATGCACACATGACACAGATTAATGGATTAACTGTTCACACTGAATCATTTAAATCAAGGCTACAGGACACTGAAAATTGAAACAGATGTGAAGTACAGAGACTGAAAGCATTCATTACTGTTAATAACCGTCTGGCAGATTTTACCCTGTTACAGGAATCTGAACCTAAAATGACGGTGACTATTTCTTACACAACAAAAAATTAGATCACGTGGTAGGACTTTTGTTTCGTATACTTGTTCATGTATTTATCTTTGGAAAATATTCAAGTTGAATTGCATTAGGTTTATGTCTAGTGATCATATCTATAGGAAGAAGAAAAAAGGTGTCAGGCACAGGTGGCTCACGCCTGTAATCGTAGCTGCTCAAAAAGTCAGCCAAGGCAACAAAAGTGAGACCCTATCTCAAAAATATCCAACACTAAAAAGGGCTGATGGAGTGGCCCAACTAGTAGAATGCCTCCTTGGCAAGTGTGAGGCCCTGAGTTCAAACCCCAGTGCTACAAAACAAAAAGAAGAAGATGTACACTCTACCAGGCGCCAGTGGCTCATGCCTGTAATCCTAGCTACTTGGGAGACTGAGATCAGTAGGATCACAGTTTGAAGCCAGCCCAGGCAAATAGTTCTTGAGACCCTATCTCCAAAATAACCAGAGCAAAATGGGCTGGAGGTGTGGCTCAAGAGGTAGAGTGCCTGCTGCTTTGCAAGCAGGAAACCCTGGGTCAATACCCAGCACCAAAAAAACCCAAAAAACAGGTGCACTCTAAAGGAAGCACTTCAGAGCCAACTCCAGAAACTCAGCTTCTGTAATATGGTCAGCAATCTTTTCAGACAGGATTATGATATCAGCCTGTGAGAGTTGAAACAAATGAGAATGTGAGACCTATTATCTCTATTCTTTTTATAGTTTTAGTCAAAGACAAAAAGATAAGTTGTCTACATTTTTTTTTTGCAAACAATCTTTGAGACATACTTGATTTCTCTCCTGACTAGAGTATAATACGTTAAGAATTAAATATTAAAATTAACATTCTATTTCCGATTTAAGGTTACAAATAAAAATTACATCAGATTCCTTTCTGGCTGGCAGCAAGAGAATAAACCTCACGTCCTTCTGTTTGACCAGGGGCCCATGGTGCCACTGCTATACAAGGTATTTCATATGCTAGGAAGATGTGCTCGCTTTTTTGATGGGAAGTAAACTCTGAGTTGGAAGTTGTAGCCTATTTTCCTCTTTTGTAAATGTAAGTTGAAAAGTCTCTAATCCAAAAATCCTAAATCTGAAACACTCCACAATCTGATACTTTGTCAGCACTGACAGGATACCACAAGTGGAAAATTGTACACCTGACTTCGTGTGCTAGGTCACAGTCAAAATGCAGGTGCACCGAAATGTATCAGATTACCTTCACATTATGTGTATAAGGTATATACAAAACAAATGAATTTTGTGTTTAGACTTGGTCCCATCTGTAAGATAATGCCTTATGTTATATGCTAATATTCCAGAATCCTGAAAAAATCTGAAATACTTCTGGTCCAAGCATTTTAGAAAGAGATGCCCAGCCTATAATAGTTTATACCATGAGAAATGTTTGAAGGCCAGAATTTTACATAGTCACTACCGATGACCATCCTAGTGCTTTCCATACACATGACATCATTTTGTCCCAGGAGAACCTAATGATAGGGACAGTATCTGCATTTTGTGGGCCAAGATGCTGAGGCTTACAGGGGCCATGTGACCTGCACAGGTCTCACTGCAGTGTGGTGATGCCCCTGGAGCCAGTTCAAGTCCACACCTGCCTTCTTAGTGGTGCCCCGTATTCAGTGCCAACACATCTCCTGTCATCACTGTGACATGATACGGGAACATGTCCAACCATTGGCACAGTCACTGCCTTCTGACAATTTGGGTTCCGGTGATTCCCCAAACATTCCATACCTCGCACCCAGGACAAATTTCAATATGGTGATTATTTTCCTTTATGATGAAGGAAAGAATTAGTGTTTACTTTGCCAGTACTGTTTTTGTGTGTGGAAAGCCATAGAATTCCTGGGTATGTACAAGGTGTAGAAGACTCACTGGGGCGTGTGCATGTCAGCTTATCTGCAGGCATGGATGTGAACTGGCCCCAGGTGCTTTGTAAGTTAGAGATCAAGCTATCGATTTCATTTTCTTCCATTTGCCCTCACAGCTGACTGCTTTTGCATACAAAGACTATTTATCATTTGGATACGTTTATGTGGGTTTACGAGGGGCTGAAGAGATGACAAGGCAGTACAACATCAACGTCTACGCCCCCACCATCCTGATCTTCAAAGAGCACATCAACAAGCCTGCCGACATGATTCAGGTGTGTGAGAATCACCGTGCTTCCAGGATCCTTCACATTTGACCTGGACCCTCAGTGTAAATAAGCAGCAAAACTGAACAGAGTGCATGACGAGAGGAGAAACTAGCTCCATTGTTTCCTGGCCATGAAAAAGTTTTAAAATAAGCCTTAGTTGTATTTTTTATCTGACTTGTGGTGTTTTGCTTAAAGAAATATCTTACCTTTTAAGTGCTTCTGTTAGAAAATCAACAATCTAAGAGGGGTTTGGTGGTGCACTTAGGAAGTTGAAGCTGGAGGATTGCTTGAGCCCAAGGAACTTGAGGCCAAGGAACTTGAGGCCAGCCTATGAGACCGCATTTCAAAAAAAAAAAAGAAGAAGAAAGAAAATCAGTATTTTTTTCCCAGCATAAATTACATACTGGGCATAGTGGTGCACCCCTGTAATCCCACTGATTTAGAGGCAAAGGCAGGAGGATTGAGGTTCTCAGGCAGCCCAGGTAGTTAGCAGGAAATCGTATCTGAAATTCAAACTAAAAAGCAAAAGGACTGGGGATGTGGCTCAAGTAGTAGAGTGCAAACACAAAATTACAGTAATGAATTTAAAAATTAAATGTAGAGCGATAAGAAGAGACCACAAACCAACCAACATGGATGAATAGTTACCTGTTCTTAAGGTGCGGAAAGACTAAAATCCCCTGCTTGGGAAATCTTAATAAGTTGCCTGTACATTTTACATTTTTATGTGAATACTTTTAATTTAAAGTTAAATAGGGCAAGGAAGTATTTATATTTTTATATGTAAATATAAATGTTAATACCTGGCTGGGTGAGGTGGTACATATCTGTAATCGGAACTACACAGAAGGCATAGATAGGAAAATCGTGGTCCAAGGCCAGCCTGGACAAAAATGCAAGACCCTATCTGAAATAATATCTAAAACAAAAAGACTGGAGGCTCAACTCAAGTGGTAGAGCACTTGCCTGGCAAGGGTGTAGGCCCTGAGTTCAAACCACAGTACCACCCAAAAAAAATTTTTTTTTGAGACCTTTAATTTCTAATAAGCCCTTTCTAATTAAGGTCAATACAAAATTCTTAGAAGACATTCAAATGACTAATAAACATTTTTTTAATTAAATGTCATTATTACACATAGAAATGAAAATTTAACTTTGGGGTTTGAACTCAGGGCCTCATGGTTGATAGGCAGGCACTCTACTACTTGAGCCACTCCACCAATCCAAAATGTAACATTTTTGCACTCATCAAATTGTGGAGATTTTCATAGTTTAAGATACCTAATAGAATTGAGGGTATAGAGAAGCAAGCACTCTTTTTGCCTTCCTAGAGGAATAGGCTTTCAGAAAAGCAGTTCAGTAGTATTATATTAGTAGTCTAGACTCGTGAGTAATCCCCTGTACCTGTTATGTGCCAAACACCATTCTGCCAGGGAGAGGGACTCAGTAGTAAGCAAAACCAGCAGAATCTCCTGCCCTGTATCTTACTAGGGAAGACCGTCAGCAAAATATAGTCTAGTGTAGTATGTTATGAAGTGATAACTGCTAAGGAGAAAAGTGAAGCAGGAAAGGAGTGTGGCGTATCTAAGGGAAAAATGTTGCAGTTCAAGGTAGAATGGCCAAGAAGGGTCTCATGAAAAAGATAAAGACCCAAGGGATGGCCTAGAGGCTTGGCTCAAGCGGTAGAGCTCCTACTGCCAAGTTCAAAACCCCAGTAACCACAAAGGAAAGAAACAAGGAAGGAGAGGGAAAGGAGAAAGGAAAGGGAAAGGAAGGGAAGGCAGGGGAGGGAAGGAGAAATGAAAAGAAAGGGAAAAGAGGAGTGAAGGGGAAAGGAAAGGGAAGGATTTTTCTAGAACTTATTCCATTTTATCTAAATTTTCAAATTTAAGAAACTTTTTAGGCTGGGTTGGAAGAATGGCTCAAGTTGTAGAGCACCTGCCTGGCAAACACAAAGCCCTGAGGTCAAACACCAGTACCATCCAAAAAAAAAAAAACCAAGTAACTTTTTTTTTAACTTCTGCAACTTTTTGTCATCCTTGATGATTATTTGTATCCACCCTTTTGTTTTCATGATTGTTGTTTCACAAGATCTGTCAACTTCATTAGCTTTTCAAAGAACCAATTTTGAGTTTGCTAATTCTTTGTACCTTTATTTTTTCCTTGTTTCTTTTTAATTTCTTGACATATGGATTTCTAGTTCATTGGTGTCTTTTCTGTTATGCTGGTTTTTATGTGATTCTTATTGCCATACATTGCTTATACAAAGAGGTCTCGTATTTCCATACATGCATATCATATATTTTGCTCATTCATTCCTTGTTATTGTTTGATTTGCAAAAAATTCTTTAATTAGAGTCAGTAGATGTCTTTTGCTTTTTTTTCTTCTATTTGACCTAGCATGCTAGTAACTTTCTTTTTCTTCTCTTTAATTCATCTTACGAGGGGATGTCATTGTAATGATTCAATACATGCATACAATGTACCTTGAACAAGTTTGCCCCTTATATTAATGTTTTTGGGTTTTTTGGTGGGATTGGGGTTTGAATCAGGACTTCACACTTGCAAAGCAGGTGCTCTACCACCTGAGGCACACCTCCAGTCCCTTTTGCTCTGGTTATCTTAGAGATAGGGATCTTTTATCCTATTATCCTGCCCATCTCAGCCTCTTAAGTAGCTAGGATTGTAGGTGTGAGCTACCGGTGCCCAGCTATAATAATTTTTTCAATGGAATTTTTTTTTGTTGTTGGGACTGTTGTTGAACTCAGAGTTTCACACTAGCAAAGCAGGCACTCTGCCACTGGAACCACACTTCCAAGCCTTAATTGAATTTTTTTGTTGTTTTTAGTATACTTTATCTGTATGCCAAAGTTCTGAGAAATAGTATTTTCATTAATCATTGAAAACCAGAATATTTTATAATATCTGATAGTCTTTCTTCTTAGATCAGTGGCTTATTCAAAGTGTGTTTCTTAATTTCCAAGTGAAGGTAAATGCTTGCATTTCTGGTTTGTATTTTATTTTTAGTTCTAGATTAATTACATTGTGGTCAGAGAACCTGCTGTGTATAATTTCGGTCCTTTAAAATGTATTAAATAACAAATCAACTGTCACACAGTTTTATAGTCTGTTTACCCCTGTTAACATTGTTTAGGGTTCATATTTAATTATTCATTATGTGACTAAAATTCAGAATGAGTGACTAAATCTGTCAACATAAACCAGGCGCCTGTGTCACAAACCTGTAATCCTAGCTATTTGGGAGGCTGAGATTGGGAAGACCTAGGTTTGAGACCAGTGAAGGCAAATAGTTTGTGAAACCCCGTCTCCAAAATAACCCGAGCAAAATGGACCAGAGGTTTGCCTCAAATGGTAGAGCACCTGCTTTGCAAGTGCAAAGCCCTAAGTTCAAACCCCAGTCCCAAGGCTGGCCGCTGGTGGCTCACACCTGTAATCCTAGCTACTCAGGAGGCAGAGATCAGGAAGATCGCAGTTCAAAGCCAGCCCAGGCAAATAGTCTGTAAGACCCTATCTTGAAAAACCCTTCGCAAAAAAGGGCTGGTGGAATGGCTCAAGGTGAAGGCCCTGAGTTCAAGCTCCAGTACTGTAAAAAAAAAAAAAAAATCCGCCAGCCTAAAACATATGCAAAAGTTATTCAGTGGAAAGAGCCCTGGATTTTTCTTTGATCTGAAATAGCTGCATCTTTACTTGCAGGCCTGCATTGTTGATCCTAAGTCACCTCATGTTTATTTGCTCTAGCTGGTCTGTCTTACCTGGATACATTACTTTAGTCAAGGTGGCAACCTTATTAATAAGCTTATAAGTAAAGTTCATATGCAGGAAAAACCTGAATAAAAGGCAACTGCTGTTTTGTTTTTCTTTTTGGTTTTTCTCCAGGCTCGAGGGCTGAAGAAGCAGGTCATTGATGATTTCATCACCCAAAACAAGTATCTGTTGGCAGCCAGACTCACCAGCCAGAAGCTGTTCCATGAGCTCTGCCCCGTGAAACGGTCTCACCGACAGAGGAAGTAAGAACCCAAGGCTTTGCCTCTGCTTCTCATCACAATGCAGGGCATTTTACTACAGGGCAGTTAAGCCTCTGACAGAGTCATTTTTCATTTATTAATGGACAACTCTGATAGTGCTGGGGTGCCTCAGGACCAAATTGTTGGATGTGCTAACCTAATTTCAGAGTCAAAGAACCCTAAGATGTACACTTTAGCAGAGACTTGAAAGCTGACTAGACTTCGACCAGGTGTCAAGGAGACTGGGTCCTTTTCATGAAGCCTGGAATGTGAGTTTCTCTCCTTGCTAGAGCATTCCCCTCTGGGTGTGTGTTTGGATGTCTTAGAAAGGAGCCAGAATAATGATTAAACAGTAGGACAAGGTGGGCATTGAGGAAATGTTAAAATAATTAGCTGGTAATTGGAAAAGCTAAGGCACATGTATTCAGTAAAGTGTATGAAAGGTTATTATACAGAGTATCTAAAAAGTGTGAAAGTACAGGAAAAATGTCATGCCTTTTTCAGATTAACAAATCACTGGTTTTTTCAATTTAGAGCTATATCATTGATAAAAGGTATTTAGACACAGCAGGCATATTGGTACATGCCTGTAATCCCAGCTCTCAAGAATTGAGGCAGGAAGATTGAGGGTTCAAGGCTATCCTAAGCTAAATACAAGACCCTGTGTAAAAAATAAAGTACCTGGATACTGATAATATTGATCATGTTGTAAATGTTATTTAAAATAAAGAATTGGCCTATGTTTCCAAACTCTTCCAATTCCTTTATAGTCTAAAAGAAAAGAAAAAAAGTCTTTAATTAGATTTAACAAAGAATATCCTGAAATATAAGAATTATTTTTTAACTGGTGTGCCAATGGCTCATGCCTATAATCCTAGCTACTCAGGAGACAAGAGAACAAGAGGATTGTATTTCAAAATCATCCTGGGCAAATAACTTCAGGAGAGCCTATCTTCAAAAACAGCCAACACAGAGAAATGAAAAAAAGCAGGGCTGGCAGAATGGCTCAAGTGGCAGAACTCCGGCCTAGGAAGCATGAAGTCCTGAGTTCAAACCCCAGTACCATCAAAAAAATTATTTTTATACCTCAAAAACTATCTTAAATGCACTTCTTGCTTTTTTTTAACCACTGCCATTCCAGAGCAGGCCACCATCCTCTCCCACAGGGATCACCAGGGCAGCCTCTGCCTCATCTCTCTACTTCTATTCCGCCTTGTACCCTCCAGACAGTTCTCCACACACCAGGCAGTGATCTTTATAATCCAGATCAGATTAAGTCCCTCTCCATATCAGGCTTTTCACACTCAGTTGCCTGGGATGCTCTGTCCACATTTCCTCTTCTTGGTACGCTTGATTCGGTTCTCTGTTCAAGTGTCACCTCAGTGACTTCTCCCTGACCAACTCATCTAACAGAATATGACTACCCCGCCTCCCTCCCCCCACACTGGCCTCTTTATCCCTTTCTCCTCTGCTTGTTTTATCTGTTTAATGTCTGTCCTCCTCACTGCAATATATGCTCAACAAGGGCAGGAATGCTGTCTTCCCTGGCACATGGTAAGTGTTCAGCAAATGTTTGGGACTATGAATGAACGAATGGCTAGACTCCCACTGGAACCTTGGAAAAGGAAGCTCCTTCAGAATGAGCTCCTTCAACTTCTGACCTAAGACAGATTCAAGCAGGCCTCTGCGGTAGAAGAACTAGGGACAGATGGCTTCTAAAAGGCCCTTCTGCATCAAGGATTCAGTGACCAGTGCCTTAAAAAAAAATCCTAAATGTCATGAAGGAGTTTGGTTTGGGGAACACTACCAGTCTGAAAAGAGAGCAGGTCATGAATGAGTTGGAAGCCTCCTCTCCTCTCCTTTAGAAATAGCAGCTTTCATTACAGAGTATATTCACTCTAAGATGGGGCATCCTCCTCTTCCCTCTGCCAGCCATCACAGGTTCTACCCAGGGATTGGTTATAGAATCTTTTTTCTTGTTCTTATGCAGGTACTGTGTGGTCTTACTGACTGCTGAGGCTTCCAAGCTGAGCAAACCCTTTGAGGCCTTCCTGTCCTTTGCCCTGGCAAACACACAAGACACTGTGAGGTTTGTGCACGTCTACAGTGGCCGACAGCAGGAGTTCACCAGCACCTTGCTACCGGACAGCGAAGCACTTCAGGGACAGTCAGCGGTGAGCCAGATTACCTCCTGACCCCAGGCTCTTCTCAGGCTCCTGGCCCTCGATTCTGTTTCTTCCTGTCGGGAATATTGAGTGGAGTCCAGAACTCTGGAAACCGCTGAGGCCTGGGTTAAAAGCCTGATCTGACAGCAGTCTTTCACAAGGTCCTTTCATACCCTAGGGGTAGGCCTGAGGCCTCCGCAGAGAGCACTTTTCCTAGGAGAAAGTTCAGGTGCAATAGTCCTTTTCACTAGCATCTCCATATGGCAGTCTGATCATTAGAACCCAAGGTGCCAGATTTTGCAAATCTTCAGGCCACTGATAAGGTGCATCAGAAATTCCCACCCCTTTGGTCCTTCCTCCTCCTCCTTTGTCATTGCTCCCTCCAGAAGCACGAGATTCTTCTCCTCTTGGGGCTCAGGGTGTCGTCAATGGAAAAGCACTTAACCAGCATTCATGAGGCCCTGGGCCATACCCAGCACTGCAGAAAAGAATTCTCTGCCTTTATCATTGTTTTGGTTATCATGGAAAAATCTTTCTACAAAAGAAAGGTTTCCTTTATTAAAATATTAAGTGACCAAGCCAGAGGTTATAGAAGAAAGTCTATTGGAAAAAAAAAAAGAACTTTAACTTTTAGCAAAAGCTTGGGAAAATCACCATAAAAATAATTGCTCTGGGAAGGCTAAGGTAGAAGGAGCTTTCTCTTTTTTTTTTTGCAATACTGGGATTTGAACTCAGGGCCTTCACCTTGAGCCACTCCACCAGCCCAATTTTTTGTGATAGGGTTTTTCAAGATAGAGTCTCTTGAACTATTTGTCCGGACTGGCTTCAAACTGCAGTCCTCCTTATCTCTGCCTCCTGAGTAGCTGGGATTACAGGCGTGAGCCACCGGTGCCTGGCCAGGAGGATCCCTTGAGCTAAAGAGTTAAAGGCCAGCCTGGGCAGCATAATGAGACCCCTCCCCCCGTCTCAATAATAATAATAATAATAATAGTTCCTTCTATCAGAAAGATTTCAATCTCTTGCAAATATTTTAGTCCTTTATATGTGTGTTTGAATTTATTGCTGACGTTATGAGACCCTTTCATCCATTCTCCCTGACAAAACTAAACAACTATAACTTAACCTTGCTTTGGACACCTCTATTTTATTTTTGTTTTTGTGGGTTTTTGAGTTTTTTTGTCTTTATGAGACAAGATTCCCCCATACACTCCAGGCTAGCATGTATCTTACTGTGCAGTCCCGGCTGGCCTTGAGCTCAGGATCTTCTTACCTCCAACTCCAGCGTGGGGATTACAAGTATGCAACCATGGTGCCTGACTGCCTTTGAGACTTCTAATTTTTTCTTCTCTTTTCCTCCCAGGTATCTATCTTGGAAAGACGCAATACAGCAGGAAGAGTGGTGTATAAAACCCTGGAAGATCCATGGACTGGGAGTGAGAGTGACAAATTTGTCCTTTTGGGTTATCTTGACCAGCTTCGGAAAGATCCAGCTCTTCTGTCCTCTGAGGCTGTGCTTCCTGATCTGATTGATGAACTTGCCCCTGTGAGTATCATGGTCTGGGGGGAGGGTTACAGGGAGAGCTCACAGGCTCACAGGCTCACAGGGCCGGCACCTGATTTCAGCTAAGAGCAGAGGTTCCACCACCAGCTTTCTGTGGGGGAAAAGTACTAACCACTGTCCATTTCCTCTCCCAATAGGTTTTTTTCCTCCGGTGGCTCTATTCTGCTTCTGACTACCTCGCAGACATCTGGGATGGCATGTTTCACAGTAATTGGTAGGAATACTGCCAGGAAGGACTTCTATTTTTGTGTCAGTACAGCCTCACAATTTTTCTTTTGGAAAGAGCCCATCCTCCTTGGATTTCAGTGCATACTTGATCCCCCAAGTGGGGGATATTCACACATTTCCAACAACTATTTCCCCTTTTTCTTTCCTTTAGTAACTTTTTTATATTTGGTGACTGACCCCTTTCTGCTGGTTGAGAAAGGATTCCACCAGCCAACCTTTAGGGCAACACAGTTGGGACTGTCCTCTGGTGCTCATCACAGGACCTGGCACACATTTAGCCCAGTGTGTAGAATGAGGCAGTGAATTAATCAAAGGAGTGAAGTCCACTCTGAGCCCCAATAGGACTATTTCCTCCTGTTTTGTGCTTGTAGCTGAGAAAATGGCAGGCCCTTGGTGGGTGTTTGTGGGTGAACAAAGTTTTAGAACACCAGTCCTGAGGTGAGTGTGGCAGTACACACCATAATCCTAGCACTCAAGAGGCTAAGGCAGGAGGAGTGAGGCTATCATGGGCTACATAGAGACCCTATGTCAAAAGAAAACAGTCCTAGAGAAAATCTTGAAAGCTCAATTTCCCCCTCCCTACTTCTGCTCTACTCTCTGGGCCATATCCGGACTATTCTGGCAAAAAAGAATCAATAAGCCCAGCAAGCATGAGGCCCTGAGTTCAGACCTCAGTACTGAAAAAAAAACAATGATAAAGCTGAGATCATTGCACAAACTTCAGTCACTTGACACCTCAGCACCAGAAAGCTCTTCCATGCGCAACTGAAATCCTTTGTAATCTTTCATCATTTCCTTCTTCAGCCAGGTGCTGGTGGCTCACTCCTGCAATCCCAGCCGCTCAGGAGGCAGAGATCAGGAGGATCACAGTTTGAAGCCAGCACAGACATAATTTGAGAGACTCTATCTTAAAAAAACCCATCACAAAAAAGGACTGGTGGAGTGGCTCAAGGTGTAGGCCCTGAGTCCAAGCCCCAGTACTACAAAAAAGAGTCAGACTTCAAGAATAAGATCTCTGTGGATTAGGACACTGAAGAGGCAATCTCCACCCTCTCCCCCCACCACCCCAAAAGCAGCCTATTTATGTGGCCATATTGACTGGTGTGGAAGTGCTTGGTTTGGGATTTTTTCTGTTGAGCTGGAAAGTAGACGCTAAATCCCAGCACTGACGCCGTTGTGTGCTTGGTTTCAGGCGGGAGATGACGCCCCTGCTCTCCCTCATCTTCTCAGCCCTCTTCATCCTCTTTGGCACTGTCATCGTCCAGGCCTTCAGGTGAGTGCCACGGCTGTTCAGTGGAGCCCCAGACCATCATGCTCCTTCATATTTTGGTTTTGGGGGATTTGCTTGTTTGTTTTTGGTTTTTTTGCTGTTTGTTTTGGGTTTTGTGGGGTTTTTTTGGTGGGACTGGGGTTTTGAACTCAGGACTTGATGCTTGCAAATAGGGGCTCAGTCATTTGAGCCATGCCTCCATCCAGTATGCATACTCTTCGTTTTAAAAAACCTTTTTTCATTTTTCAGTGACTCGAATGAGGAGCGAGAGTCACACCCTCCAGATAAAGAGGAAGTTCCTGAGAAGGCTGGGAAGATGGAGCCAAGCTTCACCAAAGCAAACAGCAGGTTTTTTTCACACATACACTACACTCTCCTGCCCTCAGCACCTGACACAGAGCACACAGCTTGACAGAGTAGGGTGGGAGGAACAAACGGTACAGAGGACTCTACCTCACCATCCTGTGTGGGAGAGCTGAGTACACTTTGAGCATCCCTAACTCAAAACTCTGAAATCTGAAATTATCACCAACACAACATCTATTCTGTACCTGACCTCACGTAACAGGTCACAGTCCCAACACAGATGCACTGAAAATACTGAGTGAAATCACCTCAGGCCAAGGTATCCATGAAACACAAATGAACTCAGTGTTTAGATTTGGCCCCTTGGTGCCACCCATGTATGCAAATATTCCAAGATATGGAAAAATATCCAAAACTTCTGGTCCTGGGCATTTCAGATAAGAGAGACTCAACCTGTGTGAGAAAAAGTCCCTGCTGATTGGTGGCCACTAAGACTTTCATGTATTAGGACTTCAGTTTCTCAATATCATATTTACTAATGAGGCAGGGAGTAGAAAAACACCTCAGGAAGGTGGTAGATGAGCCTGCATGGCCTCCTAGCCAATAACTATATTAATGAACTGGCCAGTTGAGAGCACACAGCCACCAGCAAAGGAACCAAGTCTCTGAAACAAAGAAAACAGACTGAGTGCCATTCCTCCTCACTCTATCCTCGAGCAGCTTCTGCAGCAGCTGGAAAGTGGTGTCAGAGGGCTGTTGCACACCAGGGTCACCCACTTGAGTCAGGCCACTCTGTCCTGCCAGAGCATTAGGGTCAGGGTTAAACAGATAATCCATTTTACTCCACTTGCTTCTTTTAAAGTGATGGTGTTGCCATCCTGATAAAACCTTAACTCCTCCATATTTCTCCACAGCAAAGTTCCTAAAAAAGGCTTTGTGGAGGTAACTGAACTCACAGATGTGACATACACCAGCAACTTGGTACGCCTGAGACCAGGCCACATGAATGTGGTCCTCATCCTGTCCAGCTGCACCAAGACCAGCCTGCTGCAGAGATTTGCTTTAGAGGTCTACTCATTCACTGGGTGAGAGTGTATGCCTGCGTGTGTGTGTGTGTGTGTGTACACATGCTTGTGTGTGTGAGTATGCATGCAGCAAGATATTGACTGTGTCCTTCCCAGTGCCAACATTTAAGCCATCGTGGGGAACCTCTTTTCCCCCTTTGACTTTGATGTTTGTTGGTTCTGAGCAAAAGAGCTTGAACTCAGTGTGCCCTCCCTGAGCCCGTGCAGAAGACTGCCTGCTCTCCAGCCCTTGTGCCCTTTCCAAAGAAAGTCACTGAGCATGAAGAGGTTCTACCAGCAAGGGGTGGGATGGGTGAGGGAGGTGATGTGGCTGTCACAGAGGTTCTCCCACTCCCACAGAAACCCTTCCTTTTTTATGTGTTCAGGCCCCAACTGACAGCCTTTTCCTATAATTTCAAGTCTGTCTGTAGTATTTACGCTCCCTATGCTTAAGACACATCAGAAATATCCTGAACCCCTCTTCTGTTCTTCCTGCAGGAGCAGCTGCCTACACTTCTCCTTCCTGAGTGTGGACAAACACAGAGAGTGGCTGGAATATTTACTAGAATTTGCTCAAGATGCAGCCCCAGTCCCAAACCAGTACGATAAGCATTTCATGGAACGGGACTACACTGGTTATGTACTGGCTCTGAATGGCCATAAGAAATACTTCTGCCTTTTCAAGCCCCAAAAAATAGTGGAAGAGGAGGAGGCCATGGGGTCATGCGGTGACCTGGACTCTTCCCTGCACCTGGGCGAGTCTCGGGGGAAGTCTTCCTGTAGCCTTGGATCCAAGCCCATCAAGGAAAAGTTGAGCAAGTTGTCCTTGTGGATGGAGCGCCTTTTGGAAGGCTCCTTACAGAGGTTCTACATCCCATCATGGCCTGAGCTAGACTGAGTCAGTTTCAAAGAGAGATGTGAACTCTTCAGGTTTTTAACATGCCCCAGAAACAGGGATTTTTCAGTACTCAAACTATCACACCAAACAGAGTGTAGATTTTAGATCATTCTTCTAGAACAATGCCTAGAAGATTTTTCCCTTTATCCTGTTCTTACCTAGGAGTGAAACATACCACAGGTTTGAATTCCCTAGATCAAAATATTTTCCTTTGGGTTTTCTCATCCTCATTTGAATGCTGCATATTTAAAATAGACTGTCATCCCTCTTCTTTGCTGTCCCTGTCACGTGCTCACACCACCTTCCCTGTCCTGTATGTTGGAGAAATCTTAGGGCTTGACACTGAGTGGTACCTGGATGGAACCTCATGACCATCATGCAGATCCGTTCGTTCACCTGTTGCCCTGCACTCCCGCCCTCGGGCCCGGCCCCACCCCTGATGTGCTCCTGCCAAGGCACATGCTTTCGACACAGAACGGCCCACCAAGCCTCTAGGCCTGCATCTTGAAAAAGACCAAGCAATCTTACCTGCGATGGTTGTTCTGGGAGCAAGCAGTGAGAAGTATATTTTGGGGGTATCCTTCACAATAGTTTGCCAGCCATGGATTTGAAAGAAAAGGAGCAAGAGGGGGCACTCTATAGATGAGTTTGGGGTTCCTCCCATGCGGGGAAGGGAGGGCTGGGCAGCTTCTGTAGTGCTGCAGCTCTGGGATGTTTTGCAGCCTCCTCCTGCTGCCCACACACCACTGTGGCTGGGGGACAGGCCTGCCCGCAAGAAGCACTGTAACGACCTTGAGCCGTTGACCTGTATGTTTGCAGATGCCTTTGTGCCTCTGTCAATTTTAGGATATGGATATTAGGAGCCATAACTTGTGATCTTGTTCTCTGAACGTAGATAAGCTGCTATAAAGCCAGTAGATGTTAAACTGAAGACAGATTATCCTGCCTGCCATGAGCCAGGTGGAGGAACCTCTTCACTCCCTTGGTGTCTCTAGTAAAATGCCGGATGTGTCTTTGTATCAAGGAACATGAGCTCTCTTAACAATTGCATTTTGAACATTGTTACTCCAAAAGTGCTGTATCCTTAAGTCATCTTTTGTAACAAGCTGAGACTTGTTCTAGACTCCCATTTTGCACATGGCTCATTTTCCACTTCTGGCCTGTGTGTGTCTCAGCTTTGTCTGTTCCCTCCTCCCTTAGCACTGCTTCTCTGGTGTCAGGGTTAGACCAATCATCAGCTTCCAGCCCACTGTGCTCCATGTACCATGGGCTCTGGGCCGGTCTTACCAGCTCGTTAGAGGGCATACCTTTTGTTTTTAGGGCCAAACCACCAGTGGAGTTTGGACAACTTCCAAGAGTGGTCTTGTTTTACTGTCAAAGCAAATGCCTTTTGCGAAGTGAAGGGCAAAAATCAGGGATGGGACATTTACTAAGTTAGTATTTCTCTAATCATAATTGCTTTCAGGCAAGCCACTGGATCCTAGTAATTTAAACATTGCGCTACAGTGGTAAGTGATAGATTATCTGAACCCAGGAATTCCTGTAGTTTTCATAGAGTCTTTAGCTTTAATTAAAAAATAAATAAATCACTGCCAGGCTCCATTCTTCCATCCAGGCCTCTGGAAATGGGCGCTGGCTAGATGCTACATCTCATGTCACCTGGCCAGGTGGAAACAGTGAAGGAATTGACTCCTTGGTCCCCCAGTCCTCAAAATTGTTTTCTGAAGTCTACAGCTTAGTGATAGAGCATTTGTCTAGCATGTACAAGGTCCTGGGTTCCATCTCCCAACACCACAAAAAAAAAAAAAAAATTCTGGATTTTTTAGTGGCCAGGTTACTCTTAGGAGTAGTATTTTGGTTCAGACAATAGGTTTTTATTTTTAATCTGTTACTAATGACTTTCCTGATTTTTCATGTCTGAAAACCAAAAACTACCCAGGTATGTTCTTTGTTTTCTATTTATTTATTTTTTTCAATTTGTATCAGAAAGACAAAACGCACCTTCAGACTACTGAACCCTCCATTTGCACTAGGAGAGGAAGTGGTAATGGAGTTGTCAATATTCCTGGCAAGTGTTTCAGTCCAAAAACTGCAAAACTGGGGACTGTGGACTGGTAGACATGTCCCCACAGAGGACCCTAGGGAACCTTTTTTAAGTGGGGGCGTTTTTAGTCAGGGTCTGGCTATATAGTTGATCCTCCTGCCCGGTCTTCCAAGTGCTGGGATTACAGGAGGGACCACCGCTTCACCTTTGGCAGATGTAGGCCTTTCCTTCTGAGACTCGTGTCCATGAATTTCTTCCCTTTTGTGTCAAACATACAAGCCATTGTGTGCTCAGCCACACCACCATTTCTCATTCTGATGTATGTAATCAATCACACAGGTCCCAATTTCAGTTTCTAACTCCCTAGTCTTCAAATACTGATTTGAAGAAGTGGGTGTTGCTGGGTGCCAGTGGCTCATGCCTGTAATCCTAGCTACTTGGGAGGCTCCCACCTCTAAAATAACCAGAGCAGATGGACTGGCAGTGTGCTCAAGTGGTAGCACGCCTGCTTTGCAAGTGTGAAGCCCTGAGTTCAAACACCAATCCCACCAAAAAAGTAGTTGTTTCTGCTAGATTAAGACTATGCACCATATTTAATAGAGTAAAAAGTAACCTAAAGCAAGTCTTTGTAGAATACATACCCGTGTCAAAAAAACCTTTTATTGCTCACTCAGGTATTGGTTGCAGTTTGTGTAACCCAGAGATTGTCAGCCCCACTGAGCAACATTTCAGTGAGCAGGACTGTCCTACCTTCTGGAAGTCTCCCTGGTCTCCCTGCTGGCACCCACTGCCCAGTAGAACTTGGTCACAGTTTTCAGATGGCTTGGCCTCCTCATTGTAGCCTCTCCGTACTGTAGCCTCTTATTACCACCCTAACCAATCTGCAGCTGCCTCAGTACCTAAGTGTTCCCCTGCTGTAAAAAGAAATAGGATCCGACTAGGCTTTAAGTGTTTTGCTTTGTTTGGAAATAAGGATTGCAAGTCAACCCTTTTTTTCAAAATAGAATTCTGGGCTGTGAGGCTCTGGGATCCATCCACAGCATTGAAAAATAAAGTAGAATTCTGTAAAAGCTGATGCAGGTGCTGGCCCTGTAGCACAATGACAGCCTACTTGCCTAGCACACCCTTGGCCCTGGGTTTGATCCTCAGCACTGGAAAAAAAAAACAAAAAACTGATGCAGAACATGTTTACAGATGAACTGTTCACGTCCAAGTTCACATCCAAATATCTGACATCCCTTGAAAACAAGTGTAGAGTGGCAGCTGCTGAATGTGTTCTGTTCCTTAGGAAAGATGACTATACTTGAGAGACAGATCAGAAAAGAAGGTAAATATTTTGCACTTTTGATACTCTTAGGAGTAACTTTATTTGGCAAATCGTGTCTTTTTTATGTTTTAGGGGTTTTTTTTGTTTTGTTTTTTGTATTGTGAACAAGCACTGAAGCTAATGTTATTTTAAGAATATTACAGACTGGAAACAAATAAACTATTTTAATGTGTGATGACTGTGGGGCAGCTCTTGCATTGCAAGAGTGATTTTATCAGACATGCTATCAACAAAATTACAGCAGCACAGCAGATTGTGGGAAGTGCTGTTGACAGTGACCAGGGTGTCACTTAGAGGACATGATGCAAATCTGGGTCTTGTAGGGCATGGGTTAGAAGTTTCTTAAAGGGCTCACCTGATGTCTGGCGTCTGGCATAGACCTTTTGTGCCCCCCACCCGGGCTTCTAAGCAGAAAGTTCCCTTACAAGGATCTGTGTGCTATTTTCTTTCACACTTTTTTTTGTTTTGTTTTTATTTTATTTTCCACTTCTTATTTCTGTTCACAGTGGTCCTAAAACCACTCCTCAGAGCAGAAGCTGTATTTTAAAGGAAGATGCTATAGAAATATGGGATGTTTGTATAGTATTACTTCACGGGTTTTTAAATTTAATTAACTCCAATTTTAGGTTCCCTAGAATGAAATTTTCCATCCCTTTCCTCTTATGCTCTACCACCTTTTATCATAGAAAAAGAAAAAGAAAAAAACCAAAGCAGTATAAGTGCTTCATTTTGTTTAAGTTAGTTCAGACTCCTAGAGATGTTTGGGTTAGAGTTCTGAATTCCTCATTTTACAGTCACCTGTGACACTTTTAAACTCTTCAGTACTCAAGACTTCCTGCTCATAAATTCTTGGGAATTTATCAGCAATGCAGTCTGTTTTGTCTCGAAGAGCACAGACTCAGGCAGTTGTCACTTTGGGGAGAACACACAGCATCTCAAACAGCAGGTTAGCCGCCAGGAGTGCTGTGTTTCCTGCCAAGGAAGGAATAAAACGAAATGTGAGGCCCAGCCCCTCCAGACTCAGCCTCCTGCTCTCTGCTGTGCCAGAACCCTGGCTTCCCAGCTCTCTGGGCGCCCTCCCTCAAGTGAGCACTCTGAGCAGAATGCCTCTGTCAAGCATCATTTGGAAAAACTACTTAAAAATTCAGACGCCTTTTTGTTTACACTTAGTATTTTTTTCCCAAAGGGAAACCTATAATGTTCTGTGTTTACTGTCTGCCTCTCACGCTAATAGATGTTAACAGTCAGCGTCTCTAAACTAAAACTATTGGGGTGGCATCTGCTTTGTATATAAAGCTCCCCCCCTTGATACAAAGATTATGCCTTGAGGATTCACTTTTCAGTGAAATATTAAAGGAGGCTGGGTGGAATTGTACCACCCTGTCACTAAACTATAGGTTGGTTTCTTTGTCCTCTACCAAGTGGTGGGCAGGCTAATAGTACCCAGCTACCTCTGAGGGGCTTATGTGCTTGTAAGGTGTGCAGTAACAGGCTTATTTGCTTCTCTGTCAGACATTCGGCAGGTTCCCTGACTTCCATAAGGGCACCTGTCCATTTTCTACTCACTAAGGGGATTCATGTAATTTAAATATTACCTGCCCACAGATTGCAATCTTCCTGCTTACCAGAAGGATCATACTGCGGTGAAACTTCCACAAGGTCACAGCCCACCACATTCAGGCCTTGACAGCCCCGGATGATCTCCAGAGCCTGTCCAAGAAGAAAGTGGGTTGTGGGGCAGAGGCACGGCACAAGTGGTAGGGCTCCTGCCTAGCAAACACAGTGCCCTGAGTTCAAGCTCCAGTTCCACAAATAAACAAAGTTGAGTCATCCACAGTGGTAATCATTTGCAATGAAAAGCAATTATCCAGGCTTCCATGAGTTGCTCCCAACCCATGCCCACTGTTTTTGTCCCCTAATTGGCAGTGTTGGCTACAGCCAAACTGGTAAGCACAGCCCCTCCCGAGGGCTTCATAGTGTGATGATGGAGACAGGCAAACCCATCAGCTCAGTGTCGTGCATTACAGGATTCAAGGAAGGGAAGCCCAGCTGGGCACTGGTAGTACACGCCTGTGGTCCCGCTACTTAGGAGGCAAAAATCAGGAAGATCACAGTTCAAAGCTATCCATGGCAAATAGTCCTAGAGACCCTATCTCAAAAATACCCAACACAAAACAGGGCTGGTAGAGTGGCTTAAGTGGTAGAGTGCCTGCCCAGCAAGCTGAAGGCCCCAAGTTCAAACCCCAGTCCCAGCAAAAAAAAAGAAAAAGAAAAGCCCACAGTAGTCTAACCCCAGGAAACACCCTAGACAGGTCAGGGAAGGCTTCCCAAGGTAGAAACAGTTCAAAGGACTGGCCAAGCAGAGGAGTGAGGAAGAGCATTCTAGGCCAAGGGAGAGTGGGAAAAAGGCACCATGATGGGAGAGGCACAAGGAGATGTGGCCTGAGGACAACATGGGAAGCAAGTAGGAAAACGGTCCCCTAGTCTGCAAGGCTTTCTATCCTGAAAAGCAGAGGCTGAGGATTACGTTTAAGAAGTCCTTTGGGAGTGAGGGCTGCTGTGAGAGAGGCAGGTAAGACTAGCTTCCTTTCTTAAGAGAGAGAAATAATTGAGTAGATGTAGCAATTGTCATTCATTTACTCACAAACATTTATATGTCCAGGCACTATCCTAGGCTCCAAGAACAAGGTACCGAACAATCCAAAGACCCTGCCTTCCTGGATCTCAGTACACCTCACTGGAGCTTGCTTCAAATATTTCTGAAACTCTTGAGCCACTTCGTAGATAGTTAATTCCATTACGTGAACCCTTTTACCCTAAATGGGTACATTTAGTGCTTGTTTTGGTGCTGGAAATTGAACCCAGGTACACTGTACCACTGAGCTACCATCCCCTCCCCCAAAGTTTAATGTTCTGAAGAGAGGATACTATAGTTTTATCCTCAATGAAGTGACTACAGATGGGCCAGAGGCAGGAAAACCAAATAAAGGATTCTCCTATCCCAGAGAAGAAATGAGAGCCCTTTGCCAAAACCAGTCCCCACTCCGTGAGTATTCCAACCTGTGGTCAGTCCCGAGAACAGTAAAGCCCTATGTGCTCACTTTTAAAATCATATCCTACTCAGGAAGCAGAGATCAGGAGGATCGAGGTTCTAAGTCACCTGGGGCAAATAGTTCTAGGGACCCTATTTTGAAAAACCCATCACAAAAAAGGGCTGGTAGAGTGGCTCAAGGTGTAGCCCCTGAGTTCAAACCCTCAGTACCCGGGGCAAATAGTTCTAGGGACCCTATTTTGAAAAACCCATCACAAAAAAGGGCTGGTAGAGTGGCTCAAGGTGTAGCCCCTGAGTTCAAACCCTCAGTACCGCAAAAAAAAAAAATCCTATACTGGGCCAGGCACTGGTGGCTCTAGTCAGGAGGCAGAGATCAAGACTGCAGTTCAAAGCCAGCATGGGCAAATAGTTCAAGAGACCCTATCTTGAAAATACATAACACAAAAAAGGGCTGGTGGAGTGGCTCAAGCAGTAAGAGTACCTGCCTTGCAAGTGTGAGGCCCTGAGTTCAAACCCCAGTACTGCCAAAAAAAAATCAAAATCCGATCCTGAGCTGCGGTGTAGCTCAGTGGTAGAGTGTTTGCCTAGCATGACTGAGGCCCTGGTTCCATCCCCAGCACCACCAAAAAAAAAAAAACTAAAACAAATTGTTCTGATGCTTGAAGACTCACCTGAGAAAGGTGCCTGAGAAAGTGTGTTGTTAAGTTTCCCCTGAGCTGCGGTGTAGCTCAGTGGTAGATGTGTTTGCCTAGCATGACTGAGGCCCTGGTTCATCCCCCACACCAAACAAAAAAAAAACTAAAACAAATTGTTCTGATGCTTGAAGACTCACCTGAGAAAGGTGCCTGAGAAAGTGTGTTGTTAAGTTTCCCCACCCCCAGGAATCCCTAGGGGAACCGCCTTACCTGACTAGGAGTGAGACCAGCAATTTCAGGTGTTCCCGTCCCTGGGGCATAGGCAGGGTCCAAGGCATCTACGTCAAAGCTGATGTACAGAGGCTTGCCTCCAATCTGCTGCCTGACCTCTGCCATCAGAGGGACCAGTGACTTCATCCAGCAGTCCTCAGCCAGGACCACCCGGAAGCCCTAAGAGGGTGGAATTGAAGAGCTGGAGGTCAAGGCCAACCCCACACTTAACTCTTCAGGTGCACATCACATCTGACCCTCAACCTCCATGAGGGGGGACTACTGTCCCCATTTTACAGGGGAGGTAAAGAACTGGACCAAAGCTGACCTATGGGTCAGAATCAGAACCTTGCCAAAGCAAGAGTGAGAAATTTGGCCACTCATGCTAGCGCCTTCTGGATGCTTCTGTCCAGAACCCTGACCCTGGCATGCTCTAAAAGCAAGGGACTTGGGACTTCTGTGAGGGCCCTGTGCTTTGTCCACCTGAGAGCCATCTGCCTGGCAGGGATGACTAGGAGAAGAAAGAAGGAAGCAGCCTTCCTGGACTTGGGCTCATCTTCCAAGGCAGCAACCTCTGAGCAGTTGGCTGCTTTCTACTTGGCCAGCCCAGCCCAGGCCTCTACCTCTAACATCTGTCTCACTGCAACAGCCACACAACCCTCCTGATGCAAACCCAGCCTTTTGTCCGCACTTTCTGAATCTTTTCCCCCTGTGGTGTAGGGGATGGCGCCAAGGGCCTCGCTCAGGCTAGGCAAGCACTCTGTCATTGAGCCACATGCCCACCCCCCTTTTGCACTTGACTGGCAAAGCCCCTGTGGAACTTATGGCGGCCCCTGCAGTGGAGGAGGGGTGTCCCGCCTGTCACCTGGCTCCGGTTGTATCTGTAAGGATCCAAGGTCATGGCAGAGCCCCGGATGCCAATCTGTACCACTCGCTTACAGTCCAGAAGTCCCTCGTCCACACAGCGACGGAAGGGCGACCCATGATAGAGCTTCTCTCCCAGGGCCTTGTCAGCTGTGTCCGTGTGGGCATCCACGTGCAGCAGCCCCACAGGGCCGTGTCTGATGATAACAGGGCAGCTCAGAGGTCAGGTGTCTCGGGGGGAAGGGGCAACACAGCCACCAAAACTTTATGACAGTTCATGGCAACGGAGATACCTGCCATCAATTAGTTCCTGTCTTCCTTCCTTCGTTTCTTTCTCTCTTTCTCTTTTTCTCTGTCTCTCTCTCTGTCTCTCTCTCTCTCCTTCCTTCCTTCCTTCTTTCTTTTTTTTGCAGTACTGGGGTTTAAACTTAGCCTACACCTTGAGCCATTCCACCAGCCCTTTTTTGTGAAGGTTTTTTTTTTGTTGTTTTGGGTTTTTTTTGAGATGGGGGGTCTCACAAACTATTTGTCTGGGCTGGCTTTGAATGGCGATCCTTCTGATCTCTGCCTCCTGAGTAGCTAGGATTACACAGGTGTGAGCCACCAGTGCCTGGACTGTCTTCATTTTCTTTACAGTTATTATTATTTTTTTAAATAACCTGTTATTCATTTGAATAATATATGTATGATACTGTTTCTTTTTTTTACAGTTATTTTTATTAGCACACATTAGTTGTACAAAGTGAGGGGTCATATTCACCCCTCTATCACTCTTTCTTATCCACCCCCTTCTGTCTTTGAGTCACTTTAGCATCTTGGGAGGAACCATGCACTCAGAGAAGCAGGGCAGAAACAGACATGCGCTCTGCTGCCACCTCTACCTACCAACTCAGAATTGCAGGGGGTGGTGGCTAAGAGCAGTGCTCACTGAAGGTGGAGCCAGTCAGAAGTCACCGTTTCTTCTCCAACTGTGGCACCAGCAGCTTTGACCCTGCTCCTCTCCACACCCTCTATCAGCCCTACCGGCCACCCCAAATGAACATGGAATCCAAGTCAGTGGGAGGCCAGTGCAGCTTGAGACAAGATCTGTCCCCACCCACCTCCAACCAGGATGCTACCTACCCACAAGCCTTCCCAAAAATGAATTCTGCAGCTGCCACCCACCGCCTCAACCCTTCTGTCTCTTTCTCCAACTAAATTAGCTGAAGTTGGTCTCTTGCCATAGAATCTACTACTCAACCAACAGCCTTCTCATTGCCCAGGGAGGGGAGAGGAGGGGCTCCTCAGGAGAAGACAAGGTGTCACAGCAAGCTCCACTGCTGGACCTCTCAGTGTCACACTTGGCCATTGAAGCAAGACACACTGAAGGGAGCAGGTTGTGTGCTTACTTCCCTGTGGGTTCATCTTCCAAAACCAGAGGCTGTTGAAAATGCTGAGTGCACATACCAGCCTGATCTAGGGCAAGGGAGAGGCCAGAGGCGTTAATAATAAATTTTGGTTCCCAGCTGGTGAGTGACAGGCACCTGGGGCTCGGCCTCGGTTTTCATCTGCAGAAGTAACTCAGTCGGGATTTTCCTATCACCTCCTCTCCCCAGTAACCTGAGCCAGCAGCAGACAACTCCTCCTCAGCTCCTGAATTTTGAAACAGCACTTGGCCAAAACATTTGGGACTTACTTTTTTGCCACTGCTTGCAATATAGGGTATGTGATTGTGTGATCGCCACCTGTACAGAGAAAAAAGAAGAAAGCGTCAGGAATGTGGATAGATTAGCACATGGAACAACCCAAACTTTGCCAAATTCTGCTGTCCTTTCAATTAGACCAGAGCTAAACCACCACCTTGTTCAGTAGTGTGACATTTAAAAGAGAAAATTAGATAAATTGAGTCATACAAGTAGTTACCTAGAACTTTCCATATTGATATTCTATACTTGCACTGCCCGGTAGGGTGGACGAAGAACTAAATATTTTATTTATTTTATTTTTTTTAAGTTCACATCTTTTATTAATCCGTTCACAATTACTTGTCTTCTGGTTTATTGAAGCAGTAAGTCAGACAACACTTGCCACAGTAGTGTCTGTCGAAGTGGCTAGCCATAAAAACTCCAGCACCACGTTCATCTGAAGGACACTCACGGCGAAGGCGACTAATTTTGCCATTTTCATCAACCTTATAATATTTCAGGACAGCCAACTTAACCTTCTTTCTCTTATGCTTATTCTTCTTGGGAGTGGTGTAGGACTTCTTCTTCCTTTTCTTAGCACCACCACGAAGTCTCAACACAAGAGGAAGGGTGGACTCCTTTTGAATGTTGTAGTCTGACAAAGTGCGTCCATCTTCCAGTTGCTTACCAGCAAAGATCAGTCTTTGCTGAACAGAGGAATTCCTTCCTTATCCTGGATCTTGGCCTTGACATTTTCTATAGCATCTGAGGGTTCAACCTCAAGCGTGATGGTCTTCCCAGTAAGGGTTTTCACAAAAATCTGTATTTTGGCGACGGTTCCACCGCAGATGGCGGATCGGAAAAAAAGCTAAATATTTTAATTAAAAATTTTTTTGGTAGTCCTGAAGTTTGAATTCACTTGCTAGGCAAGCACGCTATCACTTGTGCCACACCTCCAGCCCTTTTTGCTTTGGGTTATTTTTCAGATAGGACCTCAAGTTTTTGCTTCAGGCTGGCCTCAGACCATGAAGCTACTACCTAACTGGTACCTCCCACCTAACTGGTATTACAGTCACAAACCACCACACTCAACGTTTTTGTTGAGATGGGTCTTGCTAACATTTTGCCCAGACTGACCTCAAACCACAATCCTCCCAATCTCTGCCTCTGAGTGCCTGGGATGAGAAGCAACTGTGCCTGGCTTATTTTAATTAACTTTAACTTGTGGATATCCTATTAAACAGTGAGGGCCAGGAAAGTATTACAATTAGTAGTTTTTTTTTTTTGGTGGCACTGGGGTTCGAACTCAGGGCCTCACATGGTAGGCTCTCTTACTGCTTGAGCCACTCCACCAGCCCTTTTTTTGTTTTGTTTTTTTTTGTTTTTGTTTCTGTTTCTTACTGTTGTGCTGGGTGAAGTATTACAATTAGTAGTTTTTTTTTTTTTGTGGCACTGGGGTCAAATCAGGCCTCACATGTAGCTCTTCTTACTTTAGCCAACTCCACCGCCCTTTTTTTGTTTTGTTTTTGTTTTGTTTTTGTTTCGTTTCTACGGGTTGCTGGGTGGGTTACATTTGGGAATCACAGGCCCTTTTTTTTGTGTTGGTTTTTTTGAGAAAGTCTCTCGAAAACTATTTGTCTCCGGGGCTTCAAACCTGATCTCTGGCTTCCTGAGTGCTGGATTACAGGATGACCACAAGTCCGGCACTATTGAATTATTGATAGTAAACCAATAGGTAACATTATTAAAAGTTTTTAAAATGTTTCAGGCACGATCGGGACAGTTTTTCTTATGCTCATTGTATGTTCCTCCCACAATCCAGTGAGAAGTGTCATTCTGCCCATTTTACAGAACAAAAAGACACTGCACAGAGTAACAACACTAGTTGAACATGGGCCTGAGATTTCCAAAACCAATGCCACCAAACCACATCCCTCCACTGTGCCCTAGGCAGCTAGCCTCTCCAAACTTGGCAAAAACTAATATTGGATTTTAGGAAAGCCTCATGTCTTCTAACATTGTGAGCCAGAGAATGAACAGAAATCCACCATGAGCGGCTCTGTGAGCTGATGGAAATCCTGGCCAGCTCAGAAATACCCTTTTGCCCTCCTCCACACAAAGTCATTAGAAACGTGGTCTTTGAAGTCACTGGCAAGTCACAACTGAGTCCCTAGTGGCAGCTTTCCCCAGGCCTGACCTGGAGGGTTGGGAGGAGGAAGAGGAGGGTGAGACCTCTGGCAGGGCTACAAAAATTTTAAAAAGCCAGAACACTCAGTAACCAAGATCAATGGTATTTTAATGTAATAATTTTGAAAATCAAGCCTAGTGCCTGTGGATCACACCTATAATCCTAGCTACTCAGGAGGCAGAGATCAGGAGGATCGAGTTTCAAAGCCAACCTGGGCAAATAGTTTGCAAGACCCTATCTCAAAAAACCCTTCACAAAAATAGGGCTAGTGGAGTGGCTCAAGGTGAAGGCCCTGAGTTCAAGCCCCAGTACGGCAAAAAAAAAAAAAAAAAAAAAAAGATTTTCTTCCCTACTGTCTCTATCTTCACAGTGGAGAAGCAGAAGTCTGAGGCCCATGATAAATAAACCCTGAGCACAGAGAACAACACTCGCCCTTGTAAGCAGCCATTACCCAAGGTCAGAGGCACGCAGCCCACTCCTATGATTTTCTGATAGGCCTCTTGAATTAGCCGACAGCTGTCCTGCAGGTTATAAAGATTGACGTTCACATCACCTAGGTCCGCGACCCTGAGGGACTGGAAGGGGAGGGCCCCAGTACTTGGGTTGACAGCTTTCAGCAACACGGATTCCTCCCGGATGCGTCGAGGTCCAAATCTGAAAAAGGAAAGAGAATCATCTGTCAGTCACTGCTTTGTTTTGTTCTGGTTTTTTGTTTGAGACAGGGTCTCTCTGTGTAACCCTGGCTGGCCTTGAACTCCTGATCCTCCTGCCTTAGCCTCCTGAGTGCTGGGATTACAAGGATGCACCATGGTACCTGGCCACAGCAGAGGTTCAAAGGCTCTCTCTGCCTAGACCAGCACTTCTCTGCTTCTCCATCTCAACTCTGCTGACATTTGGGGACAAAGACTCTCTGCCTTGTAGGGTGTTTAGTAGCCTCCCTGGCCTGTACCCACTACATAGCAGTAGCACCTCTTCCCCCAGGTTGAAACGAGCAAGAATTATCTAGACATTGTCAGATGTCCCCTGGGTGTAAAACCACTGATTTAGGCTCTGTGTGTGTGTATGTGTGTGCACGCACGTGTGCACATGTGTTTTTGTTTTATTTGTTTTTTTGTTTTTCCCATGATGGGAACCAAACCCAGGGCCTTGTGCATGTGAACACTACCCCTGAGCTACACCCCGCTAGGCTACCTGTTAAAAGTAAAGATTTAGGAATTCACTCATCACCAATTTCTTAAGTGGCATTAGATAATCTCCCTGAGTCTCAGTTTCCCTTGTGTGTTGGGGGGTGGGTACTGGGGATCGAGCCTAGGACCTGTGCACGCTCAGCAAGCACTCTACCACTGAGCTACATCCCTGTCCGTTTTTAATTTTTTATTTTGAGATAGCATCTCACTGAGTTGCCCAGAGTGGCCTTGAACTTGCTTTATAACCCAGGCAGACCGTGAACTTGTGATCCTCCTGTCTCAGCTTCCAGAGTAGCTAGGATTGCAGGCATGAGCTTGTCGTGCCGCTCCTAATCTTCAAATACTGTTTACTTCACAGTGTTGTGGTAAGAATTAAATGAGGTAATCTATGCCAAATGCCTTGTGATTAGCAGACACTTCATAAATGCTAGCATCTAAATTTCAGAGCAATTCAGTCAGGCGTAAGGAGCTGAATCAGAAACAGCTCCTGTTTGGTAATTAGGGAAGTGAGTTTTACTCCGTCTGACTCGATCTTAGGAAAATTTCCTTAATGCGAACAACTTTTGACTCAGGTAATAGCTAGAGGTTTTGGGGAGGGGCAGCCAGCTCCATTCCCCAGTGCAGTGCCACCCACTGTAAAATGGGATGGTATGGGGGAGTAGGGTGCCAGCAAGGTCCCAGGATGAGGACACGGAGAAGTCTGAGATTCCGGAAACCCTTTGTTTATTCGTAATTAATTTAGAGACACGAGTCGATATGTAGCCCAGATGGGCCTCAAACTTGTGATCCTTGGAGTCCTGATGGAGATGTCAGAGGACGGACCTCCAATGGGTGTTGAGTCCCTGGAGTTGCTGGTGGAGAGAGGAGAGGAAATCACTGTCCCTCAAACTATCAGGGGCATTTTGGAGCCGGTCCGCGTGCCCTGAAGTGAGTGTCCACGCGTCTGGCACATGTGTCCCGGCACGTGTGCCCAGTCCCGCGCTCTGCCTTACCTAGCCCCGGGCCGGTTGGAGGTTCCGATGTCCAGAGGCACGCCGACGAAGGCGGCGTCCAGCCCCTCGGGTGAGGCCTGCACGGGCAGGCGCATCATGGAGCACACGCCCACCGGCCGGGCCACCAGCTCAGAGCTGGGGGGCTGGTTCCGGGGGACGTCGGAGGCCCCACGTCTCGAACCCGCGACAGCACGCGCGCCCACGCCCGCCCCCCGGCCCCGCGCGAGGCCCGACGCCACCCGCCGCAGCATGCCGCCACCCGACCTGGGGACCCGGGCTGCTGGGCTCAAAGGACAGGGGATCAAAGGCGGGGCCACCCGCCCCCCTCTGGACTTCAGCCTCTGGCTCCCTCGGTAAACAGAGCCAGGCCGGGGCTCCCACTCACAGTTGTGTCTGTGCCTTTGGAACCTGGCCCTCGCTAGTTCTCGTCCAGAGGAACGTTTTTAATAAAAGCCCAAACGATTTGAAGGAAGAGACCACAATTGCAAGATTCTTTTCTTTTTCTTTTTTGGTGATACTGGGGTTTGAACTCAGGACTTCACACTCGCAAAGCAGGCACCCGACCTCTTGAGCCACACTTCCACTCCATCTTGCTCTGGTTATTTTGGAGATGAGATCTCCTGAACTATTTGCCTGGGCTGGCTTTGAACAGAAATCCCCTCCCAGGCAGTTAGAATTACAGGCGTGAGCCACGTGTGCCCAAGCAAAATCCATTTAAAGAAACAGTGTATTATATGTCTTGATCTGTATTGTAAGGAAGCAGAAAAGAATCTTCTAAATGACTTTATTTTTAAGAGGGCTGGGAGTGTAGATCAGTGGTAAGAGTGCTTGCCTAGCATTTGCAAAGCCCCCCACCACCAAAAAAAATAAAGGACTTAAGAGGGAGCTGTAGAGAGGTCACAGCACAAACAAGTCCAATAATCTGCCATCCTCCTTTCTTCCTTCCTTCCTTCCCTTGCTTTCTTTTCTTCTTGTTTTTGCAATACAGGGACTTGAACTCAGAGCCTCCACATTGAGCCAGTCCACCAGCCCTTTTTTGTGAAGGGTTTCCTCAAGATAGCATCTTGGGAACTATTTACCCTGGCTGGCTTTGAACTGTGATCCTCCTGATCTCTGCCTCCTGAGTAGCTAAGATTACAGGCGTGAGCCACTGGCGCCCAGCCATCCTCCTTATTTCTAAGGAGAAAAAAAGCTACCCTGGGGAAAGAGAAGTGATTTGTGCTGAAATTAGGAGAGCCATTTGGTGGTTTGGGTTTTTTAACCTCTAGCCACTGAAATTGAATGAGAAAGGCCCAAGTTTGCATTAAATGATAGCATTCACACAAAGGTCACACATTAAACTCCACAGTACCCAGGCTCCCCTCCGCAGAACAGGGCAAAGTTCTCTAATGCTCATACTGAGTGTTCACTAGTGGGAGAGGCCTCTCAGCAGGTTTCCACCATTTTCTGGACCAATCTCTGTTCTCCATACCAGGCTCGGCCACCATCTCATACCTCAATGTGTCATTTTCTTACATCTTTTTTTTTTTTTGTGGCACAGGGGTTTGAACTCAGAGCCTCACACTTGCTAAGCGTGAACCACTCTGCCAGACCTTTCTTGCTCCTGATTTTTCTTTCATTCAACATGCAAATATTTAGTGTGCCTACAATGTGCCAGGTGCCAGGTGACCACGACCCCCACTGCTTTCCATCATTCCCTGTGTGGACCACTCCCTTTCCCAAGCTTTCCTCAAATGGCCTCTTAGCCTGGTACTCCCCTGCTCTCACTCTGCCTGTCTGAGGGTTCTGTCCCTCCTGGCAATCTCTTAATCAAATGATATTTTTCTTCTGTAAACAGATAAAATTCACAACAGACAAGCAGGACAGAGTCTGACATCCTGCTCTGTGGTCCCCTCAAGGAGGACTAAAGGATCCAGCCTTCAGTGCTGGGGCACACCTGTAATCTCAGGACTTAAGAAGTTGAGACACACACATACAAAAAAAAAAAAAAGGAAAAAAAAGCAGCTGAGACAGGAGGATCTCAAGTTGGAGACTAGCCTGGGCTTCATAGTGAGATCTATGTCAAAAAAACAATAAGGGCTGATGGAATGTGGGTCAAGTAGTAGAGTGCCTGCCTAGTAAGCTCAAGGCCCTGAGTTCAAACCCCAGTACTACAAAAATAACTTTGACTGCCAAAGAGGTTGGAAAGTACTGTGTGCATTTCATCTGTCTGCGTGGATCTCCTTTGACCTGCTGAAGGATGCAAGGGTTCTACAGAAGGAGGCAACACCTTGAACTTGTGTTTGTAGACGCTCAGAAATGACCCTACAGCAATTCCAGCAAGATGTCTGGCTGGGGACCATCTATGACACTTCTTACCTTGCTGTATCAGTAACACTCATCTTTACTTTCTCTGTCCCAAGCCCTCCTAAATAAGACTTTTTTTCTTTTTGGTGTTTTGAGACAGCCCAGGCTGACCTCAAACTCAAGATCTTCCTGCTTCAGCCTCCAAGTGTTGTTTGCAGTACTGGAGGTTGAACCTAGGACTGCATGCATACCGGGCAAGCACTCTACTGCTTGAACCACAAGTCCAGCCCCAGGAACATACACTTTTTGTGGTACGTGGTTTGAACTCAGGGCTTCACACTTGCTAGGCAAGTGCTCCACCACCTAAGCCACTCCACCAGCCCTTTTTGTGTTGGGTATTTTCGAGATAGGGTCTCAGGAACTATTTGTCTGGGCTGGCCTCCAACCTCAATCCTCCTGATTATAAGCATGAGCTACTGGTACCTGGCCCAGGGATATTTTTGATCATGTTCAGTGTATTAGTTTATTTCCTATTGCTGTAACAAAACACCTGAAGCTAATTACTTACTAAGAAGTTTATTTAGTAGTCCAAGATTGGGAGTCCCACTGGGTGAGGCCCTTGGAGAGGGCTTTGTGATGGGTGGTGTCCAATGTCAGGCGCACACATAAGGGACCACATGGTAAAACAGAGAGCCAGACAGCAGGGAGGAGCCAGTCTTGCTGGTGTTATAACAACTTGTAACTAACCAGGATCCCATGAGAACTGTATCTCTTCCAGGGTGATACCACCAATGACCTAATTACCTCCCACGAGGCCCCCACCTCTTCCCACCTCTCACATGGCCACACAATCTTTGAGGGACAAATCACATCTAAACCACAGCATTCAGAATACACTCATCTATTAAAGAAAAAATTAATCAGAGACCACTGATGTGATGGAACTTTTGGGCAAGGAGTTGGTGCTCTGAGGGAGCCTGGGACTGAAGACAGGTCCAGGTGACCCCTGACCCTTCCCTCCCTCATCTGGCTGGATGAGGGAGTACTTCCTAGCAGCTATGGGAACTATGGCTCTGCTAAGAGTGGGTACAGAGCCTGTGAAGAAAAGAGACTCGCTGAGAATCTCAGAGGCAAAGTAAATGCGATAAAATCTCTTTCCATTGAAACAGGCCAAGAAACTAAAAATCAAAGAAAATCAGTAGCTGAAATGGAGTCACAATTTGATTCTACAACTGGATTTCTAGGTAAAACTATGGGAGATTTTATTCAGAAGGTACCAAAGGAAGATACTATGCTATGTGATGCTGTTGCCATTGTTTGTCTTTTGTCAACTTATTCAATTATTAAACTGAGTAATATGAGTGTGACTTTGGAATTTGTTCCAGTTAATAGCTTAGAATACCCCTTTGGGGGCTGGGGGCAGGACTCAAGTGGTAGAGCACCTGCCTAGCAAGTGCAAAGCCTTGAGTTCAAACCCCAGTACTGCCAAAAAATAAAGTACAAGGGAATACCACCTTGATAAAAATTAATATCAAAACACTCCTGACTTTCAAATACTATAGTCTTTTCCACTGAAGATTACTCAATTTTGCTTGTGTTCTAAATCACATTGGATAACTCTACACTGTCTGAATACTGTTGGTCCCGGGGTTTGAATTCAGGGCCTCACACTTGCTAGGCAAGCTCTCTTATCACTCAGCCACTCTGCCAGCCCTGAATGTTGTTTCTTACTGACTCATTTTACCCCTACTTTCAGGGATGAGATGGCCTGAAATGTGTGGCTGTATCCATTTTTTTCCAATGTTTGCTGTCAGATAAATAGCAATATAATATCCTATTGTTACCATGAATATAACTTTATCTTCCATGTTAGGAAATGCCTGGAGAGCCTGAAGTGGGAGCTCCTAGGATGGGGCATCTGTGATAGAATAGCAATGCTATTTTTCTCAGATGTCACCAACTATGCCATCCCCCTTCCTCCTTTATTTGGTTCAAACTGCGGCCAATTTCTTATTACCTACAATCTTCTTAAAAATTTTTGGTCATATAACTCCTCTTGCATTTTTGTCCAAGGACCTTTTTTTTTGTGGTAGTGAGATTTGAACAGAGGCCTCATGCTTGCTAGGCAGCCTTGTTTTGTTTTGTTTTGTTTTTCTTTAGTTACTTTTTAGATAGGGTTTCATGCTTTTTGCCTGGGATAGCCTCAGACTACAATCTTTTTTTTTTTTCATTTTTAGTAGTATTGGGTTTGAACTCAGGGCCTCATGCTTGCTAGGCAGGTGAGCTACCACTTGAGCCACTCTGCCAGCCTTGTTTTGTTTTGGATATTTTTGAAATAGGGTCTCGAGAACTATTTGCCTGGCCTGGCGTTTAACTGCAATCAGATTGCAATCCTCCTTACTTATGCCTCAGGAATACCTGGATTTACAGTTACGCACCCTACACCCCACCCAAGGACCTCATTTAATTACTGTTATTTCTGCATCTCTTTTTTTTTTTTTTTTTTTTGGTGGTACTGGGGTTTGAACTCTGGGCTTTATGCTTGCTACACAGGCACTCTGCCACTTGAGCCACAATTCCAGCCCTGTTTTGTGTTGAGTATTTTCAAGATTTGCCTGGGCTGGCCTCACTTGAACCTTGATCTTCCTAAATTCTGTCTCCTGACTAGCTAGGATTATAGGCTTGAGCCAACGACGCCAGGTTCTTTCTACATATTTCTATTAGGGCCCAATACACGTGTATATCTATACAGTTATCTTTATTGTTATCTGCATTGCTAACTTTATAAATTCTGTTGACTTGTCTTTTTTTTTTTCCATTTTTCTTTTATGTTGACTTGTCTTTAATAGTTTTATCATTTTAGCTTCTTGGGTAGGCCATCTGATTACCACTTGTGACAGAATAATGTGAAGGTAAGCAATTGTCAAGCTCTAAGTGGAAATAAAAGTGTTTAAGCTCAATTGCC